ATTATAGTCTCCCATTGTATTTCCTTTATGAATGCATCTATTAATGATACATTGCATTTACCTATTTCATTACACTTTAATGATTCACTTTAGCACCTTTACTTTTCTAAAACAGCTTACTATCCCTTGTAAACGTTGTACTTACCTCAATATTGGTTGGCTATCGTATGCCTACAACTACGGGTTGAAAACGAAATGAAGTCGATTTTCCTGCGCAACATGGAGGACTACTGTTTAATTCAATAATGATACGACATGGGTCAGACAAAGAGTGCATTTTTACATATATCAAATATTTAGCTGTTCAAACATTACTAACTTGTAGACAATCTACTATTTGACATTGTATCATTCTTGATCGTGCCTGTAAAAATGGCACGCATTTTCATGTAAATTTATGTTTATATGAAAATATAAAATTATTATTACTTTCAGGGTGTTTTGCAGAATAGATTAGATAAATTAAATGCTTGGTCATCTTTATGCCACCTGCAGTCTGATGTGCTTCGGTGCACCCTTAATCGACACAAAATTGGCGCTTTAATCTGCTAACCTACCCATACTCTGAAGTGTAGTTGACTTAGGCCTGAGGTGCTCTAGTGACCTTGCTTTTTTTGTGCATGTGGCATCACAGACTTGAAGGTCGAGGATGTTCTTAGGATGCATACTCGGGAATTTTTACGACAATGAAGTTGAGCTCATTCTACACAAATTACGTGTAAGGCCACCATTAGAATATTGTCCATATCCAGTAACGCAGCCATCAAATATGATGCGCGTTTTGGTTAAATTTATAATTAATTATACTGTGCACATCGCTTCCGCCTACGTAAAGTGACATCATAGGTAGTGTTCCACAACCTTTTCTACATGTATATATATATTGTGTTAGTGAATAATTGTAAATATGCTTACCCCTCGTATGTGTCGTTTATCACATTGATTTTATGTGTAAATTGGAGCCCATCACGAAGAAAAATTAAGAATATGTTGTCATTATTTAATTAATACACAGTCTGACTACAAATAAAGAATAAGATTCGATGCGGTACACAGTAATTGGAAATAGGAGAACTGATCTGATGCTTTGTTTTTCCAAGTATTTATGGTCCATCCAATGCAAACTTGGGTTTATTTGTTAATGTGAAGAGAATATTTCTATATCTCCCAATGTGTTCCACTTGATGACCAGTTAGCAGATTATTTCTACAAACTAAATTCAAGAAGAACACCGACCATATAAATTCACGTAAACCAAATTTATGTAATTTAAATGATACTTATCCTTGCCTGTATAATTGGTGTGTTCCTACATAGACAGGAACAAATACACACTATTATTGACATCTTGTCAGCCTCAAATGACTGAAACACCCAGCGAAGCGGGAAGGTCCCAGTCCACGTGATCTACCTTAATTTTGAAAGCCTGTCAACAGAATTCAACATGACTTTCTCTTCCGTAAGATACTTAAGGTGGCTGCCAATGTCTGAATTCTCTCACTGTTTACAGAATACCTTGATGATGAAACTGCTAACGTAAGATTGACACATTCATCAACCTTGACGTAAGGTGATACTCAGGTTTCTCAACAGTTCACTTTTGGATTCTTTTTGCTATTACCACTGATCATTGGCCTATTATGTGAAAATAATATCGAACTCTTTATGATACTGACATCGTGAGGACATGGAGAACCACATCAAGAGTATGAAATACTGTACCCTGATGGACCATAAGGACAATAGAAAGTCAGGCTAAAATCTGAAAGTTAACATTCAAACCGGAATAGTGTTGAGTTGCCTCTACTGCAAAGGATGACCCGTAGTTTCTCGGTTTTGACTTGTCATAATCAATACAGGACGTGACCACAGTTTATTGAGGACGGATAGCCCAGGTACAGGTTTACACTTCTGGTGAGACTCTGCATCACTTACGCGCCTGTACCAATTCATGTTGGTGAGAAAACCAACTAACCAGAGGGTAACCACCTGAGTAGGTCCGAACCTTCAATAATTCACCTCCCTGGGCATGGCAGATACATTCAACTCACCCTTTGCCAAACAGTTCATCGGCGATATGGGTATTGCTGTTATGGACCAAAAAGGTGGCACCACTATTTCACTAGGGGAAAACCTATTGGCTACTGTCCAGAAAAACCCAGCAATAGTACTAGGGACGCTACAGCGACTGACACCGGGGAGGCCCACAGGCTGTGACGACATCAGGCCATCTGTTCTGAAACAGTGAGCCGAAGCTCTCTGTAGGCCTTAATGCAACCTGTTTCAACACTCGGCGGATTCAGGAAAATTTCCAAGGGAGTGGAAAAGAATCATCCTTTCCCCGATCTTCAAGAGTAGGGATAGGCAAAATGCCGCTAGTTATGGACTAGTAGCTCTACTCCCAGTGGCATCAAAAGTACTGGACATTATTATTGACGATCACATCGGGGAGTACCTCGATAGGTCTAATATACTTCATGAAGCCCAACACGGCTTCAGGAAAGGCAGATCCTGTGATAGAAACCTACTATCAGCTTGGGACGATTGGACATCATACTGGAATAAGAATGTGTCGGTCCATGTGGTCTTCCTAGAGTTTGAGAAGGCATTTGACACAGTTCACCATTACCTTCTCCTACACAAAATAAGTTAGGCAGGTATAGGTAAGCCACTTCTGCCATGCTTGAAGGACTGCCTAACTGAAAGAAGATTTTGCACTAAGGTCAATCGAGTCCAATCATCTTGACTCAGCTCGTCATCAGGAGCGTCGCAGGGCTCTATTCTAGGACCACAGATGTTTTGATTTTTACCAGTGACCTACCATGCCGTCTAAGCTGCCCGAATCTTCCTTTCACTGACGACGTAAAGACATGGAGGGCAATAAAGTGTCCGAAAAACTCAGATGGGCTACAGGAAGATCTAAAGCTCTTGGAAGACTGAGCGGTGGCCAGTGGCATGACTTTTAACCTGAAAAAGTGCAAAGCAGTGAAATTACGCACATGTAGGCTGCAGAATGCAAGTTACACCCTGTGCAATGAAAGCTTGTCCTGCACAACGTCTGAACGCGACTTAGGTCTAGTTCTAACGGAAGAAATGTACATAGGCGTAAATTACACGGGGGATGTATCGAGGGCATATACGGTCATACACTTTACACACAGACAGGTGCACTCAATCCTGAGCTGTTTCTAAGGTGGCACAAAACATACGCCAGACCACACCTTGAAGTGCACAGTATCATTGTTTCCACAGTGTTTGGAAGATGCGCGACTTCCAGGAAAGAGTCCAAAGACGGGTGGCAAAAGGGGTGATGGGTCTCCAAAACTAACCAAATAATGAACCGCTAAAGAAATTAGGCCTCTTCACACTTAGCTGACGTCGGCTTAGGTGGGACCTGATTACTGCCTTTAGGATTACGAATGACCAGAATCATCCAAACGAAGGTGTTATGCGATTAAGTACGTATGAGCTTCCTCTTTGAAATCCACGGAGAGTGGCTTACCGAAGGGTGAAGAATCGAGTGCGCTCCCACTTCTATTCACTGCGAGTTTGCCGTCCCTGGAACTCCTCACCGGCAGGTTTAGCTATGGCACCATCTGTGGACACCTTTAGGCGAAGACTGGACAATCTTACAGCGACACAAGGATTGCACCCAAGCGGCTTATCCCCTTAAAGTCCCATAACCATCCAGAGGTAGAGAACTAATTTCGTCGTTTTACTTGTTTACATTCTCTCCCATCTTACTCTCCTGACAACTTTAACTACACCTACTATTATTATTACCAATATAATAATTTATATTTCGTATAAACAGGTAAGTTTATATGAAATTATTATTCTTCAAATTAAATCAGCTGACTGTTGTTACGTTTCCTTTCTCTCTTTTTCTGTCTTTTAGCCTGAATAACTTCACTGATTATATCTATTATCATTACCTCTTATGTTTTGACGACGACACCGGAGGACTAACGTGTGAAAGGATAAACTCCATTCATAGTTGTAACTGTCTTAACACACCGCATACTACAACCTACATGTTAGTATTCCCAGCACCGGCCAAATTCAACAATAGCTTTGCAGAAGTGCGAACGCACCAGTGACCTTCAACTGGCCATTCATAAACATGTGGAATGTTCGCTCAAAAATGATGTAAATGGGCAAGAGAATGCTTAAAATAGCATTAAACAGGTTATCTTTCTCTGAAATGGCTTCAAAATACATCCTAGTTGTAACGATGACAATCAGTCTCTAAGTTAGACTAGTTTCTATACGTTTATTCACTGAGATGACTACAAATAAACTGTTTTTGTGAATCGTTTACCTGTCTCATCCTGCTTGCAGTCTTCCCAAAAAGCCCTCGGTTGAATTATTATGGTTTCTAGCAAGGGGATAGACGACTACTTACCTGGAAAACGTGGATAATAAAAAATTAAAATAAATGACATCAATTATAAATCTATCCTTAATCGTAACCATAAGCTTAGTCCTGACCAGAACACTAAACCTAACCTTAATCCTAACCCTAATCATAACCCTTATTCAAACCGTAATTCTAACCCCAATGCTAATAATAACCCCGATCCTAGCCCTAACCCCAATACTTACCTTAACTCTTATACTAACCCTAACGAGCTATTAACACATTGTCCAAACAGTATTTAAAACAGTGATCTGGGTGAAATTTGATATTTCAGCTATGATGATGACAGATGCCGTTAGCCAACGTCTAGCATGTGTTCAAGGTCACTGGAGCATTCACACTCCTGGGACACTATAATTGAACTTCGCCCCAGCCAGAGCTATGACAGTCAAGTGGTGGGACGAACTACGGAGAATTTTACCGGAGACCAGGAACATTTACCTCACAACAGAGAAACGAGCGCAAAGAAATCAAATTGGTTCCTATTAGCTCTTTAAAAAGGCATTGGATATTGGATACTGAAGAGATCGAATTTGTCACCTATTTTTAAAATTGCTCATGAGATATCGAACCATCAGTTATGACTCCAATTTCAGAAAGTATGTGGATGTTTTGTTTCATCGAACGATATAGGTGTAAATATTAGAGAAGAGATTGCTAAAGCGCTGTCGATTCTGGTAAATAATGAAACGTTTCATGGAGTTGCTGAAGAAACCCGATGTGCCGTTTTTATTGCCATAGAAAACTTTTTAAAAAATAAATTAGAATCCTTAAAGCTTCCTTCATCATTTACAGCTAAGGAGAGAGCTTTCGCTCACATAATCGCTCGGCTGAGTGGACTGTATTCTGAATCGGAAACGTACGTATGATTATTTACCAAAATATTAACATATTTTCATCTAATGGTTCTAAATAAAACTTCCTTTGAAGTTCACTAATCACAAGTAATCTTTATGTTTACTTGATTTGACTTTGTTATCAGTAGGCTGACCTGTTATAGTCATCATGGACTACATTTTCATAGAATATTTTCAAAGAATTTATTCTGTGTAGAATATTAGCCTGAAATTATGTCATATCCTGTAGGAATAATCGTAAAGCTTATTGCCAACACAATAAGCTTTGCTGAAAAGACACGAACTATTTTTTTTAACTGTAAAAGCAATCGGTTCACAACAGTTAATACAGTATTCACACGGCTTTAGAGCTCTGAGAAATTTCTCTCAATTTTTTATAGGTTTAAACCGCCTAAATGGATCACCAATAGTAATTTGGTATTTCTGAAGCAAGTTAACATATAAAAAGAGAATGGTTCACTTTTAGAAGATTACTGGAGAATGTTACTCATTCTTCCTTTTAATAGGCAACACTGATTCACCTCTTGGATGATTATGGGATATCATGATTTTACTGTGACATTGTTATGAAAGAGGCCGCCAGAAGTTCACGTTAAGTATGTAGGCGCGACGTCTGCGGGAGTTTTCACTGTAATAAGTACTATCCCACGTACTGTCATATCACTCTTCATGGATTAAAGGAAATATTCAAAAAATGGATTGTAATACTCAAATAAACTTTATTACTGTTAACAAGTTGTTGAAGAGAAACTTCAAATCATTTATCCTTGTTACAGGCTTATTCTAAATCATTTTGACACTTCAGTATTTTGTTTTAGTTAGCGACTTAAAAGCCGTTTGCTTTTTAGTTGAAATAAATGTACTATCACAGCACTACATTGAGTCTTTTCTTTCATGAGTGGCAATAGCTGGTGATTAAGATAAGACCAGCTAGTTACTTCATTTTCTTCGTCCACTTATTTGTGATTTCTGAGGAGAGACAAAAAAACTATTCTCTTCCAAGTTTTTCCAGTCATAATTGCAAAACTTAAGTATTATCATTACTTTATAAGGTTTTCATTTGTTCGTGATGTGTTATTTACATGCAGCTTTAAGTAACTCTGCCCTCGTAAATAATTCCACCATCATCATCACTGTGAACTAGAAAATTTGAGACTTTAAAGGTGAAAAAACTAACTAATGGTGAAAAAATTCGCAAGTTTCTTTGGCGAAGCTGAATAGGTGGGAACGCTTTAGTGACCTTCGACAGCTCAGTCAGTGCAAGGTGGTGAAACCATCTAAAACACTATATTCTCGAAGAAGAATTGCGGATGAAATGTAACGATATTAAAAAGGATATCTGGTTAATTGTGAGTTGTGCCAGGGACAAATTAGGGCTATATTGACCTAATTTGGGAGATATTAGGGTTAGTTACGGAGAGAATAAGACTAAGTTAAAGATAGGGGCCCGAATTTACCCGTTGATGCAGTCGCTTTTTCCAAGGTCCTCTGAGTATCTAAAGTTGATCTTCGCCTCATTTTAAAACAAAAGACAGGATAAACAAAGTTAAAGCATAACATAGGGATCACAATGGACAACACTTATGAAGAGAGGAAAATGACAAACATAATAATGTTTATATATTTGCTTCAAAAGGGTCCAACGTTTGTCTCAGTGGTTTTCAGGAGACAGAATTATTTGATAAATCAACTTCCAAAAGTTATATTCACTTCATTAAGATGACGCTTTGGGGTATTAAATGGAGGACAGTAATGAAGCAGACTATAAATATTTGTACAACTCACACGATTAAACAAGATTTTGTACGCATTAAATCCTCTAACTACTTGAAAGTTGGGACCCATAACATAGTTCCGTAGACTATAAATGAAGTTAAAAGTTGTTTGTCTGCAGCAAAACAATAACTTTTATGTTTTACAACATAACCACCGGAAGTCATAACCAATATAGAATGTTTACCAATTATTTCTACTGAAACATTCATGGCCACTCAAGAATGTAGATGTTTCTTTTATTTTATTAGAACAACTCAGCGTGAAAGACTTCTACACTAATGCATATGGTCAGTAATTTGGCAAAGTAGGCTGAAGTTGATGCCTGATAAAACTGAAATTTAAATACTTTAGGAGCTTTTAGATCTCAAACTTGATAGCTGAAAAGTTATTCATTATCTCATATCCTTAGATGTTTGATTTTAGCAATGGGATTTTAAAGATGATTCTCAGTTTCAGCTGAAATTATGAAGCTAAATCTTGTGCAGAGATGCATGTTTTAAAATACCGATTATTCGAATTGAATTTGAATACATTTATATTTATTTCACACGAAACTAATCATTATAAATAAGATAACTAGTGTGTTAACTGTTGCAAACTTAACTGTTTAAAAGAGATTAGCTAGGGTCAAGCTTGCTTACTTTTGTTTAACGTGTTATATCAGCAAACAGACTTTAGGCGGCAGATACCTTCGAACTACTTCTGTCTACAGGACTACTTCTGGCATCCGAGGGCAACATGGAGGAGATCGTGTGAGTAGGAGATAAGAGACTATGGGCAATAGTGGGAACAGCTAAGCAGGACCGCAGAGGATAGGACAAAGTGAATATGTGCTGTTGAAGCCCCATGTTTCACTCGTCAACCATACTAATAATAAACAAGCTAGCTTTAAAGGTTTATCAGTCTTAATGCGAAACGACCCTCCATATATATATATATATAAATTGTAAACAGACTACCTAAACAATTTATGCAGGAATAAGCCAGTTAGGTCAGCGAAGTCCTTTATCTTCGTAGTATTGTGTATGAATAGCCGAAATTATGCACTGAAACTTTACGAGATTAAAACCTACAGACAACCAGTCTTAATAAACTCAAATAAATATTGGACTAATCAAGTGAAGACATCTTAAAACGTGCCAAGCCTTAAAACACAGCGTTCCGAGATTTCGACCAGTCTGCTAATTTTAATTTTCTTTCAGCGTCAATGGTGAGAAGATTTTAACCATCAGTGCAGTATGTCCCCGAAAAACTTCTGCAAACTCAACAGCTGAATTTCATCTAACATGGAACAGTAAAAATATAGTGGTCCATCTGTTACAAACTAATCCAGTAACACCTAAAGAAAAACTCGAATTGTATCCTCGTGTTGAAGGAGCTTCAGGACTTGACAAAGGTAAAAAAGCTGTCACATTTTTTTCTTATTCTTTTAAAGATATACAACGAACGTTTTATTTCTAATTAGTAGGAGGGTAAAGTAATTTGCCACATATCCAGTAATAATCCACTATAACACTCTTTTTTATTCCTTTACGTTCCCAGTGGAACATAGGGCTTCAAGATGGAGGCTTGAAGTTTCTGTAGTGGTGGTGATTATTTTTACAGGATGGGGTTGTTAGCCTCATGAAAACCTTCCCCCTTTACTAGTCTTATTACTCGCTTAGCGAGGTAAAGGAGTGCATCGGTGGGGATCGAACCCCGGACCACATCTGTGATCGGCAGGCACTCTACCGCTGAGAAACCGACGCACGCTGTAACACTGAGATAAACATAAAATCGTTTTCCACACGTATTTTCTGTAGTTACGCACTACTTATCAGTAGAATGATTGGCATATGCTTTTATTGGAAGTATAAGAGGAAAACATAGGGCTGCTGAGAATTATTTTACCCACTACTGGCTGGAAATTGAGTAACACCTAGATAACTGCATAAGCAGTCAAAGAGTCTTAATACCTGATATTACATAACTACTAAATCAGTTAGACTAGAAGGTCTTAAACAAAGGTTTCAGAAACATGTATTTTAGAACCGAAGCTTGATCGCAAATCTTCTTTTGTTATTGTTTCATTATAAAATTTTATTCATACAGCTACTTTGACACTGCTTTCTAAATGATACTTAGGAACCAGAGAAGAACGACAGAGGGGTACAACTGGACGACTTATGGGTGCTGTACCACAAATCCCAACACCACCTTCTATTAATTGGAACAGGGAAGCAAATGACTCAAAGAAACAACTTATCAACAGTTATCGTCAACAAATTATCCATCACTTAAACTCCAGCCAAGTTGTGATAATCTCAGGCCCTCCGGGTTGTGGCAAGACTACAATTTTACCTCAGGTAACTGTAGTGTGAAAAGCCATTTTAGAAGTAAAATACTATAATTGCATTCGGAATTAGTTTGTAAATGCATCAGACACATAGCTATACTGATGATTTAAACTAAGTCGGTTAGGAAGGATATAGAATAACGGAGATTACTGACATCTCCAGTAAGAGTTTATAACTATCTTCACTTAAGGAAAGGTTCGTCCTGGTGCAAATATATTTACTTTGAACAGTTCTGTTAATCGATGAAATAGTTTCGTATCATTAGCTTCGTATTTATCTCAATATTACGTAATTTGATAAGCTGATGTATTAATTTTCTTGTAAAGAAAGGGTGAATCCTTGTCTATAATCGTGTTAATTTTCTTCAAACGAATTCTGAAAAAGAAGGAAACGAGCAATTGGCGACTTTAGAGTGTATGAGGTGAAGTTAAACTATCACATTTAAAGTCAAGGGCTGTCAAAACTGAACGCTATGAAAGGTCATTCCAAGCCAAATAATCCCTGCCTATATGGAATCGGGAGCATTGTCTCAACTACAGGAGGAACGGACGAGGATGTCAAATCGAGAATCGGGAAGGCGAGAAACACATTCATCAACCTGAAACCAATCTGGAAATCTTCGTCACTCAACTCAGCATCAACAACAAAATTCGGATTTTCAATACAAACTTCAAGTCAGTTAGTTCTTCTATGCGGATCAGAAACTTGGTGGGTCGCAAAGAATATTTCCAACAGCCTGTTGCAGACCTTTATCAACAGCTGTCTTCGCTCTATACTGAAGATCAGGTGGCCGGAAAGAATCATCAACAAGAAACTATGGGAACAAACAAAACAAAAACCAATCGCCCAACAAGTATGCAGGAGAAAGTGGAGATGGATTGGACACTCGCTAAAGAGGCCGCTGGGTGACATAGCGCGTCAGGCCATAGCTCGAGTGGAACCCGAAAGGGAAGCGGCGAGTGGGACGTCCAAGGGTGACATGGAGGAGATCGTGTGAAGAAGAGTTGAAACAGTATGGACTAACACGGATGCAAGTGAAAAGTACAGCAAAAGACAGAAACAAGTGGAGACGTGCAGTTGAAGCCCTATGTTCCACTAGGAACCCAAGGGAACAATAATAATAATAATATAGAATTGGTGAGGGTTGGTACTTTTTTCTCTAAATCTTTACTGCTAGTTAGGATTAGGGTTTAAGGTTAAGGTTAGAATTAAGGATAGGTTAAAGAATAGTGTCAGGAGTGGCAATAGATCTCAAAGTACCATTATCGAAATTCACCTGGACGAATATATCTATCACGCACAGTATGGTTTCTCTATGGATTGCCTTTGGGGTTGCTGGTATACATTGCTACAACACATAAGTTAAAAGTATCGGGTGTAACGTCATGTTTGCAGTGATTACTGATGTATTTTTTCTAAGGATTATACTACTTTTTCACATCTGAATTCTGATTGGTTGTTCAAGCTCACTGCGATTTTGGCTGTGATAACTTAATTTCACAGGGTATCATTAAATTATTTTTCTCTTGCTTTATGCGAACTCATATCCCAGTTTTCTACTATTACTAAACCTTCATCCACTTTAGTTCTTGTTTTTTTCAGTTCTGTTTTTAACTATTTTACTATAGTGACACAGATTTGGTTAACTTACAGAGTTAGGGAACTTTCCAGACTTAGGGTTTTTTACGCACATTAACTGTGCGTTCAATATTTCTTAGGTAAACCCCGAAACCACACTATTATAAGTGTTCATTCAGACATCTATAAAAACAAAATAATCGAGCAAAGAATATTCTTTTCGATAAATTCCTCTTCCAGGCTCTACAATTATATATATGTTTTTATACACAGAATATTTTAAATTAGTAGTTAATAACAATATTAGCGTTTTTTTAAATAATATCGATTTGTAAAGTATGATCAATGCTATTGCAGTTAATTAAAGATGCTTAAATTATAGTAATAATAAAGATATAACAGCGGATAGAATACCAATTAAAATTAGGGAAAATTCACAAAAATTCTGGATTATTCAAACCTGGATGGCCAAGGTAATGATAATGACTGGACTAATTTCTTCTGGGTGCATAAATTAGGCTTATTAATGTGAATCCCCACAGCCTCAGCAATATTTAGAAGTCGAACTCTTAAAGCGAAATTGAGATTCATAGGTATGCGGTAAATGACCCTGAAAGCATGATTAACGTCAATCTTGTGTTCTGTCTCCACAAGATGCGCCAGAATAGCACTGCGAATAGATTTTGTTTGACCTTTGCTTAACCAGGCAGGGTGATGTTCGGAAATTCGACGAGAAACACGCCTAATTGTACGGCCTATGTAACTTGCTCCACAGGAGCAGTTAAATTGGTATATACACATGGAAGAGGCGAAATTAGGCAGTTTGTCTTTTATTCCCGAACGCAGAAGAGGAGTGGTTTTGAAGATACAGCGCAATTGAGCAGCAGGGAATGTTCTTTTTACCGCATTTCTGAGGCGATGTGTTAGTGTGGTGAGAGCGGTCTACTAGCCAAGTGGTGGACAGTAATTGAGGTCAATATTTATGTATCAAATATTAGTCATGTTGTGGTGAGAGATGGTTGCTGGCCAAATTGGTTGACAGTAATTGAGGTCAAAGGTCAAGGTGGACAGGCGGTTACAGTTAACATATAGATGAACTGACACAGCCACAAGAGATGCAAGGTTAACTTGTGTGAGAAACAACCAATCAACAGGCTGTATTTTCTACTAACATTGACCTACAATAATGTACATAAAAATCTATAAATACGTGTTGATTTTTCGTAATAAACGATCTGTTGCCTGGCCCTTGTCTTCTGTTGTTACATTAGTATTTCACTTGTGTTGTCTCCGAGGAACTGCATCTGTAAGAACAAGGATTTCTTTGGAACTGTTGGTACCTTGGATTGTTTTGGTTTTAGATTCATATTCTTATCAATAAACTTTTCCGGATAACCATTCTCACTTAGCAAACGTTTAATATTGTTGAGCTCCTCGTCAAGACATTCATCCGAGCAAATCTCTCTTGCTCTGTGGACCAGGCACTTTATTAGATTGCGTTTGTATTTCAAGGGCACAAAGCTGAGAAAATGTGTGTACTGGCCCGTTGATGTAGGTTTTCTATAAACATTTCTTCTTATTGTGCCATCCTCTTTTCTGGTCATAAGGACGTCTAGAAATGAAATACTAGAGTCTTTTTCTTTCTCAATAGTAAAATTTATTGCAGGATGTACCTCATTAAATTTATCCAGGATATCCTTTGCCTCATTTTCGTTCTTCATAATCAAAAAAGTATCATCCATGTATCGACAATAAAATTCGAGTTCATTAATAACATCTTTCAAAGGCCCATTTTCTAGTTTCGCCAGGAAAATGTCGGCTAGAATGGGTCCTAGTGGCGACCCCATTGCCACACCGTCGATTTGTCTATACAGTCCCTTATTAAATAAAAAGTGGACATTCATTGTACATTTCAAGAGAAGTTCCTTCATGAAAGCTATAGGAATGCCAATCTCGATGTTTCGTCTTTTGAGTTCTTCACATATAAAGTCCACTGTTTCCATGAGAGGTACATTAGTGAATAAAGAAGATACGTCAAATGATATCATAAATTTGTTATCAACATTTAAATCTCTTATCCTTTCAACGAATCCAAATGTATCCTTTACACTATGTTTCACCAACTCAGTATGAAGGGGCTGTAAGAGTTCAACTAACCATTTGGCTACCGGATGGTATGGTGAATTTAGCATATCTAATACTGGTCGTAGCGGTACACCATTTTTGTGCACTTTAGGCGAGCCATATAGTCTTGGTGTGAACGTTCCGGTGGGTTTAAGTGACGTGTATTGACTCTGTGAGATGAAGCCTTGTTGTTTCAGTCTTTTCAGTGTTTCCGCCAACTGCATCTCTATCTTTTCAACCGGATCCAGAGAAGAGGAGATTTTTTGGAATTTTGAATTATCATTAAGAATAGTATTCATCTTCTCCAAGTAATCCGCTTTGTTCAAGATAACCACTCCTGAGCCCTTATCCGGTCTTGTTATTATTATGTTGTCATTTTTGCGGAGAGTATCCAGGGCTTCTCTATGTTTTTTGGTTAAGATACTATCTGAATTGCGTTTACTGTTCATGTAATAATAGCAGCAGTCGACCAGCGTTGATTTAAATCTTTCAACATCTTCAGTTGATGAGGGTGTTAGGCCTTCCGTTTGGGTGTAGAGACTTTCGAACTGAATTTGTGCATCCATTTTGTTGATTTTTACATGGCTGTCACAAAATTTGGGGCCAAGCGATAAAACCTGTAGATCCACTTCACTAAGTATTACATCTGAAAAATTAAACACAAAACGATTTGGGTTCGGTGGAAATCTTGTTTCTGGTGTCTTGTTCTCTAGGCTCTGTACCAGCTTCAGGCGCTTCTTTTCTTTCCTATTGCTCACAATTACCTCCACATAATCTAAAAATAGTTTCTTTAGGTTTTCTGGTAATTCGTCGACCGCATAGAACCTTTCTGTCACATTCTTAGATAACTCAGTAATACACAATTGAATTGAGTCAATTTGGTTTCGTGCATGGCGTTTAAGAGTCTTATCATTAGGCCGGATTCTGCAACGGCGTAGAGATTTCCAATAAGATTTTAGGTACCGGTTCGTATATTGTTATTAACTACTAATTTAAAATATTCTGTGTATAAAAACATATATATAATTGTAGAGCCTGGAAGAGGAATTTATCGAAAAGAATATTCTTTGCTCGATTATTTTGTTATTATAAGTGTCTCGTAAAATGTGGCTTGCAGTATGTTATACATGAATACACCGTTTTCATTTTCAGTTTTTAATTAACAGCTATTATATGAAGAACTGATATATATACCGAGTGAGATAAACCTTGAGTATATTTAAAAGTAGAATCTTGTCCCTATGACAACTAATTACCACCTATGACAGTTAATTATGTCTGGAAAAATCGTCTTGTTTTACAGAAGCAGGGCTTCCAAAATCATGTTTAAAGACAGTGAAACTTTTAGAGAAAATACAAATAACAACTGCTGGTCGATTTGTTTGGTGAGGCTTTTTACCATTACCGATGATACTCCTAATAGTGGTGGACTGGATTATGCGGAACACCGCACTTGAGGAGCGTGAAGGCAGGAAACTTTGAACCAATGAGAAGGCTGTAGAAGATACAGCCATCGCGGAAGATTTATCTCTCGTATCACATAAACTCGAAGACCTACAGGCAAAGATAAAAAAGCTGACAGAAGAAGCCGCTAGTGAAGACAGGACATCAGGTGAACATAGAGAAGACGGAGGTGATGACAATAACCAACATACAACAGCAACAATTATCAATCAATATCAATGGGATAAATTTTAAAGAGGTCACATATATCCCTTTTCTGGTCTGTATTGCTTCAATTACAGGCGACAGCACGGATGAAGTAGTCAAAAATTGGAATCTGAAACAGGAGACAGACATTTACCACTCTGTAACCAATGTGGAAGTCTTTTACATTCAGCATAAGCAGCGGAATTAGGATTTTCAGCACCACTGTTAAGTCAGTTGGTAAGTTCTTCTATATTGGTCAGAAACATCGCGCACACGTGATGAAGACATTTCCAACAGGCAGCTGCAGACTTTTATCAACAGTTGCCTTGGCTAGCTGTAAAATGAAGATCAGATGGACATCTAAAAGGAATTATGGACAACGAACCAACCAGGAACCTATTGCTGAACAACACTGTGTGATTTATCAAAACAAAATCTTATCCATAATAAAGTTATGCTCTACCACAGTGCCAAAGTTTTATACTTATATCAATATTCCGAATGAAATGGAGATGTATCGGACACATATCGAGGAGACAGTTGGATTACATCACTCTCAATGAAGGCTCTCAAGTGGAACCCAAGTGGGAAACAACAAGCTGGGCATGTGTCCAAGGGAGATGTGAAGATGGTCATTCTCGAGACCAACTGCTGATCACCTCAGAGAACAGAGCAAAATGGGGATGAGCTATTGAAGCCCTTTGTTCCATTTGGAACCCAAGGGATAAATAATAATAATACAACAGATATACTTTAAACCTTTTGAAAAGCTAAATGAGTAAAAATCACATAGATACTGCTCAAGATACATCTTTCATTGGTAGAGATTCTCTCAACGTTATCGTGAAATTCACTTCATTGTGAGATTGTACGGCAATACAATAACTATCCAAAAGTAATGTCAGCCTTTGGGTGCCTAGTGCTACTGAAAAAAGAATCTGGGAATGAATTTCTGTGCATATTATCACGGCAAACAGATGACTTTGATTCATTTTTAATTTTGTAAATGTAAATGTAATAATTATCTTCAAGGGTTCTATATACTAAATATTCCCATAGTAAAATTTAGAACAACACATTTAAGCGAACAATATTGTTTTCAATTAGGTCTCATCAGGCTTAACTCTAATATATGTAAGTTTACAAATAAAATTCAAATATAAACCAATCATGGTGTTTTGCTTATAGGATAATACGATGGTGAATATAAATTGTGCAATTAGTCATAATAGTAGTAATGCTAATAGTAATAATTATAGTAATAATAGAACTGGTCTTATCAATAATAAGAATGAAAAAGTGAGTCAATTTGTGATAACACGAATAATGAAAAACAGCATGATTAAACAAACAACTGTTCAGGTGGAAGTAGTCGATAAAGGCTAGTAAAAACAAATGAACCAATTAAGTAATGTTAGATTGTAAGGGAAGGAAATGAAACACGTTCATAATGAAGATAAGATTAAGGGATGATAAGAAAGGGGATGAAAATACAAAGAAAGAGTGGTGTAGAAGTTATTAGTTGGTTGCGTCTTAATAGGCCAAGGGAGGGATAAAGGTTGTACGAACTTTTTTGAATACATAATTTAGGTTTAATAGTTCGAATGCCTATTGCCTCAGGTGTGTGTAGTAGAGAAAAGCTAATTCGTTCTTACCAATCACACGTAAAGAACAGTATTTCTAAGCTTGATATAGATAATCATACTGCGTCGGCAGAGGTTTCTAGAAAGTTCATGCGAATGTATTTTATAGATCTCTCCACTGTAAACACTACCAATGAACGTCAACAGCACGATAATTGTCTATATATACTGAAAATAGAAAACATTTGAAAATTATGAGTAATAAAGCGATATACTACTCGTAAATAATACAACTCTAAATTTGAAAATACTAAGACTGTTTATTCTTTTTATACCATAATATAGATTTTAATGGATGAGTGCTTTGCTCGTGGTCAACGATGTCGTATGATATGTAGTCAACCTCGACGTCTATATGCTCATATCAATGCTGAACGTTTAGCACATTTAAGAGGTGAAAATGTTGGCCAAACAATTGGTTATCAAATTCGATTGGAGTCAAAGTATTTCTTCTTTTAACTTTTCATAAAATCGTTTGTGCTTTGTATATTTGGATTACTGATTTGTTATTATAAATTTTAAGCTTTTAATAAATGAACAGCCATCAGAAGAGTCGACTATCTAGTCATAAATCTGGCATATTGACTTCAGTGCGAAATGTGTAGCAGTTACCAATTAAGACAATTAAGAGAAGAAAACGTTTTAATAACACGAGTGTTAGTCACCGTGATGCTTTTTCATTTAACCAACACGTCTAACTAGCTCCATTATGGATAAAATTCTACTTTGATAAAATCACCCAGTGGTATAAAGTAATATCTACTGATCACGTTACAAGCACAATTTATTGCCACTCATAATCATATCAAGGCAATCACACACAACTTTCTGCGCTTCATATATATACATGAGTAAAAATTGATTAGACATTTGAATAAAATCAATATAAGATAAAGTACATTCGGAAATAATATTAGTGTCATCAATAAAATACAATAAAATGGGAAATAAGGTGTTTTCATAATAAAATATATAATAACAACTTGTTAGGATGTTAGAATGTGAATTCAATACACTTTTACATTGTTCATTATCCTGTGATTTGACTGGTAATAATATCTCCCATACATATCTCTGGTATTTGTGTTAAGTCATTTCTGTTGCGTGTATAGGGTGTAGATTATTCGATGAACCACGATTCAGTAATAAATCCCTCTCTCTCGATCTCCACGTACCTATAAATTACTCAACTTCGTAGAATCAGTCATTCTAACTTTAGCTAAATTCTTATTTTCTGATAATCTCGCTACTCCTAATCTACTAGTTTGACTGACCCATGTGGTCGACTGAAGTGAAAGTCATTGCAAGGTATTTGTAAATTATATTATTTTGTTTAATTTGGTCCACCGACAGGGTCCTTTAGCCTACAGAGCTTGTCCTACCTGAGTTTGTCGGTTTGAATGCCACCGTAATTCCTGCTTTATTGAGAATCCTACGTAAGGTCTCAAATGTCCCCTCCTTATATGGTAAAACTACTGTAGATGCCTAATATTCTTTCCTACTTATGCTATTATTATTGGCTTTGCTGTTGACTTATTTTAATATTCCTAATGAATTTTATAGAATAGTTATTTAACAGCAACGTCTCTTCTATCTGTTTCATTTTATCATTTAGGTTTTTTGTTGTACTACTTAATGATGTTGGTGCTCGGTTTGTTAGACACTCAACTAAGCCTGTCTTTACAGACAACGGATGAGATGAATTAAAGTCTAAATATGTATTAGAACGCGTTGGCTTTTTATAAACACTAGTGTGCAGTTTACCTTCTTCCACTCGTTTTATTTCAAATACTGATGATATACGCAACTAGTTTGTCTATAATAAGAACGCTTAAATTTGAATTGAAAAGTTGGTGAACACTTAAATCATATTTGCACATGGAAATAATTTATTGAGTTAAGAATCAGTGTTCGAATTGCTTGTTTCAACACATTCAAAACATTCATTATCCAGTAATTATTACTACCCCTTTGGATTCTGGGTGGAACATAGGCCATCAGCAATGCATCTCTATTTAATCCTGTTCTATGCAGGCCTCTTTAACTGGCTGCATGATTGCCCATAGACTGTCATCTTCTCCTCACAAGATCTCCTCCATGTCGCACTGGGACACACGCCAAACTCGTCATTACACATTCATATTCCACTCGGGAGCCTGGGTGACGTTGTCTCCTAAGCGTGTGTCCAATCCACCTCCATTTTCTTATACAAATTTTCTTAGCAACAGGTCCTTAGTTAGTTCGTTGCTGGAGACTCTTGATGTTAATTCCTTCTGGCCTGCTATCTTATCTTCAATGTGAAGCCAGCGAAGGTAGCTGTTGATAAGAGTCTACAACCGCCTGTTCGAAATGCTTTTCGCGGCACACCGAGTTTCTAACCTATGTAGAAGAACTGATTGATTTAAAATTGGTGTTGGTAATCCAAAACTTGTTCTTCAGACTAAGTGCAGCAAATTTCAAATTGGTTTGAGAGTGATGAATGTCTGACTTGCCTTTCAGATTTTGGTTTTGGCATCTTTATCCGTTCTGTCGCCTGCAGCTGAAACGATGCCGCCTAGATAAGTGAAGGGAGTGATGTCTCCCGTTGACAGTGATTGGTGTGTGTTGTTGTTGCTGTTGGGTGGTTATCTTCATCACCTTCATCTTCTGTATGTTTACTTGAAGTCCTGTCTTGCCTTCTATCTCTTTTGACAACTAATTGATTCTCGCCTGTAAGTCTCCGAGTTTGTGTGGCACTAGACATAAATTATCTGTAAAGTTAAGATCTTCTAGGGTCTTTTTTCAGTCCAACGTCTCCCTGTCTTCTATCTCCCGAAGCCCAGTCTTCCACATAATTCAGTCCATTACAATCAGTATTATCATCAGAGATAGTAGGTAGTCTTGTCCTATTCCTGTCTTCAGTCCACTTGTATCGCTGAGTTTTCAGTTGTGGATCATTTGGCATGTGGTACTGTCATGTGGCTGTTGGATGCAGTTTAATCATATGCTTATATTCTTCGTAGAACTACTTAAAATCTGTGAGTAGCACAAAGCAAATCTATTGTGGGTTATTACTTTTCAGTGGTCGAGTTGTGGGAACTTCTTTCATTTCATTGTAAGCTTCTTTACTAAACTGGATGATTACTTAAATTCACGAATAATCTGGCAGTAAACTACTTAAAATAGTATCTTTTCATGTTGAGACACTGAGTAGTGACAAGTTACCACCCAGAAACTCTTTTTTACCTAAATGAGAATCAATTAACACTCATATATCAGTTCGTTTTTCATTAATGACCAATTTTGAGATAATTCTTGGAATCCCAGTAAGAATTTTTAATTCATGAAGTACATCAATTGGAATGTAAAGGAATTTACAAATCATTTTTATCGGCATCTTAACCTGTAGACCCTGGTGTCAACCCCTCACCCGAGAGCTCCTAAATCCTGACGAACAGTCTGTCTAGCACATCTGAGACACAGAAAAATCTCTGAATGATACTGGATCTCAGTGAAGTCTACCTCAAAAAAAAAGAAAACCAGAGCTAAGCAATCTCGAATATAAAGCGTTGGAAAACAGAAACCTTAAATTATACGGAAGAAAGCCAAACTGCTCTTCACTCTATAATATTGGGAAGTATTAGGCCCAATAGTTCAATTTAAAAGATTCACAGACTGTAAATCACGGTAAATCAGTCTTGAGTAGATAACGTTTTATATTAAGATACTGAAGTGCAGCTAATGGCGTCAGTAAAAAGTATTTGAACACTTTAATTTAACAGAAATTCCTGTAAAGGTGAATCTTAAGAAACTAAGGAGCACATTCGTCGAATTTCTTCATGTTTTTAGAACTGATGCCATATCAAATGACAATCAGCTTTCATTAGGTTTTTTCCGTATCATAATAACACGCTTTTCTTAATTCTTCTTTTTCTTTAGAGTATCTCCAAGAACTCTATTAACTTTCTGTACACATGGAGTTCTTTTGCGAACAATATATGCAGATTCTAGACTTATGGTAGGTACAACACACATCATCGTGGATGAAATAGAAGAAGATGAGATACCTGCAAGTTTTATGTTACTAGATTCTCAAATGGGAGATATTAATAGTTCTGGTGTAATAGATAAAAATTGTTATGCTGACAATCCAAGTGGAGGATGCGGAATTTTGTTAGGAATTCTACCCTCACTTCTGTCTCAATATCCACATTTAAAAGTAGTGCTTGTAATAAATACTCATTTATCTACTTATAAATCTTGGTACAACAATACACTGAAATCAGAACATGATCAAACGAGAGTTATGTGTTGCAGTGAAAGTGGTAGTTTGGCTGCTTCAGTGAACATTTCAAATCCGAATACTATTAACAGCCCTGAAGTGAGTTAAAAAATGATACAGTAAGTTATCTTCTAACTTTTCTAATGACTGTGAAAATCTACAGATTCCAATAAATCTTGAATGAAACCACTTTTTTGTTGTGTAGAAGTGAAAAAGAAGTATGGCTGTATTAAGGATTGCATCCAGTGAAACTTGATGGCGTATACTAAAGCTAAAGCCCTAGCAGGTACAGTTTTCTTTTGGATACTGTGTCAAGAAATAGCAGGTGTATTTGTAACCAAAAATTATGTGCTAATAATAGAAGAAGTTTGCTACTACCAATACTAACGAATTTGAAACAATAATATTACAAAAACGAAAATAAAGTGTAGTGTGTAGAGGTATCTTTTACCGACAATTTATATAGGGAAGAAATCATACTTCACTTGTTAGCTGACACCAGTTTGAGAATCATTAGAAAGCTATTCCGTTCTAGTCTGGTACTCTTCAACGGTACACAACCACCGGGGCTCGAACCCATGGCCTTCCGGTCTCAAGGCGAGCCCGTAGACTATTCAGCTACCAAGTCCGGTAAGTGATCAATAGCTCACCTATGACACTGACTGGCAGTTGCGCTACATATGTATATATTGCGAATTGGTAAAAGCTGGAATTCGTGGGCGATTGGGTGGGCTCTCACTGACTGAATACTCTACTAGCTCGCCTCGCAACCAGAAGGTCCTAGGTTTGAACCCCGGTGAGTGTGTACTGTTAAAAGTCCCATACGATGACAAAACAGCTACCCAGTATTCCCAGGTGTTCCAATGGTTCTTGTACTGATATCAAATCGTGACCAAAACTGTAGCCAATCAAATCACTACAAAACCAATACTTGACAATTTTTTCTTATAACAAGAAAAGCAGATTACTCTTTAATGTTAAATAAGTTCACAATGTCTTGTAGTGGCAAAATATAGCAGAATTAGAACTTGTGTTTATTTTTATACTGTGGGTATAAAGGTCTCACTGCATGATCAAATGACTATTTATTTTGTCAACAAATTAAATGACATCTAGGGTACTTATTATATATTACCATTATATATAATATTATTTTATAATTAGAAAGAAAGTTCTGTTATCAGTAGAGATGATAAATATTGAATAAATGAAAGGAAGGTTCATAAGATGTTCTAACGATCAAAACCAAAAATTTTTAGTCTGAATCCAGGAAAGCGACCTTTGCGTCCCATTGTATACCTCACCAAAACTTCCTTGGGTTACTCAGTCACAAAATGCCACAACGACAACAAAAGGACGGTTATTTGCAATAAAACCTGCTGTACTGTTTAACAATAATAACATATCAAAATGCAGAATTACGTCAAAAATGCTGTTAGACAGCTATCCAGATCAAATAAGTTATGAAGTACAGAGAAAAAGCACTATGGAATAGAGTTATTCAACCAAAATCAACCGTATGAAGTATTTGAGAATCAAGAGGAATATTCCCAACAAGGCGGGATCAAAGTCCTGTCAGCAAGAAACACACACACCAAACAATTACTACATGCAGTCCAAGATCAGAATGACCTTCATTTAATAAAACGAAATCCCGTTTGTAGAAAAACACGTTATCACTCTCATCACACAACCACGAAGAGAAGCATTGAAATTAGAGGTTAAACAGTGATAAAGACAAATAATACGGTTTGAGTCTACATATGATATGCAAATGTCATAACAATGATATACAGTCTAGGAGAAAAAAAGAAAATAATTATGAAGTTGGTTGAAACATTCAAATAGGTATGAGTACTGTAATTGTATCGTTCAGGAGAAATTTTCCGAACAATTATTCCTTTACAAATGTATTCACAGCAGTAAAACACTGAAACTGTTTGGAAGAGCATACACTTGAATAAATGAGAGAACAAGCTGATGGTTAATACATTCTTTCGGTATATTGTCATTCATCATAATGCATAGCGGCGTTCGCAAAATTGATTACTACTTGTTGTATTTCTGATTTTATTAATTGTATCAACAATAAAAACTCCACAGCTATATTCGCTTCGACTACTGCCAAAACACCTATACATAAACTGCTTCCTCTATAGGTAGAGTAGCATTAATGCTGCAATCATCAATTCCATACATCGATTACCACAATTTTCACCAGCCATTGTTACCGGCGAGTATCTGTCTTCGCGCCTGACATGCTGAAGAGTTACAAACTGGGACGAAACAGCTGTTAAATACTCTGTGGTTTTCCAATGATTCTCTAACCAATGTCAGCTCGTTATCAAACTTCAAGGCCAATCAAATCCCTACAAACGAATTCTTGAAATTTTTTATATTGCTATATTGTCTTAGGCATTTTATGGGTAAATAATAGAGAATATGGTCAGGTTCACGCAAGTATTTTGTCAAACAGTTAGCAGTCTGTCAGTGAAGATCTGTAGTGGAAAACTCACTTTCTGTTTATTTAATTAACTAGATATCATACATTGAGAGATAATTATAATTTGCTTTCAGAATCTGATGAATTGGATTATCCATGTAACGACAGAAGACAAGAGTCCGGCAACACATCGTTTATTGAGGAAATCAACAGATATTCATAGATTTTTATGTACATTATTATTAGCGTTATTGTTAGCAGAGAAACAACGTCCTCTGATTGGTTGTTTTCCTGCTGAAGGTTATTCTGTCATCTCTTTGTTGTCGTTGCGAAGACAGTTCGGTGATATATATCTTCGAATCGGATCCGCCCACGCTAAGTCTGTTGTGACTGGTCGTTGAGTTCTTCAAGGTTAGGCTTTGATCTTGTTTTCTATCTTGACCCCGATTCGGGACGGAAACAATGATGTAAATAGTTGCATAAAATTTTGGATTGCAGACAGCTCTCACCGCATCCAAACAATGCAGGCTGTAATCGACAATTAATGATCACTGGTAGAATTATTCGGTTCTAACTAGAAAAAAAATATTCAGAAGAAATACACTTTTGGTGAAATCATATTTTGTGAACTATTCTGGTCAGTTATATGACTGAAAGTCTAAAGTGTCTGGTATAATATAAAGCAACATTTAATGGACAATATCAGTCAAGTGTTAAAGAATGCCTATTTTTTGTTTTCAGCAGTTGCCGAATGACACCGATAACGACAACTGTGTTACAAGAGATAATAACTCACTGGTATTCAGAAACGATAGGCTGGATCTAAGCAGAACGCAATTTGAAATGATAACGGACAGTCCTCAGTCGAATCCAGGCTTTCTTATTCCCTCTAACATGTACTTTAGTAACTTGAATTCAGTAAATAACAATGGGATTTTATCTATGAATAATCAAAATAAATTTGATATGCCTCAAATTTTTTCTGTTCCGGATTACACGTGCAAATCAAGTCAAGTTCTGTTATCATCATCATCAGCAGCAGCAAAGGAGGACAGTTGTTCTTCTTCGCCTTCTCCTTGTCTAACAAAAATCAAATCACCACTTAATAAGATTCCGAATGATCCATCGTTGAAAAAGTTGACCTACGAACCATTACAAGGTTTCAGTAAATACTTCAATGGAGCTCCAGTAATTAACAGTAAGTCATGGAAATTCACAATATTTTCCGTTCAGAGGTTAAAATAGTTTAAAGTCTTCATGTTGAATTGAATGTTTTCAAAGAATTCACGTGCACTGAACTGCCACTTTCAACCATAAGTATTTGTGCATTTATAGATTTATTGTCATACGACTGAAGGCAGTTGGTGGTGTTAATGCCTCTGACCTCTGCACCTCGTGATGTGGGTGAGAATCTCCAGGAGTAGGCGAGGGACAGTGGTTCATTTGCAGTTGTACATACGCCTTGCTGGTGAGTGACAGCAAGTACGAAACCTAGGTTGCGGAATTCATTCTGACTGCTACCAATTAAAGCTTCTAAAACAGGATAAAAATATTGTCATCACAAAAGCTGACAAAGGAAACGCCACCGTAGTTTTGAATAAATCTGACTATATCAAAAAAGTTATTGAACATATTCAAACGAGTCCATATGAGGAAATTAAGCAGCCTGTAGATACAATAATGAATAAGGTTAAGAAATCTACAGCAGAACTAATACGCAGAATGAAGCCGTCACAGAGTGAGTCTAAATGGTTTAATTTAATGCCTAAAACCCATAATGCTAGTAGAATATATGGTACTATTAAAGTACATAAGCCAGGATACCCCATAAGGCCAATAGTAGATTTTAGAAATACCCCAACTTATGAATTATCAAAACACTTAGCTCTAATACTATGCCCTATCAGAAATCATTCAAAGTCTAGATTAACTAATTCATATGAGATGAAAAGTAAACTAAATGACATTCAACTGGCGAATGACGAAACAATTGTTAGTTTCGATATAACTAGTCTTTACAATAATATATCAGTCAACATGGCCTTAGAAGCGGTTAAAAGAGAACTAACTTCTGATTCCGAACTTAGTCATAGGACAAAGATGCCCACTGAAGAAATTATTTTAGGGATTCAGTTATGCCTCACATCTACTATCTTCAAGTTCCAAGGCAAAATATATAGACAAACAGAAGGTGACTGCTACCAACTATTTAACATTGGTTCAAAAAGTTCACCATGACGACCACATTCCAAACCTGATTTAAAGAATTCAGACAGTATGCCTAAGAATGAGATACACGACACTGGTTACACCCCAGTGACTGATCAATGTAACTCTTAGATTTGAATGAACAAGCAATATATTGATATCTTCTTGTCTGGTGTTCATTTATCATTCAAGTAGTAATCACAAAAGTATCTTTTCTGCTCTCAAAAACCAAGCATACCTTCATTTTAAGGTACTTCAAGACGTAAGTACAGTATGACTACAGATTAAATTACAGTATTTTGGAAACTTTGAAGTTTGAGAACTGTGTAATGATATCTCGTGATTGTGAGTACCAGAAAAGCGAAACATTTATTAAACAGACTGAATCCACCCTATAGCTTAGATCAAATTATATTGCACCCCTTAATGACAACCTTTTAATTCCATATCGATTAACGTTCATGAGACCAGACAAATATACTGGTTAATATCCAACCATGAGTTTGCAGATGATCAGCCTTACTGATTCACTGACCTCAGTTTTATTTATAGCAAACTGTTGAGTTGCCTTCCAGTTTATATTAGAATTTCTAGACATATTTTCACTTAAAACATCTGTTTTATTGTAGAATACTTTGAGACAAGTCAACAAGAGTCTGCTGAGAATAAACTGGTTAATCAACCACTTCTTAATATGGCTCAGATTAGCAGTTGCAGAATTCATATACTGAGGCCATTTTTACATGATATTACAATCAGATTACTCATGCCTTTATTCTACGCCACCTAGAGAATTTGAAGGATTTCTAGTTTATGTGTCTTGTAACAAAAAGCCATGATGGAAGTGATGATGTTAAGATATGTAGATTCCTTTTGAATAAAATTCTCATAGCAAACTTAGGGTTTTTGTATTACTTTTGACTCGATAAGTGTTACCGCACTTTTTATATTCCCCTCCCCTCAATAATTTGGTTTGTCTTTTAAGTTCCTGGAACGGTATACAGTGGAGAAATGTGTAATAATAGAATTAAAACATTGGATTGGATATCGGTGAAATAGTATTAAATTATCAGTGTTATTTTGGTGTGGTTGTGTTCTCTGAGCTGGATAGTTAATGAACTTTCAAGTATTGGTTTTGTAGGGATTTTGTTTGATTGCATAGAGGATTTCATCATGAGCTGACATCAGTAAGAGAACCACTGGAAAACCTGGAAGTACTGGACAGCCGTTTCGTCCTAGTTTGGGACTCTTAATCAGTTAACCCGGGGTTCTAGTGGGAAGCCGTGACCAGTAGGGTACAGCAGGTTGAAGATGAGGCAGTAACTCATCGAAGAAGACATTGCGAAATGGTCGCGCTATGTTGTGAATCGGCAGAAGTTAGAATTCAAGGACCATTGGATCGGGTCCCAGTGGCTCAATGGTGTACGAGCTCGCCTTGTAACCAGAAGGCCCTGGGGTCGAATCCCGGTGGGTGCGTACTGCTGAAGATTCCCAAACTAGGACGAAACAGCTGTGTAGTACTCCCAGGTTTTCCAGTGGTTCTCTAACTGATGTCAGCTCATGATGAAATCCTCCAGTTAATGAACTATCCAGCTCAGAGAACACAACCACACCAAAATCATCCACGTGAGCTACAAATCTTCTCTATCACATCTATTATTAGTGTTAACTGGCAGTAAGAATAGTCCCTGTCCTCTTTCCTCTTGATAAAATCTTATTAAAAGGAAACGTGACATTCTATCCCATATTATCTGATAATATTCTAGTTTTTCTTTAAATAAAGCACTTATTTTAGCGATTACTCCGAACTTACAAGTCAACTAATTATAATAACTTGAATTTTATATGTACTTGGACGGAATACACTTAATATAAGCTTGGATTGTAGCATCTCACCGACTTTGTTCTAACTTTTTTCTCTTGTTATATTTTTGAAACTGCAGTACCACATACTACTCAACAAGTGAAAACCTATTATCTGGAAGATATTTTGGAGTGGATAAATTATTCAACTTCGCAAATGGATGATGCTTTCATATCTTTTGTACAAGGTAGGTAGTGTTATTTGCGGTTCCATGTGAAGCATCAGGAGTTTATCTAGTTATTACACTTCTAACTTAAAATCATTTTAAGTTATGCAAAGTCATAACTATGCTGACGCGCATCATTATTTCTTTTCATTAGTTCCTACATAGGAGGAAGGAGTGAGTTCCTGCATGCTCACCACTGACATAGGTTCTCAGTCATATCTGAAAAAGTCTGCAGCTGACGACTTGCGTGATTTCTCAGACACCATCTAAGAAGTAGAAATACACCAACAGATTTTAATCCAACACCCTTGCACCCTCCACTTTTTATAACCTATTTGTGCGAAAATTGAAGGGATCCCATGTATAGCATACGTCCAAGTAGATGTGCAGGGAATTTGCGGAAACCCAGGGTTCTAAGCCACATGTAACTTTATTTATCATCTTGTGAGTGCAGCTAGCGTTTGTCTGTATTACTAGAGGGCCAATAAATACCTAACCTTAAGTGTAGCTTGATTTAATATTTTACAGTGGAAGTAGGTACAAGCATAAAGTTAGAACTATGATATATGCTGAGTGAGCTCGGTTGAAGTCATTCAGTTGACTGTGGAACTCATTTCTCAATGTATCCAAACTCTACTCTGCTCGTGAGTTTCTTTGGCTTGTTGTAATTTATTACAGTATAACTCTCTAGCCCTGGAATGCATAACTAAACAGAAATGGGAATCGTTGATATAACCATAAAACTTGGGCATTGTGATATAGTCAAACTAATAATGATAACATAAATAGGAAAGAGTATAAGGCATCTACAGTTTTACCATATAAGGAGGGAACATCTGAGACCCTACCTAGTAGGATTTTTCAATAAAGCAGGAATTAGGGTGGCATTCAAACTTACAAACTCACCCAACCTACAAGCTCTGTAGGCTGAATGACCCTGTCGGTTGACCCAATTAAACAAAATAATATAATTTACAAATACCTTGCAATGACTGTCAGCTGAGTCAACCACATAGGTCAGTCAAACTAGTAGATCGGGAGTAGTCAGACTGTGAGACCATAAGAATTCATGTTAGAATGATTGACCCCACCAAGATAAGTAATTTAGAAAACAACCGAGCAATCTCACTGCATGCACTAACAAATAACCACGCAACAGGGTGGGACAGAGTCAAAATTTTAAAAAGTAATATGCTTAGATGGAGAGGGAGATTGATTACTGAATCCTTGTTCAATATGTCTACATCCAACACATGCAACAGAAGTGACTCAACACAAATACCAGAGATATGTATGGGAGATATTATTACCAGTCAAATCACAGGATAATGAATAATTTTAACATTTATTGAATTCACATTATAACATTCTAACAAGTTATTTATTTTTACTATTATAACACTTTATTTCCCATCTTATTGTATTTTCTTGATGACACTAATATTATATTCGAATATACTTTATCATATATTGATTTTATTCAAATGTCTAATCATCGATGTTTACTCATGCATATAAATGAAGCGCAGAAAGTTGTTTGATTGCCTTGACATGATTGCGAGAAGAAATAAATTGTACTTGTAACGTCATCAGTAAATATTACTGTATAATACTGTATGATTTTATCGAAACAAATGGACATCCACTGGAGCAATGCACTTATAGCTAGCGTTTATTATCATGGTGAGATTCATAAACAGCGGACGCTGAAACTACAGGAACTCTAAATAAGCGTGCATACAGCTTATTATTGAACTCAGAAATCAAGAATTAGATAAAAATGCTTCTTTTAAATAATGTATGCAGGTCTACGAGGTAAAACATACGTTAATAAGGAGGCTTACAAAGGTTCCGACCACATAAATTAACTAAAAGTTAGTGAACATAATTAATAACCATACTGTTAACAGAAATAGGAAGAAACGGTCCATGTATGGGGATAATAATAAAAGTACATTTGTAAATAAGTTAGTGTCAGAAATGTTTATTGGCGGAAAAGTAACCACAACAGTTTGCAGGAATAGGATGAAGTCTTTTCCCGAATTATTTCTTAATAATTTGTGTGATAGGTGAGACTCTATCTGAAAGTTCAAACCGAAGGATAGTTATTTTAAAAGACCACTCCTACAGCGTACTACAGAAAGTCAGCAGAGGGACGTTAGAAGCTAGGTGTCCATGGGTTTCACTGGAGAGAACAGGTCTATATGTTATTTGTTCATTTTGGACAGTGAATACAATGTGTATTTTTGGTTCAGTATCAGTCTTTTCTAATCCTCCGATTTGAATTTTACATGTTCACAAATTCAGTGATGAGTGCTGATTATTTTAATTTTTAATTCAGCTTTTCTGAGGAAACTCGTTTTTGTATGAAAGTTTGTTTTTAAAAAGGCAATTCTCAACTCATTATCCCAACTTCGATTCTACACTGTTCAAACATTTAAATTACGGAAGGATAAAAGTGCTTTGACATTCAGATAATCAGTTTACTTACAGTGTTTGGTAGCTATTACATAAATAATGCAGAATGGACTAATAAAATTAACTACACCAGCTTCTAATTATCCCTGGTGAATCTCTGTTTTTAAAACACTAGATCCATGGAAGGGATAAACAGTAAGATGCATGAATTTTTCAGCCAAGTATTTCACTCAGTTATTTGCTTGCTGTCAATATTTTTTTTCAAATATATTTGTTACAAAATTATTACAATAATATTTTAATATTATTACTTATTTTTAGATGCTTCTAAATGCCAGAATATGTATTTCTGGCTTAAAGGCAACGAACCCACTAATTACAGTTCAAGAGAATACAATGTAGACATATTTCGAGAAAATAATGCAAATGATATGCTTAAGGATGGGGTATTATTTGAAACTGCTCATTTCAACAATGCCATAAAGGTATCTGACAATATTTTGAAAACATTTTATATTAAGAAAAAAGATTATGTTTATGAGGTATACTTTAATAACTTTCACTTTTTAAATCCTAATTAAAAGTCTTTTATCTGACTGAGAACGATTTCTGACAGTTCAGTTTCAGGTTCATTCTGCTAGTTTTCGCTGGTATTTACAAGTCTAAGAGGTAATCATTGATGATACTGACTGACTAATTGAGTGGGTGAGTTTCAATATACAACTTTGCACAGAAGCTTAGCAGTTCACGTTGCCACAATCCATATAGCATACAGGCATAAAGGCAAAGAAACGAAAATTCAAAAGAATTGAGTGAAGAAATACTTACTTTTTAATTAGATCCCCATCACTGGCTCTGCTCTAATAAATACAACATTTCTAATACAATACGAATAATTTACCAACCTAGTGATGATAAAGTTATTTCAAGTTTGATCATGGATTGATATGTTACAGAACCATTGAAAACCACTAACGAGGACTGGACAACTGTTTCATCCTGGTTTAGGACTCATCAGGAGTATGCATCCACCAAGATTCGAACTCAGGACCTTCCGGTTACAAGGGGAGCTCATGGATTATTCAGCCGCTGGGACTCGATCCAATGTCCAACCCATGAATTCTAACTCCTACCAATTCATGATTTTAGCGCAACCGACTACCAGCCAAGGTGATCAGCGAGTATACGTCCTAACTCCCGGCCGGGTTGATCCCACTGGTCACGACTTCTCTCTAGAAAGAGCTCCGGTCAACTGTGTCCTTTAGACAATCACTAGTTTGCCCACCCTTTAAAATGTACCCATTATCACTGTGATGGAAAGAGTATTTTTCGTTTAGTCCAACTTATAATTCATACCGTTAAACACTGTTAATAAGCTGAACAACTGCCTGAAAAATAGAAAAAGCTAACTTAATGCAGCCAATGAGAGTATTATGTGACAAAATGAACAAATTGATCAACCTGGAAACTTCCATTCAAGTTCCTTCAGTGAAATTTCCAAACTCTATACAATCTTTGCCACAAGTTTAGAAAGCAAATCCATATCTCTGTAATAATCTCAAGTTATTTAAGTTCCAGTATTTCTAAAGGTAACAGTGAGATGTTATTATCCTCATTAACAAGACGTTTTGGTAAAAAGCGCATCGAGAAATCAGCGGTAAGTCTGCCTTGTCAGTTAATTAAGCCAATAAAAATTTCACGAGAATTCATAAATTTGCTGAATGGATATATTTACAGGCAATTTCTGTTTCCATACTCTAGAAGCCACCGGTAGTCTTTAATGATCAAATGAAAGTTTATTTGGAATCTGATCAGTTGTTGAATAAAGTGAAAGACCGTGAAGATATTGATTCCGCAGGTAATCCGAAAAGACATGCAAACAACTTACTGTGGACTATTTGGCAAAGTACTGTCCACCATCCCAGTGATCTCAAACCAAACAGATGTCAAAATAAGGTTGTTTTTGTTGTTCTGTTTGTTTAATTCCATTACTAACAGTCACATAGTTTCAGAGTTTGTAGCTTATTCTATGACATTACTCAGAAATGAATTTCAAGTACAGGCGACCATGGCGTGTGGCGTTCGGTTAGCGAAAGCTGTCACGTCCCATTGAAAAAGTTTCTGAAAAAATAAACCAGAACGTTATATAGTGTACTGTCAAGTGACAGCTTTCAGTTTTCATAAATTAAGAATTACGAGATTTTTATTATTGCCAATAGCGAAAAGCACTGATTGGGCACATAATATTAGGTAGCTAAGCAGTTTTATTTCTTAAGGTATTTTTTTTAATTTAAAAGACTGATTCATGAACAAAGAACATTCTTTCCGATTAATTCGTCATCAGGTTATACATTTATATGACCATAATAATTACAGAAATATTGTTATTAACAACATTAGTGCTGTTTTAAATTACATTGAATCAATAGTATCGGTAGATGATTATGATTCAAAAGCATTATTGAAACACAAAACTGACGGAACATCAGATAACACAGAATTTATGAATTCATAGATTCGACAGCATGTCAGGATAGAAATAGCAGCTGATTTGACCAGTTTCATTTGCGCTCAGACCTCTCGTGTTTGAGTGTTTGGAGGGTTCAGTGTCTAGAGGCCTTTGATAGCTTATTCAGCATCCGATAAACGATAGAAAAAGATTCTTCAATGTTGGCTTTGTGGTCTGTTTGGATGAGGTAATGTAATACAAAACTGTTGACGGTTTTAACAACACCTTTGCTTAACCACACTGGTAGGTTTTCATGAGCACAAAAAATTCAGTTCCAAGAGAAACGGCTAATATAATTAGCTCAACAGGAGCAGTTGTATTGAAAGAAACAATAAGAGGTGACTGGTCCAGGTCTTTTATTTTCGGAATCACAACGGGTTATGTGGAAAATGTAGACTGCAGCTCACCGTCATTAAATATTCTTTGAATCAATTTTGTCAGCTTATTGGTTATTATCTCACTTGACGTATGCCTTTTGAATAATAGTTGTATACATACAAGCTTCTTGAAAGCAGACATAGAATTCTTTTCTACTTTCTTGACTATGTGATGAATTAACTGTTCAGGGTAGCTGTTTTCGGTTAACATGTTGAATACAACCTTGAGTTCGTCTTCAATCGCATCCTCTAAAAAGATAGCTCTGACCCTATAGATTAGGGTCTTTATCGAATTTCTTTTATACCGCAGAGGAAGAAAGCTGTGAATATCTGTATATTGACTGCTTCAAGTACTTTTCTTATTCACATTCCTTTTTTAATGTCACCGTCTGGTGTAAACTTCCTGGTTGAGGTCCTCGGGACGGTAAAAACCAATGGTTGGAAACAATTGGTGACATGGCTCAAAATCGTTCTCAATGGCTGGCGCAGATGCATCCACTCCTTGTGACTTATGATTTCCAATGAAACTTTTTTATTCTTCGTTATTACTATACGTTTGTCTCACACCTCTATTTACTGTCTCTAATATACATTTCTCCTACTTTCTTCTCTTGCTTTCTGTGCTACATAGAATATGGCAACTTGAAATGCTGCACATATGTGCAAAGTTCTATGTCGAAAACAGACAGGACGTCTAAAATGGCAATTTGATTTTGGAATTCTTCACACATAAATTTAGTAGCCGAATGTACTTCGGTGAATTGAGGCATTATTGCCTTCTTGTCCGAATCATTTCCACTATGCATAATTTCTTCTTTCTTGAAAGTAATAATGTTGAACAGAACCGCTTAATGTACTTAAACCTGTTTAGTTAATGGTCACATCTATCCATTCCGAAAGCCTGTAGCTTCATTTACACTGTCCGTTGAACAAATTTATTTTTCAATTCTACCAGTCTAAGTAGAAATTGCTTTAATGGCTTGCGTGTTGTTTTCATCGTATACATGTATTGTACTGTCATAGATAATTTTAAATAAACTGGATTGTGCGGATTTGATTGGTATCAAGGCAAACTTCATCTCGAACTGACAGCTATTTCGTCCTAGCTCTCTATTTCTTAGGACTGCGTGCCTGCGACTCCACCAGAGATCGAAACTTAGAGCCTTCAGACCGTGAAGCCAGCCTGTCGGCTATCCATCCACTGGGTTGGATGCAAGAGATATTAATTTCGTGTCACTAAAACTTTGACTACAATTTTAGAGTACTAACTGATTATTTTATCACAATGCTGTTTTCTTTATTTTCCAGGAAAACGATGAATCAGAAATTAGTGGCCACTTACACTCTTGTCTGACAAATTTATTTCAGTGTATTTTAGCTGGTTGGATATCAGTAGATTATGAACATTCGAATACAGGTAGTAGTTTTACTACAGGTTACAACACCTATCTCATGTGTATTATTCTCAGTTGTTACAATATATTATTATTTCCTTGGGTTCTGAGTAAGACATAGCGCTTCAACAGCATGCCTGAATTTCGTCCTTTTCCCCAAAGTCCTCTTCATCTGATCACACAACTGACCATTAGCTTTCATCGCCCCCTGACACAGTCTCCCCTACGTCACCACCAGACACCCAACCTGTCGTTTCCCACTGGGGTTCCACTTAATTGATGGTATAGCCGTCTACTCAGCAAGTGTCTGATCTATCTCCACTTTCTTCATCATATGTTTTGAGCAATAGGTTCATCATTGGTTCGTCCGCAGAGTTTCTTGTTGCTACTCCCTTCTGACTGCCTATATGACGTTCAGTATGGGGCCAGAGAAGGCGGCAGCTATTGATGATAGTCTGCAGCAAGCTGTTGGAAATGCTTTTCATGACGCGCCAAGTTTTTGAACTATACAGAAAAAATGAATAACTTAACATTTGTGTTGAAAATCAGAATTTTGTTCCTCATAGTGGATGCGGCGGATAAGCACACTGTTTTAATAGAGTGATAAAAGTCTTTCTTGCTTTTCCGATTCTGAATTTAGCACCCCCGTCCGTTCTGCATGTAGCTGAAGCTTACTGTTACAATAATTTTGAGCTATTTTCTTTTCCTGCTACCATTTATTCTGTCTTCTGTGTGATATTTGGTTACCGCGTTAATTACAAACAATATCGTACGTTTTGACTTTTTAAAAATTTTTCTGTGTATTTTACTATTGCACTAAAACAAATCTACACAACTTTGCTTTATGTCAGAAGAGTATTTCCACCATAAAATTACATTACAAATACGCATTTACGGGAATAAAATAGAAAAGTATGTAGAGCGGCCTGCTAAAACCACTGGGTTACCTAAATTTTCTATCCATCAAAACGCATCGGTTTTACTCCATTTCAAAATGTTATAATCTTCTAACTACTACATTGAGTCGCAATCTATACTCATGCACTGTTCTAAATAAGTTTCTACCTACCACCAGAAAATTTTCGGAGGAAATGGAGGAAGAACATTGTTGAGTAGTACTGGAGCAAAACTTCGGGTGGGACATTATTGCTTTAGATGAGACATCATCAGTTACTATATTATTTCAAGATTTTGTACAGTGAGTAAATGCTGGAAATTATGTATTATGTATAAACGCAACACAGAGAGTAAAGCCATGATTATTACTATCACTAAATGGACAATTATAATATTCGCTTTTAAAGTCTACTCAATAGTATCCGCTTAAGATAAGATGTCATAACCATGTTTAAATAAACAGTTAGTGAATATTGTTTGTACATTGAAGTGGGAGCATAAAATAACTTCGATATTGTTAAATGTTGCGATAACTGTGGTTTACTTTTTAATGATTTATACCATGTACCACAATTCTTTTCTAATTTGAAAGAATCAGCCGCTTTTTTAGGTTAAAGGTCCACTGAAGACCAAGCAGTAGTGGACAGCTGTTTTGTCTTAGCTTGTGAGCATAATTCAAACCAATTAAAGCCGTATAAACTCGAATAAACAAAAATTAAAATAAGCTCTCAGAACTGTGACTATTACTCATGATGTACCCTTTTGTTAGTAGATGGGTGTGTGCTACGGAATAGTTCTAAACTGGCAGGAAATAGCTGTCACTCCCAACATGTTTTCAGTGGTTCCCTACCTGATGTCAATTCACTATGTAATTTGATAAAGTTGATCGTTGGTAACTGATGTATTCACATTGAATGTAAGTTAAATAATGTATTCCGCGATGGATAGACAAAAGTTCAATGCGAACCAATGCAAGAAGATTTTGAACTTTTGATGTCGCTACTTTTATATTTGCTACACGTTGTGTTGAATAAGGACACCTAGCTGGACACAGACGCGATGATCACGCAATATCGCCGGCCTACTCCATCATCTTCCTGCCTGTTTCACTGATGCGAGAACACTTAAAGAATTGAGCTGAAAAGTATATTTCACAGTATCTGTACAGAAGGAAACAATGATATATGTAAATATGCATGTCCATTGGCGTTTGCGTGTGAAAAGATCACTTTAAGAGGATAATCCATTGTTTATTTGTCTACATATCACTGTAGCAGTATGCTTGATATATTATCTTATAATGCAGTTGCCATTCTGCATAATTCTTCTTTTTCTTCTTCTCGACAAACAGTGTTTGAGCAATCTAAGAATCCTCAAGTATTTTTGAACTGACCACAGAAAGTGTTGTGTAACAACGAAATCTGAAAGCCAACATATTTATCTTGTTTTACTTTAACTGCACGATAGTTTTAAAGATTCTTAGAAACTTAACAAAAGAAAAGCTCCCCTTATTAATATATTTATTTTTTTTAAATCTTACATTTCAAGGTCTTACTCCACTCATGGTTTGTTCTGCTGCTGGATTAATGGATGCTGTCGATCGTTTATTAGGTCTTGGAGCGAATCCATTTACCCGTGTAGCTATGCCCTACGAAGTGTTAATCTCACAAACCCATAAAAACTGTCAAAAAGGTTTTGAGCTTTTAGGTCCACAACATCGTAAAATTACAATTACAAATGAAGTCTATACTATTGTAGGCGTTAATGCATACGATTTGGCACGTACATATGGTTACAATGAGGTCGCGGGATTACTGAGAACACATATGTGAGGATTATAAACTCATCTTCTTTATATTGCTCTATTTCACTTTGATGTATTTATTCTTTTATGGATATTCTATACTGTAGTTATAATATCAGCTTAATTTTACCAAACCTATGAACACACCTGGAGAACTTATCGAAACCAAATACTCAATGTACTCCAAATGGTAACTGTTACGTCACTGTGGTGGTGATTGCACCTGGATATCCCAGTAGCCAGCAAATCGACAGTGGTGGTCGTTCTTGGCTCGAAAAAGCCTCAGACACCAGAAGAAACCTTTTTTTACTTGGTAACTGCAAATGCCAAGCCAATGACAGACACACATAGATTACTTTACAATAAGTTGCTAATTGAGTGAATCGATGAAAACTTACTACTGCTCCTCATCCTCCTGAAATATCTGCGTGAACTTCAGCCATGCATTGGTCTCTGGAGGTTTATACCGATGAATAAAATGACGTAAAAAGTGAACTGTTGCGAAGTCACAGTGAACTAATTGCTGACTAAATCCCCAGTGGTTGCACCAGGCTCTCCAATTTGCGTTGCGTTAAAGACAAAGCGGTATCCTTTTTTCTAAACGAGGAGTTTGTACTGCACAGTAGTTCATTCTGTTATACTTCAATCCTGTGCAATTTTTATATGAACATACATTTTACTGGAAAGTGTTTGTACTGTCTTTAAATATGGTGTCTTATTGCTGTTGTAGTAAAATGTCAACATTCATCTTCTTTAACATGCTTTCGCCGTTGCGTCGGTGGCATAGCGGTTAGGATGCTCGCCGATCATGCAGGTGGTCCGGGGTTCGATCCCCGGCCGACGCACTCCTTTACCTCGCTAAGCCAGAAATAATGCTGGTAAAGAAGAAAGGTTGGGCATTAGGCTATCAACCCCATCCTGTAAAAATTAAACACTGCTACAGAAACTTCAAGCCACTAGCTTGAGGCCCTATGTTTCACTGGGAACGTGAAGGAAAAAAAATGCTTTTATCACTTGAACTGAGTCAATTACTTTTTTAATGTCGACTTTGATTTTGTCGTTGACTGACTGGACCGAAATTTTCTGCCTCTCTTGACTTGTCGGCTCGATTCGCAGATGCTTCAACGATGTCTGTGGATTAATACGAAGTAATTTGGTGGATGATGACTAGCAGTGGGATCGAGGGTGCATACGTTATCCTATTTGGAACTTACCAGCTGAATATACTTGCAGTTTCCCTGTCAAGACAGGCCATACATTTCAATCAAACCAACCAACAGGGAAATCGATATTGCCTAAAAACAATCAATTACCGATGCTCATTGCAAAACAGATGGCTTTCGTGAACCAAGTAGTCTAGTGGATAATGCTTTACCTTTGAAATGAAGAATATTGGGTTCCAGTCTAAGTGGTAACAACGTCACTCACTGAGGAATGCAGGTACATCCAAGTGACGAGTCCTAAATAGGATGAAATGTGCATCCTAGACTCCACTGATAATCAACATCCGTGAAATCACAAGTACCGTTATCATTTTATGAGATACTTCTGTATAATTTTATTTCATTTTCTAGGGTTTCTCAAAGTCTTCGACATGAACCAGAAAACTGGGAGGCTATACTTTTAAGATACGGTTCTTGGTTTCAAAGTTCACTGAGCAGTTCACAATTCGATGATTGCACTTTAAATGAAAATCAAATCACCCTAACTCATTCAAGAAAAGCCTCAACAGAAAAAAGAAAGTGTATAAATCAACAAAATCTACACAACAACAAGCTACTCTTATCTTATCAGTTAGCTAGAAATTGTACAGAACCTGAGACAGCAGTTGATTATGATCTGTTGACTATGCTCATTGTGAAAATTGATAGTTCTTTGGCAGAAGGTAAGGTAGACTGTTTGTGTGTTGCATTACAGTTAGTTTTCACTGGAGAATAAGAAACATCTCACTTTTACATCCTAAGTTCTCATGTATTATTATGAGTTTTGATCTTATCAAGCTAAGTAATTAATCTCAGCATTTCATCTTTTAATATATTTTAGTATTTCCAGAATATACCTAAAATATTTAATTTAAGTTTACTCGTAATTTCTGAATACAATTCTGGTATATGTCAATCCAGTCTGATGTATATTTCTTAGTGTATCCCTTTAATGCTACTCTTGCGCTCTGTATCAGTAGTTCATTATTAAATTTGTTTGACCTGAACATTGCTGTTACCGGAACTATATGTCAAAACACTTGAAAATGTGAAAAACATTAGAAAGAAGGTATAGTCGTTTGTCAATGAGGCGCCCTTATATTCACTCATAGTAGGCACAATGTAAGGCCAAATGCACTAATATCGTGAATACCTGTTTGAATATTTCTTAAATACCGTCGCTGCAGTAAAAACAATTAATTTTTCATTCCGTAAATATCACTTATGTGATCATTAGAGGCGAGTTGTGCTCGAAGTGTTATGCAGTAAATAATAGCACATCCCTGTAAGCTTATCAGAATAAACAAAACAACATAAGATATATCTCATGTGTTCAAACGTGTGAATTTTTTTCACGTCTTTGGGTGATTGCGGTATACAAAGAGTCCACTAATTTAAAGGTAAGCGAATTATAGAGTGGTTCATACGCAGCACAGTTTCAACCGTATTAAAATTTAGGACGTGCCTGTGCTAAAGGAAAAACCTCATGAAAGCTGATTTGGAAGTTTTCTATTGTGGACGATCGTAAATCTACAAAGTTATTTTATAAATAAAACTTTAAGGACAATCCGCATCATAAATTGAAATAACCATGCAGCATAATAAGCTGAAATTTCTACTCTCTTATGGTGTAAAGTAAATTGCCATCTAGCATTAATTAAGAGCGACGGTGGCACAGCGGTAGACCGCTCGCCAACCACGCAGGTGGTCCGGAGTCCGATCCCCGGCCACAGATACACTCCTTTACCTCGAGGAGCCAGTGATAGGATTAGTAAAGAGTGAAGGTTTGGCATGAGGCTTTCAGCCCCATCCTGTAAAAACAAACACCACTGCTATCGAAACTTCAAGCCTCTAGCTTGAAGCCCTATGTTCCAATGCGAACGTAAAGGAATGAAAAAAGCATTAATTAAGGCAAAAGACTCTTATGCTACACTTTGACTGCGTAGCTGCACAATGTCGTAGGAATGAGATTTCAATATGCGATAATACTGCAATGTAAGGTTGATTTCTATGGTGGCGTCAGTAGCTACGGAATCCGCAGTCTAGATTGATTTTGGGACTTTGTTAACTATGAAACTTAATAACCAGTTTCATCTCAGTCTGATGTAAGCTTGCTAATCAGCCAATCTAATGTGCCAACTGCTTTGAATACTACATCAATTTTATATACCAACATTATCTTTGTGCTTACTCATGTGGACGTCAGATAGTGAATACACCCAATGGAAAGTATTTTTATGAGAGATCTGTTAGTTAACTGTTCAACAACAGACTAAATTTCATATTAATTTATCTCTTTTTTAGGCACAATATTGGTCTTTTTGCCATCCTACGAAGAGATCATAACTTTACGAGAAAGATTACTAAGCCCTGAAACTTCGCCGTGGAAATCATCAAAGTATGCAGTAAAATTTACATGCAACCCCTTTCATTCTGATAAGTTTTACTTACGAGAATGTCAACTAAATGCTAACTTTTCTACATTATCATTTACTCGGAATGAGGTATTGTCGTTTGGGTGCGCGCAGAGAATAGCTTTAATCCTGTAGAGATATTTGAGCGCTTTCTTACTTCTAAATTTAATTTTTTTTATCTCTAATGAATACATTTAAAATATGAAGACGATAAGTATTAGATCCTCAGTGGGTTCATTGGTTGACTTCAAGAAACAAGTTTGAGAACAGTAGCTGAATACAGCAATGGAAATCTTCAAACCAATCTGAAGTTCCAAATTTGCTGAGCTGCCGTAGAACTACAATGGGAAGATTTGTTCCAAGGTGTATAGCTTCAATTGTTGATTGTGCTGACAGCAGATTCTAAGTGTTTTCGAATAAAAACTTCATACAATTCTTCGCAGTAGCCGACTTGAACAAAACAAGAACTGCAGATGTACCAGGATAATATGAGCTCTTCCTCTATTATTTCGCGGCTTTTCGTCAACTGGTTACAATATAATAAAACAAAGAATACATTAAAGGTTTGAACATAATTTTTTTCGCCATGACAAGGAGTAACTCGTAGGAACTAAGAGTGACATAGGTCAAGAATGATTTAAGTAGTTATACCATTAAGAGCTAAAAGGACTCACTATTTTGATTGAATACTGGTTATTAATTAGTGTCATCCCTCTAGTCCTTTGTTTCGTGCAAAATGAATTCTATCAGATAAGTGTGTAATGTGACTACCATACTAGTTGGCTCGCCACCACAGTACACTGTGAATTGTTGTTACCAGGTGGTTTGAGGGAGTTGGCAAGATGCCTTCGACCTAGATTTCATGCTTGTTAGCAGTCACCAGTCAGCAAGGCGTATTTGTAACCTAAGAGCCGACATCAGTTCCTCCATGGTTACAGGTATGCCTTGCTGACTGATGAGTGCCAACAAGTACGAAATCCAGATGCAAAGCGTTATTTCAATTGTCTCGCACAACGTAATAACAACAGTTCAGGATTGGCTATTTATAGGATAATCAGACCACTACTTTTGAGAATAGGGTCCACACTTTTCACGGAGAAACAAAGTTTAACTAGAAACAGTATAACAATATAACAGGTTACGTAACTACAGAACTTATGTTTTTATAAAATAACAGAGATTTTGTAGAGTGAGCAATGTTCAGATAAAATAATGGAATTTTCTAAACAGAATAGGAGATACAAAAGAGCACATAACGTAACAGGTGAAATCGAAACACTCCATTAGTTTATTTGATCAACAAACATTAGTCCAATCCCTATTTCCAGTCAAGCAATGTAGATCCACTCTGAAAGTATAATGCTACTAACAATTCTCATATTTCAGCAGTCACTAAATATGCGAATAAATAAATAAATTAAATAAGCCTAATCATGCTCTCTTGAAATGAAGCTTTTATTCTATGAATTCACCTTAGGTCAGTTACGTCAACTTTTTGTTTTATCTGTACCTTTTTTTAGAAGACCACTAATATTGATTTTGCACTCTAGAATGCTTGTTGCTGATTTAAAAACAATATATGCTCAGTCTAAGAGTTCTGTTCGTAGACTAGTAAGTTTATTGTATTGAAACAATATTCATTTTATATTACAAGCTACACAATGATAATCAAGCTGTGAGATAAATCAGTACAGAACCTCTCGTAAACCTCATTTGTTTACTTTCTTATGACTTATAGGATCTGTCTGGTCTGTCTGGATTCAACATAGAACTTGGCACCGAAGTGCAGCAGTTCGAGTTGCCACGTTCCAAATAGCACACAATGGTAGACAAGAAAATGAGTGAACAGAATCAATAGAGTTTTGACAAGTATAAGAGTGAAACAGAACGAGTAATGGTAGAAAGGAATATGAAAGATTACAGAGACTGGATACATCTGCGCCATTGACAACGATTTTAGCCATGTCACCTGTTGTCTCCAGCCATTGATTCTTAGAGTCCCGAGGGCCCCAACCCGGAAGTCTGCATCTCCCTATCTGACTCAGTTTAACTGTCAAGGATTTCATGGATTGATGAGGCCATGTTTTTGTTTGGCCACCACTTACTCTTTTCCAACCTACACCTATATCAGCTAGTAATGCCCGTCGGGGGAGACGATGGTTAGGCATGCGTAGCACGTGACCTAGCCATCTCAATCTATGTAACTTTATAGCCTCTTCGATTGATTTTCCCTCTTTTCCCAACACTCTACGCCTAACGTCAACATTACTTACCTTATTATACCATCTAACGTGAGAAAGAGATCGTAGACATCTATGATCAAAAACAGTCAACCTTTTCATGTCTTCAACTCGTATTGGCTATGTTTCAGAGCCATAGAGAAGGACGGAGCGAACTACTGAGCAGTACAGGATAATACAGATGAAATCATAAAACTTATACTACTCATTTTATTTGTACACTTACTATCTCCAAAGTAGTTCAGCCAGTAACTGTGGAAGTTTTTCATAAGATGTCGTTTGGAAATGGATGTATTTGAGTGGCGTTTATTTTCGAGGGTATCTTTATTCAGCTTAGATACTATAATAAGACAACTTTCTTCCCGACGAAGCCAGCAGTATTATATCATTGCATTCCATATCAATAATATATCTAATCCTCAGATTTAACAATATGTTCGGAAGACGAGTGTTTTGTTGTATAACCCTATGAGGCAGTAATTTTCCGTCTCTAGTCATATCAATACATACAGCGTTCCCAGAGATCCCTGATATCCAGTTATCCAGATTATAAGACCATGGATAATTCCGTTTTCACTGCCGCGTTTACAAGTATTTTTTAAATGAATACTTAAACTCAAAATCTGTTATGATACTGAGTAATTCACATGTTTAGCTGTGAAGTCTGATAAGAAAGTATGAAAAGTATGTATTCGCCTAAACTGTGTTTTCAAAAGACGGTTAAATCAAATAGAAGAATAGGAAGAAAAGAAAACGGTGATCACATTACTTAAGATAAAAAAACAGAAAGTATGTTGACGCAATCATCAATAATCTTGTACCTCGTCACCAGAATCCTTCAAACATTGATGTCCAACACAATGAAGACCTCTGGTTGGTACACTTCACTTTTTTACACAGCTGACACCAACAACTATAAACTTCGTACTTGGATTATTTTTTTTATAGTCTGTCGAAATATATGACTTTTATAACCTAGTTGACATAATTTTAGGTGGAGATTTACTGCACAATCCTAACACTACAGTTAGTGCTATTCTATGTGGTCATTATTAACCTACTCTGTCCTTCTATTACATTTATTCATTCTTTGAACAAACCACCTTCCAGAAATACTTAAGTGATACATCTGATCAGAAAGATAGAATCTATTTCAGTATTTTCCCTGAAGCATGTTCACCTTGTACCTGTAGGGTAGGTTGAATTCAAGCTGCAACGCAGCAGGCTTGATTTTCAACTAACACTTAAAACTAACGCTGACAAAAAAATTACAAATGTCAACAAATACACAAGGACCATTAGATCGAGTCCCAGTGGCTCAACGGTCTACGAGCTCGCCTTGTAACCACAAGGTCCTGGGTTCGAATACCGGTGGGTGCGTACTGTTGAAGAGTCCCAAACTAGGCTGACGAAACAGCTGTGCAGTACTCCCAGGTTTTCCAGTCGTTCGCTAACTGATGTCAGCTCATGATGAAATCCTCCTTGCAATCAAATACACAAGCAACACGAATAGAATTGCTAGACTTGAACTGGCAGACTGCTATAGATGCAATGACCGTTGACAATAGCCTACCGATCCAATACTACTCCTAAAGCCCTCTTTAACAATTTGTAACGTTCTGTCTTCATACGACTCACTATGATTGGAACTATGAAAAGAAGACCTACCTGAGAAGCTGATGTGAAAGTGTTGGATAGATAATTACGCATCACTCACTCACTCACTTACCTAACAGGTGCGTATTATGCATAATGACCTCAGTGAAATATTTACTTAGCTAGAAAATGAGTCTCGTAGCCCATTCCATAGGTCTACACGTAGTAATACGGAGGTTTCCGGTTTGAATCCTGTCACAATCTTAATTTCCACTTTAACTACAATCCGATACGATCCAGCATAAAATAGTAAATCATCTTTTCTCACACATATTGTGATTGATTATGCGATCAATCATTTCTCACGCATATTGTGACTTGTGTAATCAATAATTTCTCACGACTGTCAGCCGACCTTATTGCTGTAAAAGTATAAAAATATCATGTGTCGTTTTTCTAATGAATGTACGGTACAGTATAGTACAGTATCTTACAGTCACAGGGTAGCCTTTGTCTTTCGATATTTGCGTGGTTCAGTGAATTGGAAGGTACAAAGGGGAAAATGGGCATATTAGGGTACCAGTCGAGTTTATTACCCTTATTACCAGTCAGCAGGCGCAGAAATAACACAATCATTATCCAGTAGAGATATGTACATAACAAAAACAAAAAATTTAAAGAGTTCACAAGAATGTATTGCTAAACAGGATACTGACTACAGAATTGAGTGGCATGGATTCAAATCTCAGAAGGGACTTAAGCTGCTTCAAGATTGCAGATACGCCTTGCTAATGAGTGCCAACTAGCACGAAACCGGTGTCCAAGGCTACTTGCCGATTGTCTCCAGCCATCTAATACTAAGAATTCAAAGTACACCATGACGGTAGGCTAATTGGCATGGATACCTCGTTGAAAACGTGTCTGACAGAATTCAGTCTGCAGTGTAGAGAAGTGTAACAATTCATGTATTATCTAACCATAAAACGAATTTGAATTTCAGAATAAAATTCTAGTGAAGATATTTTTCACAATATGTTTTACTTACACTCATTTGTGCTTACCTTCTAGATACTTTCATCAAATATTGCAGAATCATGCATGACTTTTGATGATGTGTCCTATGTCATCGACTGTGGATTAGATTTTACGGTATGTCTTTTAATAATTTTATAAGTTTAATTTCTCAAAACGATCAGACAATGCAAAGATCTTTTCCAACATTCAATACATGCATTGTTAAAAAAGTTAATCACGTTTGACCAAGGATTGATATCAGTTAGAGAACCATTGAAAAACCTGGGAGTACTGGACAACTGTTTCGTCCTAGTTTGGGACTCTTCACAGTACACACCCATCAGGATTCGAATCCAGGACCTTCTGGTTACAATTTAGAAGTTAGAATTCATGGGCTTTTGGTTACGTCTCAGTGGCTGAATGGTATACTAGCTTGCCTTGTAACGGGAAAGTCCCGGGTTCGAACCCCAGTGGGTACGAACTGCCGATGATTCCCAAACTAAGGTGAAACAGCTGTCCAGTACTCCCTGATGGTTTTCAATGCTTCTCCAACTGATATCAGTCTATGGTTTCACTCGAAAAACAAACCTAATCCTTACAAATCAACTCTTGATAAAAGTTAATACCATCTGATCAGAAAATAACTTTGTATAGTAAAATCACAACTTAATTTCTTTGTTACATAAAACTGATGTGGTATTTAGACGTCCTAAACCAAAACCAGTATTAACAGCAGAAATAAACCACAAAACATGCAAGTAAAATTCTTACAGTTACCCATCTTATCTATTCATGTCAGAAGTAACCATGACTCGCTAAGGTGGTCGAATGCCTCACTGCATCTCTGAGTAACTGTGTGGGTGTGGCAGGGTGTTTGACCCAAGTGTAGTTACGCTGATAGGTACCTCCATATAGGTCTCATAGTAAAGGGTTCTTGATGCGATTCTATCTGGCGAGAGTGAGCTATTTCTCAAGCACGGGGAATGCCATCCATGCCACTACTTCATTTAAGGTATCTCTGAAGTGTTTCAATATCTTAGTGGTTTGGTCGGGGGGTTAGTGAGATTGCTAGCCTGAGTGTGAAAATCGGGTGAGAAAGCTGTTGATGAGAGTCTCGTATCCCTAATTCAAAAATTGTATGAGTACCTTGATTCGAACCTTTTAGACAACATGAGAGAGGATTGCGGTTGAAACTACCTCACTCGAGAATGGTGGCCTTAAGGGTTTTGCCAGATCGCGGTTGGTTACTGGTTGCAACTCCTATAAACTGAGAGTAAATGGCATGTAATTGGTCGCGTTTGACTGGTCATGGTCTTCAAAACTATCCAGCGAGATCTTACAACGAAGGTTGGTGGCGTGACCTCCAATCCAGTGGACACGCAAATGTCAGGGTGCTGCTCATGATTTAGTGAGAGCAGTACTGCCGTGAGAGCATTCGCCCACGATCCTGGTACATGACCTCCGAAAGGGCAGCTAATCACTTATGTACCTTCGTCCTGAGAGGGAGTATATGACCATTATCTGTAGAAGGAGAAGCATTCAGGCTACTGGTGGGTCAGATGTGAACCTAGTTCATGCACTTTGGTGAGTATGATGGGAACTACCGAACTGTATCATAATATTACTTCGCCAGCCTCCTAGAAGGAATTGTCTCATTCGTGCCACTTTGTTCAACGGAGAAGGATTCACCAGGGATTATCATTGGCATTTAAGTTACTGTTGTCAGGCAGATTGCAAGGTTGTCCCATCTTCGAGGATAATGGTTGTATGCAACCTACAACATGGTTATGCTTTCGTGGGACTTTCCTACGAAGGTTGTCATCATCCGCTCAGATGAGCCAGTAATGTGCCGTCTGAGGAGCAACTTCTGGAGAATTTGAGACTGGGTAGTGGTGGGTGGGACAGCACCAACCACCGTGAGATCATTAACAAGATACCTGCCTCGGGTTGTCAATTTTCATGGCATCTGCGTTCTAAGACGTTACTTCCTCGTCTGGGACACTGACTCAGCAGAGGGTTATAAAGGAGGGGAAAATAAAGATGATCTCCTCTTCTCTCTGAGGCTCCATCCAAAAAAGAATGTGAAACTAACTGAGAGAATTCATGTTTTATGCCATTATTTTTGAATAGGTTTATGTTTTTAAACTAGTTGGCAAATGTAAATTATATTATAACCTATTTTAACTTAAATCCAAATGTCTCATTGTTTCAACACAAATTATCTAGAATCTTTGATATATACTAGTTTGATTTATATGAGACAATTTGCAAACTCTAGGTAATTTTTATTACGCAGACTAGCGAATCAAAATATTTTAGCGTACAAAAAAGGACCCGATTAACTGAAGAAAAATGAAAATAGCTGAAAATGATAATGTACAATTCCATTTAATCAAGCCCACTATTGCTATTGTTATTCTCTTGAGTTGCAGGTGGGACAGAAAGCTTCAGTAGTACGTCTCTACTTTGTCCTGTTCTCTGTAGTCCTCTGCAATTGCCCCTATGACTGACCGTAGTCTGTCATCTCCTCCTCACACGATCTCTTGATTGCCACACTCAGAATCATGTCCATTTCCTCGTTTCCCACTTGGGTTTTACTCAAGTGAGGAGGACCCGGTGCGCGATTGGTTCGTTACTGGAATTCTGTGTTGCTAATTCTTTCTGGTCTGCCATCTGATCTTCCGTGTGAAGCCAGAGAAAGTAGCCTGTTCCAAATGATTTGGGTGACGTGCCAAGTTTCTGATCCATATTGAAGAATTGAATGACTTAATAGTGGTGCTGAAAGTCTGAATATTGTTCTTTATGCTAAGTGAAGCAGAACTTCACAGTGATTTCTGATTCATAAAGATGTGTCTTGCCTTACCGATCCTGGCTGGTTTTGACATCGTCATCCGTGTTGTTTACCTGTGAGTGAAACGATAGATTCTACTCTCATGAAAGTAAAATATGATATGGAACAAATATCACCAACTACCAACCTGTTCTGATACTGACTATGGAGTTTCTTCTTATTCTATATGATCTGACTAAGTCTAACCCCCTAAACTGGTATTTACCGAGTGAATCATAAGCAAATACTAGTCTTTTAAAATAAAATCCAAGATGTATTTAGGCTACATACAAACTTTACAATACATAAAAGTTAATTGGCAAAGTGGTTCATATTTTAAAAACACGGAAGTGGCAGGTATAGACATATTGATTTATCGGTATATTGGACTCGGTTATCATTTCTCTAAAACGTTGCTTCAGGTAATTTATGTGTTTTTTTTTTATGAACAATATCGTTGACAAATCTGCAGCTTCAGAAAGTGATGGTATAACGACAGAAGACAACATCCAGGCGACAGATCCTTTATTAAGAAAATCAAGAGATATTCATAGATTTTTATGTACATTATTGTCAGCGGAGTAGCAACGTCTCCTGATTGGTTGTTTTCTTGTTGAAGGTTATTCTGTACTGCTTGTGACTGTTTCTGAGAAAGTTAAGTATTTGCACAAGCTAAGTCTTCTGTGACTGGTCGATGAGTTACTCAAAGTTAAGCTTTGTTATTGTTTTTTCTCATGACTCCGATTCAGGACGTAAATTGATGTCTACAATTTTAGCTTGCAGACAGCTCTCACCACAGTTGTATCTACGTACGATAGATATCTTAGAAGTGCTTTTTGCTTATTCACTCGTATACACTACTCTGTCTTGAAACTCTTTAAGTTAGTATCCCATAGTCTACCAACTATTTCAGTGATAACAGTTAATTAAACTGGAGTAAATCAACCGTTCTCCTCTCTTCTCAGTGTTTGCTCAGAGCTTCAGTATCAATATAATCCATATTAATCAAATTATTTACCTTATTCATATAAGACTGAGATCTCTCACTTGTTTACATCCGTTAACACGAAAAATAATTGAAGCCCATAGCTATTCAGTCCTCTTTTGATGGACTCCTAAATTCCAGCACCATAGTGGGGTGTACAACAGCTTCATGCTACTCAGCTTAATAATGAAGTCATACACTATATCTTCATGTGGCAATCTATAATTTTTATCGATCGGCTACATTTACAAAATCATCCATCAGTTTATCTTCTTCAACTCTAATTCTGTGACCAATAATCACTTAAAACTCCACTAGCAAATATTCTAATAAAAAGGCAGAGCTGTGTTGCATAGTCGCGATAGGTAGACAACTTCTATTGTATATAACTGCATACTGCTACTTGACCGAGATGAGTAGCTGTATGCCATTCATATCAGCTACCAGTGCTTGATAGGCAGATAGAGGTTATTTAGATGGCGGGTTGCCGATCCGATCGCCAGCTGTGTGCCTAGTTTAACTCAGCTGAGAGAGCCATAATCATTTCAAGCCAACCGAATTCTGGTTAGCTACTTGGGCGAACTGGTGATACCATAAATCGAATTCACAGTTTGGAAATTAGTCAGACATTTTGCAGTGTGCACAGTTTGAGGGGTGAAATTTTCAACCCATTTTCCTCTGGAAACTGTGACTTGCTTGATATCGTAAATGATAATCAAGAAAGCAAGGAATCCATATACTACTGATTGACTGAAATGAGTAGTTGTATACTACTCATAACAACCAGTAGTGCTTGCTAGCCATTTCTGATAATTAAAGTTAACTGGAAATTTAGTTTGTGAAAGGATTTTAACCACCTACCCCTTACATACTGATCACTTTTCAGCTTCGCTTTCTGCACAGCCACCGTGCTAAATTAATAGTTTGTTTTTATCTGTTCGTCATCACATTAAGACATTATTTTTGACGGAAAATGTTTTCCACTATGAGGATAAAACATACCAGCTTATTATTCTGTTACCACCTTAATTTTACAGGAACAGTATCTTGACTGGACTGAAACTACATCATTACGAAATCATTGGATTACGAAGTCAAATGCAATTCAAAGACAGACAAGGTAAATCCTGAAGTTAAGTCACTTATTAAAATTAAGATGTTTTTGTCATCTAAGTTATTTAATCCAGATGAATATTTAATCAGGTGGTTTATTTTGATTGGACTAGTGATTAGTGTAGTGTGTCTAGTCTTTTGTTTGGTGCAGATTGAATTCTACTAGTCAAGTTTGCAGTGTGGCCAGAATTCTAAGTGACTCACCATCACGGTGCAATTTGAACCGTTAATATTAGATCGTTGGAGGCAGTCGGCAGGATGCCATTCCTGGACCTAGGTTTCATGCTTGTTGGCACTCGTCATATTGCTGCGATTTTTCCATCTGACGAATCATAACTCTTTCACAAACTAACTAAGCTGAAATTGGTCGACAAGCAAAACGACAAGTAAGGATGCATAACACGAGTCCTGGCCATCTTAATCCATGTAACGTAGCAATCTCTTAAACTGATTTTCTTTCGTTACCTAAGACTCTACACTTAACCTTACCACATTTCTCTACTAAACATGAGAGATTATATGGTGACAGCTATAATTATAATTTGCTAGTTTTTTCATATCCGCCACAGTCAGCGTCATAAAGCAGGAACAATAGAACGGTTACATGTCATCTGATAGCTAACCAGAAATCATGTCAACGTCAAAGATGGCACAAGCTGGTATATGTCAAACGAGCCATTTGTGTCGTCGGTACTATTTCGTCCTAAAATCCCTGAGTAAGAGACGAGATCCAAACACAAACCCTCAATCCTGATACTGGGAGTTTGCAAAGAACACTTCCACCTTTGAAAACAGTGGTTTTAAATACAAATGTAACCTGCTAAACCGAATTTCAAATATGGTCATTATTTAGTTACTTTGAATTTTAAATGTAACAAAGTATGTGTTTTGTGATTTTTGTTTTATACCATGCATCGCATTTCTTCTATTGTTCATATACAGGATAGGAGAAAATAAGAATGGAATATGTTTTCACTTGTACAGTACTTTGCGATACAGCATGTTGTCTGAAGGACCCAATTTTGCTGTAAGAGGACATACAGTTGAAGTAAGTAGCAGTTCAGTGTATATACTGAAAACATTTCTTTCCTGGAGTAAATTTAAAACAAGCAATACATGTGAGAAAAAAACAGTTTTTAATGAATTCAAAATCTCGTTGGAAGGACTCCTCAACTGAATACTTCTTTACAAGTATTATTATTTGAACGATTTCTTCCTAAGGTCAAATACATACAATCGCATGAACATTGTAACTACAAATAAGTATCAATCTGAACAAAAATAAGATCTATAAGTGGTGAGCGATAATCTGTTAACGTCATTATTAAGTGAATAATATTCATCAGAGTACATATTAACATATAAATTAGAGTTACTGTGGTACAGCAGCCCAAAACGAAATTACCTAATGAACGGATTAATGAGCTTGAGCCCTCTGTCACATAGTAACAACAGAAGGCAAGACACTCAAGCCAAGGTATATTTTCAAATGATTAAACCGATATTTATATGTGTACAGTTTTATATTCTCTAACCAATCATTGAGCGTGTGATTTTCACTCACATTAAACGACATGAAATAGGATGTTCAAATGTACATAGTATTCTGTTGTTAACGCAGTACTGAACTCTGAGCACAATATTCTGACTCTAGCAACAAACACAGTGTTCAAATAGATATATCGTATTCTGTTGCTAATGCAGTCTCGAAGTGTAAGAATATGTGAGAATAATATTACGTTGGAACACATTGTCCTTATCACACCACCTCAATATGACTTCGTAGTATGTAGTGATAATTACGGATAATGTACACGAATAACGCAGCAAATTTCATTCATATCTAGTATTTAAGTACTGTTCAGACAACAGGCTAACTGGAAGGGAGAAAACATTTAGCCAAATGTCATGCCTGGGCTACATTTACAAGTGGTCAATCTTAGGGAAGATTTCGTTAATCCTTTAGATGGGACTAGTACAAATTCCATAGACAGTTTCCACAGTCACCTTAAAAGGAGCATGAGAGCGGTGAATGAGTCAAGAAACACGATGATTTACAGTTATCTCGATGAATTTATGTATAGAAATTGGTTTAACCTAACTATGAGGACTCCTATGAGAAGTTGAGAGGTTTTCTTGGGACATACAAGGAAGTTATCCTATATAACTACTTTTTAACACTGCACTACTTTTATGCAAACGCCGTTTTCAAATTATCCGCTTCTGTTTAGAACACATCTGATTGGTCATTTTTTCAAGGTCTTCATTGTGTAGTTTCCTAATGGACTGCTATAAATTAGAGTTAGCAGAATTCATGCAATTATAAACATCTAGATTTGATAATATTGAAATGCAAGGACTGCAATCGTACGATAACATTTAGTAAAAGCTTTATAGTTATTAATAAGCGACGTAATAAAAGATCTCTTGGTTTTTGTGAGGCCTGTTCGATCAGATTAAAGCAGTCAGATCTGTGTATACAAAAGGCGACAGTAGTTAGCTTAAATCTACCTTGGTAGCACACATTTATTTTACCTTTACAATTCTCCTTCTCTTCCCTCTCCTATTTACAATGTTCTTGCCATGGTTATTAATACTTTATGTGACATACTGTTAGTTTGCTTAGGATACGCGGAAATCAAAAATCATTATTGAGTATGAATACTGGTGAGGAGTGTTCAAACTATCAGACATGTCATTTAGTCAAATATATGGTTTACATATGTTAAGTTTATTTTAATAAAGGTTTTTGTATTTCCCAATGAATGAAAAACAAAACGATATTGTTTTTACTGACGTTTCGCTATTTAATGCTAATAGCTTTATCAAAGTATTATTTCTTTGCTTTTGACGAAGTACCCTTGTATTTCAATACTGTCATATCTAGATACTTATAGTTGTATTAATTCTATTTTAATCAATCGTTTCGGGCTGCTATACCGCAATAACTCGAATTTACATGTTAGTATGCACTCTGATGAATATTATTCACTTAATAATGACGTTAACAGATTATCACTCACCACTCATAGATCTTATTTTTCTTCAGATTGATACTAATTTGTAGTCACAGCGTACATGTGTTTGTATGCATTTGATCTTAGGAAGAAATCGTTTCAATAACAATATTTGTAGAGAAGTATTCAGCCGACGAGTCTTTCCAACGAGATTTATGAATTTATTGAATTCTGCTTTTTTCACAATTGTTGCCTGTTTAAAGTCTATATACTGATATAAATTTATTAATCATAGTGGTACTCCCTGATTATTTGCAAAGTTAGATAAAAAGCAGCAAACTGAGAAAGCATCTTTTTATCTTAATAATATTAAGGAAGAGAGTCACAGGTCATTAGACCATGAGTCAAACAAATGTTTGACTAGTGGTTTGAGTCCCCAAGACGACAAAGATTGTGTGACTGGAATCTCTCATGCCCGTTCAGCCAGTAGTTGAAGACTGTTGGTGTTTTGGCTCTAATTGATTCTTCACATTGAGACTAACGTTTGCAGGTTTCGTCATCTTTTAAATTTTGAGTAGTGTCGTGAAGCCTCATTTAATTAACCTCTTAGTTCCACCCATTTCTGCTATAATGACATATTTATTTCTTTTCACTTACTCTGTGTATGTCGTTATGATGCACTCACATGTATGGTTCTAAAATAGTAAGTCAGTCAAATCTTATTCACTGATCAAGTTTCTCCGGTTCCCACTGAAGAGGAACCTCCAAGATGTTGAAGTGAAATTCACGAAAAGTCTTTTCATGTTATGCTATAGCTGAGTGTGAATTTCTTTAGCCTACTGATCACTATTTAACGTTTTGAGATGTAACAATCTATTTTTAAAGGGCGTTTACATTAACATAGTTTCGACTTAAATATGTGTTACTGTAATCAAATACAAATTTATTTTCCTCTTCAGGAGGCATGTATTCAAGCTCGCCTACTTTCACCACCAAATATCTCCATAGAAACTGTTTTGCGTACCTTACCAAAACCACCACTACCTGAATCTACTAGAATGGCTATTCAAGGACTAAAGGTAATTTTTTTTCATAATAAAAATGATATTTATTTATTTTGTAAAATGAACTATGACTAAGTTTTTCTAGTTAGAGTCGGTGTGATTTTCCGGAATACCAGAATGAAAGAGACTATACAAATCACATTTTTACATAAACTTATGGATTTCAACAGTTCACAACTTAGGCTTGTATTACGTGAAGCGTCCACCTCAAAACTGATTTCATTTCATGGAAAACAGTAATGAAGGATGCAGTAACGGTCTCTCAACTGTGATCAACTGACTAATGTAAGACAGATGAGTCACTGAGCCTACGCGTATAAATTATGCTGATATCATCTCATGCAGTATTTATGACATGTCTTTTTAACACTATTTTTTTGTCTTCATTTAAATTAATAATGTTGAGTAGCTGGCTGGAACATACTTTCGTTATTCACATAAATACCATGAATATCCAATTAGTTATTAATATTATTATTCTCTTAGGTTCCGGGTAAAACAAAAGGCCTCAACAACACATCTCCACTTCCTCCTGTTCTCTACAGTCCTCTTTATCTGGCTTCACGACTGTGCATAGACTGTCATCTCCTCCTCACACGATCTTCTTCATGTCACTCTTGAACCCAAGCCAAACTCATTGCCTCCCATTCGAGTTCCATTCGAGTGATGGCCAGGATTGCGATGTTATTCGATGGTCTCCTCAGCATGAGTACGGTCCATTTCCATTTTTCTGCGTGTTTAATGAGCGACAAGTTCTTAGGTGACTGGTTCCCATAAATCCTTATTTCTTATCATTTCTGGCCTGCCATCTGACCTTCAGTATCGAGTGAATGCAGCTGTTGATAAAAGTGGGAAGCCTGTCAGTTAGTTATTAAGCTTCATTTGATCTGTAATCCACCACCACCCTGCAGATTTAAAATATAAATGCTGCCTGACATTATGCATAAAACAGGGTGCACTTACAAAGTTTTTTTTATTTTCAGACAAACAAATCCTCCTTAACATTTTGAGAAATGAGCATTAATTTAATCGTGTAAAAAAATAGTTCATTTCTGCAGTAGGCATAAGCTAAAATAAATGCGGTAGGAAGTTAGATAACATTTAATACAGAATCCACAATGACCTCAGGATATTCAAAAATGGCGGTGAATATTTCAAATACTTGATATTCTCTAAGAATATGGATAACTTGTCTCCTCTTTTACAGTTGGAAAAGATTATCAATCTTTAGAGGACACTTTTTGTTTACCTCGTTTTTCGAAAAATTCCACTTCTTCATATTAACTTTTTTATTGTGAAATTAATATGTATTTAAAATTGAATGTGTATGTGAAAACAGTGCAATGTAAATATTCTTTTTCCGTTTATAAAACCATCATCCTAGTATTGGTTTCTAGGGATTTGATTGATTGGCTATAGGATTTCATTATGAGCTGACATCGGTTAGAGAACCATTGGAAAACCAATCAATCAAACTCCTACAAACCCATACTTGAATGTCAATGAGGGCTCACTAGTGACTGACCCTATTCAAGTAGGTAGTTACCTGGGGTTCTAGTGAGAAGTCGTGACCACTACAGTACAACGGGTCGCGCTTGAGGACAAATACTCCCCGAAGACATTGGCTAGTGATCCTACTATGTCCTGAATTGGCAGAAGTTGGAATTCATAGACCATTGAGTTGCGTCCCGGTGGCTTAATAGTCTACGAGCTGGCTCGTCTCGTAACCAGAAGGTCCTGGTTTCGAACCCCAGTAGTGGATGCGTACTGATGAAGAGTCAAAAACTGGGACGAAACAGTTTTCCAGCACTCCTAGGTTTTCCAACGGTTCTCTAACCGATGTCACCTCATGATGAAATCCTGTAACCATCATTCTAGTTGAATGTTCTAGAAATAATTAATATTTTTAATTTATCTGATAATCCCACCAATCTTTTTCTTCCATAAAAATGTATACTAGGAAATGGACGCACTGGATAGTTTTGAAGAGCTGACTGAATTAGGTTATCATATATGTGATATACCTATACCAGCACATTATGCTAAAATGGTTTTAGTTAGTGTTGTGTTAAAATGTCTTGATCCAATTCTAACAATTGCGTGTATACTAGCTTACACAGAGCCATGTGAGTACAAATCTTTGTAACTGTTGTCACCTTTACAATAATAGTTAATTTTATTGTGGGAGTTTTTTGTTAATCCATATTCGATTCTTTCTGTATACAAATAATTTCATTCGTTTTGTTTAAATAATGAGTATCTTAAAATTATGCAAAACTCCCAATGAGTGATGCAAAGTAGAAATCTACCTACCATGTGAAACTCTCAGCTGATACAGCAGTAATTCAAATAATTCATCCAGATATCTTCTGTAGAACAGAATCTCTTTTACGGCTGAATATTACTTTGGTGCACCAGGTACCATCCTGAATTATTCATTGCTTCAATATCTATGTTCACTAGCTTTGTCAGTAACAGATTCAAGGATTTTGCTTCTTTTTGATACTTTTTTAATATTGATTTTGTCAAGTGAGACGCGTATATCTGCTAGGAAACCAAATGAGATTTTTGTTGAGAAAGAAGAATATCTTGATAAACTGCATTTAGTATTTCCATTTTCCAAGGTTAAAATTGAAATTTAAGGTTTCATATTCAGTATATTCAGCGTAGAGGAGCAGTCGGATCTCTACCTAAACTTCATCGACCTTGAGAACACCTTCTGCAGAAATGACCGTAAGTAGTTTGGAAACTACTTCAACACTATGGAGTTCCTTAAAAACCTTACCGACCTCATTCAACAGCTATATGACCATACCACGTGTCAAGTGATCTACAGCGGAAAACTCAGAGAAGTCGTTGAAGTGATGGTATTCCTAATTGTGATCGACTGAATTATGCGGCATATCGTGAGTGAGGAGTGAGAAGACATGGATACGTAGGAACGGTAGGAATAATCTGGAACATCTGGACTTCAGGGACGATTTCTGTTTGATGTTACATAAATTCGAAGACTTGCAGGCGGAAACCAACAAGTTGGCAGAAGAGGCCACCAGTGGAGACAGGACTTCAAATTAACATAGAGAAGATGGAGGCGACGAAAAAGCCAACTAGAAACAACAATCACAGCAATCATTATCAACGGGATAAAGTCGGAAGAGATCACTTCCTTCATTTATTTAGGAAGCATAGTTTTAGCTACATGCGACAGTACAGATGACGGTGTCAAAACCAGTCAGGGTCATAAAGACAAGTCAGACCTTCATCACTCTGAAATTAGTTTGGAGATCTTCTGCACTAAGCATAAACAACAAAATTAGGATTTTCACCTCTAATGCCAAGTCATTTCTTCTATATGGGTCAGGAACTTTACGGGTACATCATAAAATTCACTTCCAGAAGACTAAAGGCTTTTATTTTTTTTTATTTGATTTACAGCTTGATTCCACACCGTATTTTCAGTACAAGTATGGAATTTTCAGCATGGATATCGGTTGCCCAAATTCAGGCATACCATAGATATCGGGTGTGCACCGGCAGGGGCTCGAACCCCGGACCATGTGCATGGTCGGCGAGAGTCCTAACCACTGTGTCTCCGCCGTCTCCATACTGAAGATCAGATGGCCGGTTGGAAAGGGCTGGCAAGAAAACCTCTGGGAACGAACCAATCAGGAGGTTACTGGTCAATAAATATCCCGAAGAAGTTGGAGATGGATTGGACACAAGCTGTGGATACCGCTGAGTGACATCTCGCGACAAGCCATCGCTTGCGTGCAGAGTCAAAGGGAAACAACCAGTTTGACATGTGTGTGTCCGTGGTTCATGTGGAGGAGATGAGAGCCTATGGTCAATCGTACAACCGGCTAAATTTCTGTGTGAATCAAATTTAACCAAACTCAGACGTTTTTATTTCATCTATCGAACAACTTCTTGGTTTGTATTGCACTTAAAATAATAGAAATTTGTAGCTCTTGGTAGGGAAAGAAACTGTTTCCATGCACGCTAAGTGTTGTTATTCGACAGTGAACGTTTCAACAAACTTCTAATATTTTCACATGAATCCAGAACAAAACGACAAGAATAAATCTACTTCACAGGACAGATAAAAAAATAGAGCAGTGATCAAACCTTACAGTCTAATGTATCTTAAATAAATTTGACAAATCTAAAGCCACTATTATCATTCTACAACTGGCTACCTTATAATGGCAATAGATCCCGATCTGGAAATTGAAAAACAACAAAACTACCAGGAGGATCAAAGTATGAACTGCTATTATGCGTTAGCAAATGAATATACACTCTTCAAAATGTATCTTCAACATGAATTATACTTGCCTTTATTTTATTCCTTTTAGTTACAATACCTAGAAATGCTGGTGAACGACGGGATTTAATGAATGCTAGAAAGAAATTTTCTGCAGACACTTACAGTGATCATATGATGCTATTAAGAGCCTTTCAGGTAGGTGTAACTGTCGAAATATGATAGTAATTATTAAATAATGAAATGTACTCATCAAGATATTAGAGGAAATGACGAGAAAGCAGTGATACTGGGTTCGAACCCAAGCGGGAACACTGTCACTCACCATGGAATGCAGGTACATTCAGAGGACGAGTTCCCAATAGGACAAAATGCTCATCGTGGATTCCGTCGGTAGTCACCACCCACCGAATTACTTCTAAATAACAAGAAGTCCAGAAAAAATACGTTTTTGGCGATTCCATCACTCAGAGCCGCACATCCGTATTTTTATTTATAAGTCCGCATAGTTACAGTTGTTATTTAATTCGACATAGTAACGGGGAGGGAATTATTACATCAATTATTATTTCAGTTTGTTTCTAGCTAGTCTCGTTCACACCATTCGTCACCAGAAATTACCACACATATTATCTTTCTAATCCAATATTATTTTGTTCCTATGGCTCTTGTGATCCAAATTCATCTTTCATTACACCTTAAAACTGTCATATCAAGTGAAAAATTATAATCTCCTTTAATCCCCCTTCGTTAATATGCTGAAGTAAATAATAACTGTGACCTATCATGGACAATGAGTACCCAAACCTACAATTACCTTCCACTGATCCCCCACATGAAAATCTATTAAAAAGGGAAGTTGTTAGCACGGATAACCTATCACTGTTAACAAAAAAATCATGATTGGTGCACGCACTGGTATGATAACCTGATTGGACAGTTTTTGATAAATTCAGTTTTGGAGGATCTCCAAGGTCATGCAGTCACTCAGATACTGATTTTTATTAATGGTTTCTATTTCTGTGAATATGTAACTGATATTCAAGCCTTGTATTTTGAATAATAAGGTGGCCGCTGCTATCGCAGTTAAATCTGACTTTTGCATCTATCCCACTGTGGGGGATTATTTTCCAAGTGGTCACCTGGTTATATTTTCGTGTTTGGAGGTTCATTCTAGTCAAGTTAGACGACAACCACAAAAACAGTAACACCAGGTTATAACTTAAACCTGAGTGCCTGTGGATAAAAATGTGATCGTATAGTATTTGAGAATAAAATCTCTAAAAATATTTTTCTAGCTAAACTACGTATTTTTTCTGTCCCATAATTATTATTTGCTTTCTTCTGAAGTTAGATTTCCTCAGAAAGCCAAAAATATTAAAAAATAAGAAGCGCTTACGTTTCATCCTAGTTTAGTGAGGAAAAAACTCTCCATTCATGACCCGGGGAGAGACTAGACTAAGCAAAATAACGTAACCAATAAAACGCTAATTTGAAGTCAAACGACTTACTCTTTACAAATCCTGTATATTGACTATGTCGAATCACCTCTAAGGTCGGTCTATGATGAAATCAATCTAATTTCAACAAACCTAACGTCAAATTTCTTTTTCTTTTTTCAGTTCTGGCAGAAATCTCGTTCAGAAGGATGGGAAAAAAATTTCTGTCAGAAAAATTTTATATCTACTACAGCTTTCGAAGTTATCACCGCTATTCGGTAAGTTCTTTATTCCGTGTAAGAAAAGGTACGAGAATCATAAGCTAACTGATAGTGATTTTATTTTCAAATTAGCTTCATGAATAACAACCTACAGATCATAAGTAATTTGGTGGATGGTAATTACCAGCAGAATCCAGAGAGCTTGTTTCGTCATATCTGGGGCTTGTCATCTGATGTATCTGCATTCCTCAGTGAGTGATGATGTTCCCACTGAGGCTCAAGCCCAGTACCCATCGTCCCAAAGGCCAAAGCATCAGTTACTAGACCACTTGAACCACGTGGGACAGCTTTTGTGTAGTGGATGTCAGTTATTATTTCTTAATTCAATTTTGATTTTTCCGCTGATTGATTGGCCTGATATGTTGGGCCTCTGTTGAGATGTTGGTTGCTTGTGTGACTATTTCGACAATGGCTGTGGATGAGCATGAAATAAGTCGGTAGATGATGACTAGCAGTGGAATGCATGCTGTGCATTTCGTCCTCTCAGTCAACAGGAAAATCAAAATTGATTTAAAAACAAATAACGATAGGCCATAATTTCAGAGAAACCCTCACATATAGGCATCTTTTTAATTAGATTGTATTATCAACCTTCAGCTCATTGTCCCAACTAGAACTAAACTGACTAAGCTGCTATGCATTTTATGCAAACCATTATTCATGCAATCAAGGATTAATCTCCAATAGAGGCTTTACAGTATTGAAGGCAGATAAGCAGTGTAATAATTACTGCTAATAAACATTCCAACTACACATATTTTATGACAGTGTCATATTTTTGATTTAAAAGCAGTCAGGAAAGTGTAATCAAAACGAGGTTTCACTTGAAAAATGGTGAATCAAATAACTCATAAATCAGTGCACCGATTTACTTTATGGGGAAACCAGAAAAAAGGTAGTGGAATGAATTTATAATAATAGGGCACACGATTGTTTGATACGACGTCTTAATCTGGGGCGCACAAGTACTTAAATGGTGAACGAAATAGAATGTGACTATAGTGGCATTTACGTTACTCTTCTACACTGAACATTCACCACATGAGAAACTCTGTCTTTTGGTTTATGCCTTAGATGAAGAGGCATTTATCCCTTTATTTTTCACTTTACGTCTAAATATCCTGAAGCTGTAGTCATATTTTTCTACGAAAGTGTAACAGAGCTGGCGAAAAACGAAATCTGCATAAGATATACATATATATTCAAGAGTTTGTTTGTAGGGATTTAATTTGTATCAAATTTGGTCATGGATTGATATCACTTAGGGAACCAATGAAAACCAGGGAGTGGTCGTTCGAATTCATAGGCCGTTGAGTTGGATATCAATGGCTGAATGGTCTGTGGGCTTACCTAGGAACCGAGAATTCCTGGTCTCGAAACACGGTAGGTGCGCAGTGACGATGAGTCCCAAACTAGCCTAACAAAACAGCTGTCCATTACTCCCATCTGGTTTTCACTGGCCTTCTAACCGATATAAATCCGTGATTAGACTTTACATATATATATATATATAAATGTTGTTGAGAAAGAAAGGAGAGTATACTGCTTCATGTGATACTCCGAAAAAGTTAAAATCTGTGAATGATTCAATTGTTCAGTTAATTACCAATAGTCATATGCTCGTCAGAAAGAAGGAATACAGACAGTGAGATCAAATCCACCATTTGTATCTTACACAGTCTGAGGTGAGAATTCACAACAAATTCATTGGGAAGCCAAAATTATTCGGATCGTAATATGAGATCAGCACTTGGTACCATGAGTGGCAATCAAGAAATTAAGCGAAACAGTATGGTGGTAAATACCACTGATTGATATAAGTAGTTGGAAAGCACTTACATTGCGTATTAGTGCTTACTGGCTAGATTGAAGTGATATAAACATCAGACTGATATTTCGCTTGTTTGGAGTCAAGTTCATCAGAGGTGAATTCGAGATGACTCATTCCTAATAGTGATATCCTTTCAGACCACTTCGACAAATCAAAATAATCAATGTTGTATAACCACGCTATTTTGTTTTCACTTTATTTGACTGTCGCTTATAGGAACCAGACAGACACCAGGTTGTGATGCGAAATTATTTTTGCTTCCAAAAGAAACTATGGTGATTTCTCACCTTGAACTGTGTAACTTGATTCTACGTATTAGTATTTTTTTATTATAGCTTGATTTCACAAAGTATTTTTTGATTTAAGTATGGAATTTTCAACATGTGATATCGGTAGCCCAGATTTTGTAGGCCGTCCAACTGATATCTGGTGTGCATCGGTAGGGGATCGAACACCGGACCATTTGCATAGTCGACGAGAGTCCTAACCAGTGTGCCACCGACGCACAAAGCCCGGTTCGGCCCGGGCTCTGAATTAACTCAGTACGAGTACAGCGTTAATATGCTAGGTGTCGAATAAGCCAGACACCTTTTCTGTATTCAGATCACTTCAATCTGGCTACTTAACACTACTACTTCACATGAGTAGTCTTCGGGATACTCGAATTAACCAACAGTGTATATAATCAAGTATAAACTCTCCAACTTATTTTGTGCTCCATCAATATTAACTGACAATAAAACTATGCTCCTTGAAAAATTAATTGGTTACAAGCGTGTGTAAAAATAACCAAGTGTTCAACATGAGTATTCATAAATTGTGTACCTATTCTTTTTGAGGATCGAACAAACAGTGATTTAAATTTCGAATATTGTGTTGCATGAATAACGAAGCGTATTCACAAAGTGTAAAAATGTTCCTTAGAAAGTAAAGTAGAATTCATTTAATATATATATCTACTTATTATAAATTGTTATTTGAAATACTTCTTATCTATTTTGCTTAGTACACAGTTATTAGGACAGCTTAGAGCTTCAGGTTTTGTGAAAGCCAGAGGAAGTGGAGATATCCGAGACCTTAACAGTAATTCAGAAAACTGGGCTGTTGTTAAAGCAGCTATTGTAGCCGGTATGCATGGTAATTTAGCCAGATTGGATAGGAAAAATTCATGCTTGAAGATAGCTAATGGAAATAATTCACTGGTGAGTTCAGTTTATATTTTATTGCATATAAATAATCCTTCTACTAGATTTTCATTGTAATGAAGATGGTTTATACAAAATATTATATAAGTTCATGTCACTATATCAAAAGCAGTCTCAACCTCTTCTATATATTTCAGGCAAATCACTGTTTATGCAGTGAGCTGGATATTACATCACATGCATACTCCAAAAGGTGCTTATCGTATTTATGTTTTCCTCTCAAAATAAAAAAGAAACTACAGGACAAATATAAACGAAGAATAACTAATTATCATATGTTGATATACAGGGATTTGATTGGCTACAGATTTGTTCACGAGCTGACATCAGTTAGAAAACTACTGAAAAACCAGAAAGTACTGGACAGCCGTTTCGTCCTAGTTTAGGACTCGAACCCAGAATCTTCGGTTACAAGGCGAACTCGCAGATAATTTAGCCAGTAAGACTCAGCAGAACAGTTCATGGATTCCAACTTGTGCTAATTCGTTATATATACGTCGCTAAATGGATAGTCAATCGGTTCCCAGCGGCTGAATGGTCTACGAATGAAGGGGCTTCAGTTCTAACCTCAGTAGTTGCGTACTGCCCAAGCGTCTCAAACCAGAACGAAGCAGGTGTGCAGAAAAACTGCTAACTATTGCTTACCCATGAGCCCCTATGAAAGCTAGTTCAAAACAGTTTAGTCTCATAATGAACAAGCTGACATTCACTAATTAGTTCAGAATAGAACAGGACATATTTCTACCCTCTGTGGATAAGCAAAACAATATGACAATCATCCAGTGTTCTTGATACTTAGTTATCTTCCCATACATGTGTGACTTGATCAGCCTCTGACCCACTGAAAAGCCGTAATTCAGATAACCACTAACTCCCACATTCTTATTACGGGAATTAACTCCATTTCCCGTATGTTGGTGACTAAAGTTTATTGAACAATCCGTAAAGTGGAAACGAAAGATGTTGCGTGCTCTTAGCTTTAAATGTATATCCTATGTAATCTGTGCTCGTAGTCTAATCATTATTGGAGTCAAACCAATTCTCGTACACTGAGAAGCCAAATAGTGGCAGTCTGATTAAGGGTTTCGATGGATTCTATTTTGTTTTATGAAGTTACAGAAACGACCATTAACCCAAAAATGTTTTTAGCAAATCAAATATGAAAGGTATTTTGTGGTAACTCATGGCTCACGCCAGTTCTTATTGTCACTTCGTGTGAAAGTGACTAACTGGTTTCAGCAGAGGATTTGAACAGAAGTAAAGCAGTTCTAGTTGCCATGCTCTATGTAGCACAAAAAGGAAGACATAAGAGAGAAAAATGACTTTCAAAAACACAGTAATAAGGACAAATGTGAGGCAGAAACAATAGTAACGTGGAAGAACATTAGGGTTTTATTGGATATGGCAGAGCGCAAAGAGTGAATACATTTAAGGGCCGTTGAGAACGATTTTGAGCCATATCACATATTGTATCCAGCCACTGGTTTTAGCATCCCGAGAACTCCAGCCAGGTTGCCTTCACCTTCCAACATGGCTCAAATTAACTGCTAAGGATTCCATGTATCGAAGTTTGTTCTGAACTCTACTATCTCTCTTCCAACTTAATCCTGTGTCATCTAACACTGCCTGTCAAGGAAGACGATGACTCGGAATATGTAGCACGTACCTTAGCCAACTCAATCGATGTTGCTTCACAATCTCATCGATAGATTTTCCCCCCTTACCTAACACACGACTCCTAACCTCAATGTTACTCACCGTATTACACCATCTAACATAGGAGATAGAACAAAAACATTCGTATTTAAAAAACAGCTAGCCTTTTCATGTATTCCACTTTCAATGGGTATGCCTCACAACCATAAGGGAGAACAAAACGAACTGCTGTACAGTACCTAGGTCTTTTGATCGATAGCCAGCCAGATATCACGTCCACGCTAGAGATCACGTAAGTTAGCAGGTGCTACGCAAGCCTTTTTTATTGGTTCTGAGATTTCGTCAGCTATCGGCCCGTCGGTGATGATGAAAGTAGGTTGAAGACATAAACTGTTATATTAAACTATTTTACAAAGCAATGTTTAAACATTACTGGATGTTATTATCATCGTTTTGGTTAGCAGTCAAATTACCAAATAAACAAGCAATCACTTTTATAAATCTATCGTTTCATATTTTAGTGAGTGATTATATTTTCAAATTTTTACTAGATTATGCTTCACCCAAATTCTGTCATTGCTACAAATTCTGATGGAACAAAAATGGATTTGAACAACTTACCGTGTGATTGGCTTGTTTTTGATGAATTGCTCACTTTAAGTAATTCAAATGTAAAAAATAAAATTACAGCTGATGCCAATGACATCTATGAGTTCACGTTGTCAAGCAACAGTGAAGCTCATTTCAGAAATTCGTGTATCAATAGTCAACAACAAAATAATCCCCTGGGCAATTCTACTGAAAATACTAAAGTAATAAAAAATTGTGCCAATTCAAGCGACTTGAAGATTATAAAATGTGCCAGTATAATTTCACCAATCACTGTAGCTTTGATGGCTGGACCAATTAGATTATGGCCAGAAATGATTAAAGAATCTCAGTCAAATGTGAACGGTAGGTGATTTTCTAAATTACTAAAAACAAACTTATCAAATGTTCTTTTTTCTTTGATCTGTTAACGAATCTTAGTAAAATGTTACTTACACGAAATATCTAACATGTATGAGAATAAGATTTTTCTTAAACGATGTGAAAGTCACTGAAGGCAATGTTAACTGTGATCATGAACTGATTTCAGTTAGAAAACCAAGGAGTATTAAGCAGCTGTTTCATCCTAATTTGGGACTCTTCACCAGTAAGCATCCGTGGTCCAATTAGGGGTTGAGTCTGCAACCTTCAGGTTACAGAGTGGGTTCACCGACCATCCGGCCGCTGACCCAGGAATTCGTACTTGCGCCAATTTCTGATATCACTAGAAATTCCTTAATGACTTCTTAGTGATGTTGTCTCATAATCGATAAAATCTTTATTTTGATAAAGTCTCACAGTAATATAATGTCAGTAAAAAGTTTGAGCATTGTGGAATAGATCAAATAAATTATAATTATCTTTAAGTAGTTTACACACAATGATAAGCAAAATTACTGCCCGTGTTCACACCAGCTGTTGGAATTGCTTTGTTCTTAATTCACATATTTATGATTTGTACTCAGTGTGGTCGAATATAATTCCATTACGGATAGAATTTTTATTCTGATAAAGTCTCAGTAATATTTACTGATGACGTTTCCAGCATAATTTATTGCTCATAATCATATCAAGGTTATATGATATGACTATGAGCAATAAATTATGCTCAAAACGTCATCAGTAAATATTACTGAGACTTTGTCAGATAAAAATTCTATCGAAAATCAAAACAAGTGATTCAGCGAACAGACTCTTTTCAACGAATTTATCATCAAGCTGTACAATCGTATATATATGGTTTTTAAGAAGTTATATCCGATGAGGGGACTGAATCATAAGTGTGAATGCATAAAATAATAATAATAGTATGAAATACAATTAAAACTAAAATGTTTGTGATTATAATCGTAGTTAAATGTCAAGTGGCAAAACAATTAATGTAATATGTAGAATAATTCATAGGACAGATAGAACTTTAAAAAGGTTGTGCAATTATAGGATTAGTAGACAAATCGAATAAAATAAAAACGTTAAGTAATGTTGTGTGGAATTTGATAGTATAGAATTCGTTGAAAAGAGTCTCTTCGCTAAATCACTTGTTTTGATTTTCAATATGTTACAATGGGAATTTTCCATGAATTAAAAAAAATTCTATCCATAATGGAATTATACTCGACCATAGTGCCCAGGTTCTATCCTTGTATCAATAATCCTGTCGCATTTAAAACTATTTTTGTCAATACCATCATCTTAGCTTGTTTTATTATCATTCATGCAATACCTAATATTTTCAAGTTCTTTTTCCGATAAAAAACTGTTTATTAATTTTAATCTCTAACACCCCTTTCCTTCTGATTATCTGAAATTGACCTGCAAAACATACGCATTTAGTGTTTTGAATGAATGATTTACTGTAGTTTATTTATCAGGCACGCATCACCCCATTTATTCCTCAAAGTATATATACTGAATTAGTTGTGTCCTCTGAGCAGGTTGATTTAACTGAGAAGATTTCATCGTCCTTCTAGACAACATCTTCAGCGCAAGTTTTACTATAAAATGAACTCATTTAAATTCTCCATGAATGATTCGACTGTATCCCCTGGCGACCACTGTCGTGAATTATTAAAATATGAATGTATCGGTTTCCTGTATAACTTGGACTTTAGTATTATGTCAGTTTGTCTTATTACAATGCTAAATTACTTCAAAGATTCTGTACATGATTAGTTTGTCATAAAAAATGCAAAGCGTCAGTGTTTCAAGATAGTATGCGAGACAGTCATAATCCAACTGATATTTAATGTTCCCTTTTGGAAATCTAGTTATCAGGCTTATCAGAGGACTGTTTTCCAAAAGAGCTTTTTCTTCAGAAAAAATCTTCATGATTTGATTTCATTTTCAACAGATCATATATATGCATCAATTGAATTCCAATTCAAAGGACTCGAATCTTTACTTCCAACCACATAAATCATTTTATCTTAACAGATAAAAATCTTTTCTTTTATCCCTTTACGTTCCCAGTGCTGGAACATAGGGCTTCAAGCTAGAGGCTTGAAGTTTCGGTAGCAGTGGTGTTTACTTTTACGGGATGGGGTTGCTAGTCTCATGCCCAACCTTCCCTCTTTGCCAGTCGCATTACTGGCTCAGCGGGGTAAGGCGGTGCGTCGGCGGCCGGGGATTGAGTTCCGGACCACATGAGGCGTGGTTGACGAGCAATCTACCGCTGTGCCACCAACGCAAGTGATAGAAATCTAGTTATTCGAATTTAGCTCGCTGCACATCTGTCAACTTCCTAACACTGCCGAAGCTTTAAAAGAAAGTGACTGAGTGTGTATGAATTAGTTCCTGATTATTAATGCTTCATAATGAAACCTACTTACTCATCATCACCAGTTCAATCCAGTTAGTATCTTTCCAAATATTAAGCAAAAAATCGTCTTGCTTACATATTTACTTGCAGTGACTCCTTATCTTAATATAAGAGAGATTTGATTTCCTTGCGATTGCCTTTAGTGCAAAGAGTCAGTTATATTACATCTGAGGGATAGTTATACATATGATGGAGAAGATTTGTAGCTCAGGTGGATGAATTTGATGTAGTTGTGTTCTCTGATCTGGATGGCTAATTTGCGAAGCTTTCATCACCCTACTAGGCGACATCTTCAGTGCATACTTCAATTTGATGAAGTGAGCTTTTAGATTGCTCCACGAGTTCATTAATCATCTCTCCTGGTGACCTTGGACGTGATTGGTTGTATTTGTGTGTTTTCGCACCTTCTAGGCTACTTTTATTGAGACTGATCGTTTCTTTGACTTAAACTTTGACCCTTTGTGTGTGAGGTTTCTTTCTTATCGGTTGATAAATTTTGTCAATCTCGATGTGTCTGTTGATTGATGATTCACTGGAATACCAGGCTTCTAAAAGTTCTCTAGCATTCTTGGTGTTTCCTCTGTCTTATATTTGAACGCTGGTTGTCCCAGTCGAATTAATGTCCATGGTTGTCTGTATGTAGTGATATGAGATAGTGGATATCATGTCTTTTAACAGCTAGCTTATGTTCGTAGATACGAAGACAAAGGGGGCGTCCACTTTGGCCAATGTAGTGTAGTTATAGTAAATTAATGCATAAAAATTGTTGTATGATGATTATGATGACAGGTTCAATTCACATAAAACCGATTGTATAACACATTTTTAGTTTATGTCATCCTAATTCAAAACTCAAATTATTTTTTGATCTATAAATTAATTTATTACATAAGCTTTAACCTTACTAAAACATCCACAGAAGAAGCAAAACAACAAAGGCAGCAGAATTTAGTCAAAGAAATCCATCAGTGTCAGCCAGTTTGCGGTAATACCAAGAATAAAAATGACAACAATAACAATATTATCTATGGAAGTGTTCAAGAAGAATATGAGACCGCATCAGAGTCCGATTCTGATTCAGAAACTCAAGGAATCGTTAAATCTTTCTTACAGAATAATAATAATAACAGTAATAGTAATAATAATAATAGTCAATTATCACGTATTCATATGAATATTCGTGAAGTTCTAGGTGAAATAATACAGCAGAAAACAAAAGCAAATAGCAATTCAACAGACACAAAGCTAAAAGTGGATACTCCACAAACACCGACACAACCATCAGACCCTATCATGAATCTATCAACAAATTTCAATGCAATAAAGGTTTCCGAAAATAAGCATAATTTGAAGTCGTTACCTATTCAACAACAACAACAACAAAGTCAATTAATTCCCAGTCTTACGTATTCATCTGTGGATCAATCTAATCCTATGATGTCAATGATGTCATCATCGTTATCATCAACATCTGCAAATGATCAAACAAACACTAACACATCATTTTGCTTAGATTCAACTGGATTTCTGCGTTTCATCCTAAATTCAAATGAAGCTCAAATGGTTATAGGCTTACGACAGAAATGGCATGCATTGTTCTTACGTCGACTGAAGAATCCTGGGAAACAATGTTCACAACAAGATGAGGTAATATGAAATCATTCTGTTATGTTTTATCTATTATTATTATTATTGTTTCCTTTAATTCCTAGAGGACATAGGGCTTCAACCGTGCATCTCCATTGCATTCAAATCTCTGCTAGAGTCTTCACCTGGCTCCAAGTCTGCCCACACGCCTTCATCTCCTCTTCACATGACCTCCTCGAAGACACCCTTGCACTGACGACCAACTCGCCGCTTCCCTTTCGGGTTCCACTCGAGCGACGGCCTGCCGTGTGATGTCACTCGATGGTTTCCTCAGAGTATGGCCAGCCAATCCATCTCCATTTCTTCCTGCCTATTTATTTCACAATCGGTTCCTGGTTGGTTCACTCCAAGAGATCTCTAATGCTGATCTTTTCTGGTCATCTGATCTTGAGTATTGAGCGAAGATAGCTGTTGATGTAGGTCTGTAGTTTGTTTGAGATGCTCTTTATGACGCGCAGTGCAAGTCTCTGATCCATCCGTATAGTAGCACTGACTTCACATTGGAGTTGAAAATCCGGATCTTATTTTTGATATTGAGTGCTGTTGACCTCCACACAGACTTGAGAGTAATGAAAGCTTGTCTTGCTTTTCGGATTCTTGCTTTGATATCCTCGTCAGTACTGTCCGCCTGTAGTTGAAACGGTGCTTCCCAGGTAGGTAAAAGATGTTGTTTCTTTCAGGTTCCTCTCATTTATGCTGATCGTTGTCTGTTGTTGTTGTTCCTGTTGGTGGTGTTGCCCAGGAATCTTCATCACCTCTGTTTTCTCTATGTCCACCTGAACTCCCATCTTCTCTGGATGCTTCTTCTGCCAAAGTGTTGCTTTTCGCTTGCACATCTTCCAGTTTATGGGAAATCAGCTTAGCGTTAATTGTTGAATTACTTTAAAGATTCTATGCATGATAAGCTTGTCATATAAAAAAAGTAAACGCCTTCGGTGCTCTAGCGTTGCGTGCTAGCTAGTCATGATTCAGCCAACTGAAACTCGTGGATTTCTTCAAGCTGTTTAATATAAATTACTCATCTTACATCCAGTACATAACCAACTTGACCATAACAAGAATTAAAATGAATTAACTCCACAACAACCAACAGTGAGTACTGTTTATCATCTTCCTTTTATAAAAATTTGGTCATCATTTATGTCATTGTGGTGGACTGGATTATACGTCAGACTGTTCGTTGAGAGTAAGAAGACAGAAATACACAGGACTACCGATAAGAAAGCTCTAGAAGTTCTGGATGATTTATGTCTAATGTCACACAAACTCGAAGACTTGCAGGCGAAAACTAACAAACCGACTGAAGAGGCCACCAGAGAAGACAGCAATCCAGTTGAACACAGAGAAGACGGAGGTGATGAAAATAATCACTCAACAGCAACGGCAACAACAACCAGCACCAGTCACCATCAGTGGGGGAGATTTAACAGAGGTTACCTCTTTTACTTATCTGGGAAGCATCGTTTCAACCACAGGCAGCCGGAAACTGATTAAGATGTCAAGGCAGGCCAAAATACGCCTTCATCAATCTGAAATCGGTTTGGGAATCTTCTGCGCTGCATAACGAATAAGATTCGGATTTTCAACGCAAATGTGAAGTCAGTCAGTCAGTTCTTCTACACTGGTCAGAAACTTGGCTAAAGCGTCTAAAAGAGTATTTCCAGCAGATTTCAGACTTTTATCAACAGCTGCTTTCGCTCCACATTGAAGATTAGATGACCAGAAAGAATTAGCGATGAGAAACTTTGGGAGTGAACCACTTGAGGACCTTTGCTCAAAAAATATCGTGAAGCAAATGGAGGTGGATTAGGCATACATTGAAGAGATAGCTGAGTGACATCTCGAGTCCCGCCATAGCTCGAGTGTAACCCGAATGGGAAGCGAAGAGTGGGTCGTCGGTGCGAGGGTGACATGGAGGAGTTCATGTGAAGAGGAAACGAGGGACTACTATGGTCAAAGAGAACAGCAGAAAGTAGAACAAAGTGGAGTTGTGCTGTTGAAGTCCTATATTCTACTCGAATCCGAGAGAACAATAATAATAATTTGTCATTTACATAATAGAAAAAATAAACAATTAGTAAACCCCATACTGATCTCTAGACTTTACTAGACACGATAATTCAACAAAAACACTGAGCTGAATTAAATAATTTATTATGTATCAATGTAGAACTTTGCAAAAAAGTGTATCAGCTCAAGTTATGACTCACCACAAGTGCATTGAAAGGAAGTGAAGAAAAAAATACAATGCAAGTACAATAAACGGAAATGTACGATAAAAACAATTATTATGTGATGAATAATGCATATTTTTCTAGAATTTGGAATATCACTAGGAGTGAATGTAATTGCTTCAAAGAAAAAACTTTGAGCTTAGTCACCAACAGTCTCAAGGACCCTAACCAGACTGGCTACACACCCCAACGTGGCAGAAACTAACAGGCAAGGACCATGAATTGGTACTAGACCTTTATATGATAAGCACATAACGTTTTTCCAATTTAATCCTATGTCAGTTATATGATAATGCCATATGCCAAATAATTTACAACGGAAAGCTCACGGAAGCATCTGAAATGACTATAGAAGTAAGACAAGGCTGCCTACTATCATCAATGATATTCCTAAATGTGGTGGACTGGATTATGCGGCAGACTGAGGGGGGGGGCGTGAGGAGACAGGCATACGCTGGACTGATAAAAAAAGACTCTAGAAGATCTAAACTTCTCAGGGCATTTCTGTCAAATATCATACAAACTAGAAGATTGACAACCAACAAGTTGGCAGAAGAGACGTGGTAAAGACAGGACTACAAGTGAGCATAGAGAAGATAGAGGTAATGAAGATACCTAACAAATAACGAAAAATGCCAATAACCATCAATCAGATAAATCTAAAGAAACACTCCTTTCACTTGTCTGGCTAGACAGCATCGTTTCTACAACAGGCGACACAAACGAGGATGTCAAAAACAGCCAGAAACGGAAAAACAAGACGGCCGTTCATTAATCTGAAATCTGTGGGAAAATCTACTACACTCAGAGTAAGAATCAAGATCTGAATTTTCAACACGATTGTGAACTCAGTGTTCCTCTATACTGGTTCATAGACTTGACGCGCATGTCACCAATAGTATTTTCAACAGGCTATTGCAGACCTTCACCAACCAACGCCTTCGTCATCTTAATACCGGTGATCAGATGGCTGATTGAACATGAAATTCTGACAGCGAAACATCCAAAAACCTATGACTAACCCTACAAATATAAAGAAGGAAATGGAGATTGGTTGTACATAGGCTGAAAAGACATTCAAGTGATATCATACTTCAGCCAGGCCTTCGAGTGTAACTTCTTTTTTCAGAAACAAAATATGAAGTTAGTCAGATTTCAAGAATATTTCGTTACTCATGTATAAATGATCTACTCAATGAACATTCTGAATGGCAGTATGTCCAAAAGTGTGAACCTTAGAAGTTAATCCATTCACAGTTAGAATACTGATTATGTGTTTATTCTCCATCAAATTTCTATGTATCATTTTACTGGCTGAAGATTGACCACTGCCATATTCCTTATTGTCAAGTTCCAATTCTGTTTACTAAACAGAACTGTGCTCTAGATAATTTCACAAATAGGTATCTTCGAAACGTTCATTAACAATGAGAAACTCTAATGCGGAATGACATGAAGTAAGGAGTGATATTCATACATTTATTCCCCTTTATGAATTTGAATAAAGTAAAAACAACAGTTTGTGAAGTAAATAAAATAAAACCATCATTTGTTTCGTTGGCTTCCCATCATCTGCTTACAGCCTAAATAAATTATGAAGTTTATGTACAGAAAAGTTCTAACATACTATCAAATTTTAAATGATGTCAGTTGACAGGAGGTTCCGGACTTGGTCAACAGTGTTCAGAAAATTACGCTTATATAGTTTTTAAACAGGCAGTTCAAGTTTAAACAAAATATATGTATTCATACTATGGTAAAGGAGTTCCTTCATAAAGACGAGAGGTGCGTAAGATGCTTTTGTCTATTGATAATTCTAAAGGAATAATTCCCATTCGGACATCTTTTGTCTACTAATTCTAAAGGATTTTGCGATTTCCACCTTACTACCCGTATCAAGGAGATGCGTGATGATGGCACTATTATAAGCGTTTGTTCCCTTGAGATGTAGGCTTTTCGGTACTTGTTCAGAAAATCTGAGATGTGCCCTTCTTTCTGTTCTCCCAATGTAACTGCTCCCGCAGATACATGTTAATTTGTATACACAGTTAGATTTAACATGAGAAGGGTATCTGTCGACTTTTGATTGCACCAAAAGGCTAGACGGGAACCAACTTAACTGCAGGATACGCTCCGGTTAGTGACATACTCAACCTTCTGTTGACCATTGCTGCAATATTTTCACCTTCAAAATCTGGTTGAATAAAGAGAGGCTTTTTCTCACTGTGATTTGTTTGACACAAACTGTTGCTTTGACCTTATTAAAAGTGTGATCATTTGAAGAAAACTGCTAAGAGAATCAGTAATTTGTGTTACAAGATAAATTGACGTATGTAATTTAGTGAGCTATTACTCATTTTTCAAGTAGTGAGCTATGAACCATATTTATTGTATGAGGCCTAACTATACTACCCAGTTTCCCAGGCTGATGTGGGTGGAGAGGAACTCGAACCATGCACCCATTCACTGAAAGTCAAGTGCTTAAGCCAATGAACAACACACGTCTCGACATGAACAACTGACGTATGACCACATGACCCTCTCCCAGTTTTTTTTCCAGTAGATCAGTTACACATATGCAGAAACCACTTCGCCATAGACAATTACATGTCATGAGTTTGTTGAAAGTTTAAGTATCACTTATCAAAGTCAAACTCATTAATACTGATGACCTTTCAAAGACATTTTATTGATCATAATCATAATCTAATTTAGAATCATACTCTGACAGAGTATCTAAATTCAATTTCTTTACTAAAGTCAAATGAAATGATGCAAATGCTAATATAAGAACTGCGAGGTCCAGAGGTTCTAGGTTTGATCGTTTAAAGTATTTCACAAACAGTTAAGCGTCGGGTGGAAAAGGTGTCTAACTGTACTCCTCTTTTAGTGTTTTCCCTACTAATTCCAATGTTCAATTGTGAATACCTGAAATTTTGTTAATTATTTACAGCCTACTAGACTATAATATTGATTAAGGAGAAATTTCATCAACACTTACATTATAAGTAGAATCTGATAAGTGGAACCAATTGATTAGTATAATTCATGGCTTGTTCCTTAACGCTTGTATCACCTTGTTCTATTTAGGCAGTTCTCAAATGCTTGACAAATGTTTTAATGGCTGAAGAACAAGCACTGGGGCTAAGACAACCATCTGGTGTTGGTGCACGTCCACGTCCAATGGCAGCAGAACTATGCAATCAACTTGATTACTCACAAAATGATACTTCTCAAATTCCCAAAATCTCCACTGAACAGAGTATAATTAATAATAAAATTGCCTCAGCTCATTGTATCGCAACAGAAATTAAAACATCTATCACTACCATTACTTCTTCAAACACAAGTCACTTAGATCAAGATAGTTTAAGATGTAAATATCCCCTGTTTACACGACCAAACTATGCATCACAAATTACAAATTTTACTCTGCTGAATGACTTCAATAAAACAAACGAACAGGGCTCATTTCAAGCATCCAGAAGTGAACAGTATATGGATAAGCATACGCCAATCACCCCAGTTATGGAAAACACAGGAAGGCTGACTTCTTTTCCTACTACAAACAATAGTCGGTGTGATTGCCAAGCTTGTAGTGACAATCCTAATTATGTATTAGCAAATCCCTTGACAAAAGTAAGTTAAATTACTGTTGATGGTTTTTGTGGGGGAGTAGGGTAGCAGGAAACTGGAAACTGACTATCTCTATACATTTTAATAAGAAATACTTCAAGTTCAGTGCGAATTCAGCATGATAGCTAATAGCTTCTGCATCAAAGTAATACAAATATGAACACTGAGGAAAAAATACACCTTAGAAACACGCGTGTGTTGGCAAAGATTTTATTAAGCTTATTTGTGAAAAGGGTAATACAAACCTACTCAAGGGAATATGAAAGCTGATAATTATACAAGTACTTATGGAACATGAGAGATTATTACTCCCCAGATCATACAGTTCACTTCGTGTTATCTTTTAAAACGTATCCCCTTACAAACTACTCATGAAGAGTTTTATGTTAGTCTGCTTGACTACTTGATGGTCTAATTGCTAAAGGAGATAAGTGTTGAATAGGTTACATCTGTGGAATGAATAATCATACTACTTGCAATACATACCTGTCACACATATCCTCACTTCTGGAGTGTTCTATAATTAGTTTGTAGGGATTTGATTTATTTCAAGTTTGACCATGGATTAATATCAGTCAGAGAAGACCACCATGGAATACTGGGCAGACATCTCGTCCTAGTTTTGGATTTACCAGTGATATGCGCACACTGGGGTTCAAACCCGGAACATTCCGGTTACAATGCGAGCCCGTAGACCATTCAGCTACTGGGACCCAATCCAACAGCCAGTCCATGAATTCTAACCAATTCGTGATTTTAGCTCCACAGACCAACCAGTGTGATTGGCGAGTATTTTTTTTATTATAGCTTCATTCCACACAGTACTTTTTGGTACAAGTATCGAATTTTCAGAATGTGATATCGGCAGCCTAAATTTAGCAGGCCGACTACTGATATCAGATGTGCGTCGGTGAGAGATTGAACCCTGGACCATGTGCATGGTCGGCGAGAGTCCTAACCACTGTGCCACCGACGCTCTCACTCTGGTCAGGGTTTCTCACTAAAACTCCAAGTAACTTTGTCCTCAGTCACTGGTGTACTGCTAATGAGTCCTGAACTAGGACGAAACAGTTGTTCCGTACTCTCTAACTAATATGAATCCGTGATGGCAATTGATTTTTTTCTCGTGACTCCATTATGGATACACTAAATTTTTTATTTTCCCCTCTTTTGCTTACTACCCTCTTTTAAACCAAGTGCTTTTGTCAATGATTGAATTTAGATATGCAGCGACTGGTTATTCAGTTCGGTTTACTAACGAAATTGTCTAAGCAAGTATTCGTATGCATCGCACTTCATTCTTGCCTGAATTTTTATATCTAAGTTTGGAATAACAGAGAAGATTTGTAACTCAGTTGGATGATTTTGATTTGTCTGTGTTCTCTGAACTGGTTGATTTAATTATAAAGCTTACATTCTCTTTTTAGAGAACATCTTCAGAGCAAGCTTAGACTTTTTTGAATTCTCCATGAATGACAATGAAAGCTTAGCAATTTAAATCAACCAGCTCATGGAACACAACCAAATCAAATAGATATCTGAGTTTATTATAGCCAATGTGACACAGTTGAAGTATTGCCGAGATATCTTCATTAATTTCGACAATTGAACTTCTAAGATTTTCATTTCCAGTATCGAATTATTTAACACTTAACTTACACCAAACTGCACACCTGGTCCACAGATTTCAGCTAACGTATTAACGAAGTTCTTTTGGTTGGACACTAGTTAGTAACCAGTGTAATGTGTCTAGTCCTTTGTTAGGTGCAGACTAAATTCTGTCGTCAGTCAAGTTTGCAACGTGGTCACCATTCTAGGTGGCTCGCCATCACGGTGCACTTTGAATTGTTGATATTAGATGGTTAGAGGCAATCGGTAGGGAGCCTTGTTTGACCTAGGTTTCATGCTTGTTAGCAGTCATCAGTCAGCAAGGTGTATTAGCAACCCAAGAGGTGACATGAGTTGCAGATAGGCCAAGGTACAAGGCTTCCTGCCGATTACCTCCAACCATCAAATAACAATAAGTAAATAGCTACATTGTTTATTATTATTATTAAGTGATACGCATAATAAAACACTAAATAAAGGACTCCCTTACAAATAATTGCATAGGATGTTTAGGGAAGGCAATAAGCTTATGAATAGCGAAAAATATCAATTGAGGACCAATTTTAAGATGATTTCATGCCATTTAAGTTGTTCAAAGTTTTCTTAGACTACAGACATTTATTTGGCATATTGTTCAAACAATTTTTGATACCTGACAAAATTTGAGGAACTCCAGTGACAGAAAACTACTTAAATTGGATTATATAACATAGTTTATACATGTAAATTCTTGACAATCTGAGAAGTCTGTTTTCGGCCGAGACATAATTATTTGTCAATAATAAAATAAGTAAAGCTACTTTAGAGAATCACCATCGTCACCCTATCATCAATGTTTCATAATTAGTCACATCAGTGAGTCTTACTCTTTACTTTATTATATCTCATGGAAAAAATACGCTTTAAACTCTGTCTAAGCATATTTCTGTGCATCAGAAAGACGACGGTTGCAGATAAGAAGAAAATTTTCTTTTCGATAAAGTCATCAACTAAACGACTGTACATTCATGTATTTATAGTAAAACGGATGGGAACGTTCCAGAACTGTTTCCAGTCAAGAGTCAAATCAATAAAGTTGCAAACAGAGATTAAAATGTAATGATAGATAAGATCGAACTAAAACATAGTAGGATTATAATTACTTTGAAAATTCATCTTTTATGCAGTTGGGGATTTAAAATGTTCAAGAGTTAATTTGTAGCAATTTGATTTGTTTCATATTTGACCACGGATTGATATCATTTAGAGAACCACTGAAGACTACCAAGTAGTATTGGACAGCTGTTTTGTCAGCCTAGTTTGGCATTTATCATCATTACGCACCCACTAAGGACGAAGTTGCCTGGAGTTAAAGTGAAAAGTTGAAAGTGATCAGTCTGGAGTGAGGACAAATACTCACTGATCACATTTGGCTGGTTCCAGTGGCGCTAAAATCGCAAATTCATAGACCAGCCATTGAGTTGGGTCCCAGTGTCTGACTGGTCTACGAGCTTAACTTGTTACCAGAATGTTCTGATTTTGAACCCCAGCGAATGCGTACTTCCGATTAGTCCCGAACTAGACTGACGAAACAGTTGTCCAGTACTCCATGTTTGTTTTCAGTGGTCCTCTAACGGATTAAAAATGTAGAAATATCAAAATGGACAGGAAGTTCGGATAAAAAAAGTAGTAGTGCACACAGGAATTTAAAAGACCTGTAAATAACAGAAGTAAATCAATAAAAGCTTTATTTCGAACAAAATCTTTACGCTGTGTACACAATCCTCACAGTAATTTACTGCATAACATATATTCTCGTCATCTAGGATCTTCAAGTAAAATAGCGGTCTTCACTACATCATGTGACACAATGCTGTTAGATCTGAAGCATGAACTAATCCTTGATGATATCTTTCCTTCATCTCTGAAAAATGCGCACGGGTAATAGAATAATCACTACCGGGTGAAATGACTTTTTATGATGGCTATCCATTTTGTAATTACTATATTTTCAATCCATAACTGCCCAAAACAGTCAATTTTCTCAGTTATTATGATCCTAAAATGTTTTTCATCGATCTTCCTATTTATTATTAAATTTTAATCCCTCCGGTTGACCGGAAGCAGTTCTGAAAGTTTCTCACCCACTTCACTATAACAACATCAATTTACAGCCGGCTAGTTGATGACTTCATCGAGAAGAAAATTTTCTTCTTCTTCACTGCAAGCGTCTTTTTAATATTTCCTGATGGCCAAATGTGTATATTGCATGATTTCTATTTTATAAAAAACAAAATAATCGGGCAAAGAATATCCTTTTCGATAATTTCCTCTTCTGGCTCTACAATTATATATATATATATATAATATTCTAGAATATTGGTCACTAACAGTATCAGTGTTTTTTAAATAATATCGATTTGTAAAGTAAGATCAGTGGAATTACAGTTTATTAAAGATGCTTGAATAATAATAATATAATAGCAAATAGAATATCAACTAAAACTAAGGAAATTTCTACAAAAAATTGAGGATCATTCGAACCTAGATGGGCAAGGTAAGGACAATGTCTGAACTAGCTTCTTTTGGACACATAAATTAGGCTTCTCAGCGTGGATCTCAACGGCTTCAGCAACATTTAATAAATGAACTCTTGAAGCGAAGTTAAGATTTGTTGGTATGAGGTAAATGACTTTGAAAGCCTCGTTCACATCAATCTTGCGGTTAAGTAAAGGACAAACAAAATCTGTTCGTAGGGCTATTCTACCTCATCTTGTGGATAAAGAACACAAGATTGATGTTAACCAGGCTTTCGGAATCATTTACTGCAAAGCAAAAAATTTCAATTTCGCCTGAAGAGTTCGATTACTAAATATTGCTGAGGCCGTTGGGACCCACATTAAGAAGCCTATATTTGTGCGTCCAAAAGAAGCTAGTTCAGACATTGTCCTTACCTTGCCCATCTAGGTTCGAATGATCCTCAATATTTTGTAGAAATTTCCTTAGTTTTAGTTGATATTCTATTTGCTATTTTATTTTTATTATTATTATTATTATTTATGCATCTTTAACGAACTGTAATTCCATTGTGATCTTACTTTACAAATCGAAATTTTTAAAAACACTAATATTGTTATTGACTACCAATCTAGAATATTCTACGTATATAAACAAATATGCATATAATTGTAGCGTCAGAAGAGGAATTTATCGAAAAGGATATTCTTTGCTCAATTATTTTGTTGTTTTTTTATAGATGTCTGAATGAATATTTTCGCTATATTTCTGTTTTTAGTTGAATATTATGCAATCGGAAGACAAAGGCACTTCATCAATAAGTAATTTGAACAGCAATTTTTCAGAAACACCTATTTACATTTCATTACATGGAAATCAAAATTCTTCTCTTCTTAGTTCATTAGTCAATTTGAATAGAGTGAACTCATTGGAAATAAAGCAACAACAGCAACAGCAACGGCAACATCAACAACAACAACAACAACAACCATATGATCATAATGAAATTCAGAATAACAATAATAATAACAATCAAATGAGTCACTATCATTCGCTTAAATGGGAAAGTATAAACTATTCATCAAATAACTTAAAAGAATCCTACAGATTAAATAACTTAGTCGGCAATTTCGCTACTTTATCATTCCCTGCGACACCTATTACTACTAATAATGATAATAGTAGTAGTAGTAGTACTGGCAATGCTCTGATAAGTGATCATTCCTTAAGCAACTTAAATAATCGATTGAGTGTAACACAAACAACAAATATTTGGTCTTCAAATAATGAAGCCGATTTAAAGCTGTTAAATTATGGAATAAACAAGTCATGACATAATCTATAAAGCAATTTTAAAAAAAATATGTAAATTTACAATTTATTTATTGGTTTCCATTTCGAATCAAAGGCGTTGATTGATTTACCTTTATTCGTTGACAGAATTAACTTTTGTCATTAATATAGTTCGTGTTATAATTTCTGATTGATTTCGATTGTTGTTGTTTTTTTCAATAATGATCTAATTGCAAATGTGATTACTTTGTTTCAGTAACAGGGATCTTAAAACAGAGGTGATTATTCAATTATACAATCTGTGCTATGAAATGTCAGTAGCAATTTGATTGATTTCTCGGTGTAGAGTCGCTAGCTTTCTATGCTTGAGACCACTGGGTTGTAAACCACATTAAGTTAGACTGACTGAATGGTTTCAGCGTAGAACCCTGCATCGATGTACAGCAATTCGAGTCGCCACACTCCGTGTAGCACACAAAGCAAGGGAAAAAAGTAAAAGGAAACGCAAAATAGAGACAGTAAACAGAGATATGAGGCAAAAAGAATAATAATATCCAAGAACAATATATTTTTATTAGGTATTATAAATCACAAGGAGTGGATGCATCTGCGCCAGCCAATGAGAGCAATTTTGAGCCATATCACCGATTCTCTCCAGCCATTGGTATTTACCGTCCCGAGGACCCTAACCAGGAAGTCTACACATCCCTACGTGGCTTAAATTAATTGTTGTGGAGTTCATTGACTGATGAAGCCATGTTCTGGTTTGACCACCACTGGCTCTTTTCCAACCTGATCCTATGTCAGCTAGCTTTGCCCGTCGAGAAAGGCGAGCGATAGCTAGGAATGCTTAACATATCTCAATCGATGTAACTTCACAACGTTATCGATTGATTTCCCCTTCTTACCTAGCACTCGACGCCTAACCTCAATATTTCTCACCCGATTATACCATTTAACACGGGAGATAGAACGCAGGCGCCTATGATCAAAGACAGCTGGCCTTTTCATGTCTTCCATTCTCAATGGCCAGGTTTCACAGCCATAAAGGAGGACGGAGCAAAGTACAGATCAGTATAAACGTCCTTTGGTCGACATCCAGCCGGATATCACGTCTCGGCTGGAGACGGCGTAAACTGGCACATGCAAAATGAGCCCTCTGTATCCGTGCTGAAATTTCGTCAGTGATCAACCCGTTGGCGACGGCTAATGCAACTTCCTAAATAAGCGAAGTGATCAACACGCTCTACCACTTCACTCCATATTTCTAAGCTAGGAGTGAGTCAATGTAGCCCAGTCCTGTAGCATCATCTTACATTTGACAGTAAGAGCGAATCGCATGCCAAACACTCGTAGATTACAGCTCAAGATGTTCAAAACACTGCATTTTGTCAGCGTCTTCACCTAGGAGGGAAGACTATATCATCTGCATATTCTAAGTCAACGAGATTATTCATACCCCAGTAACAAACCGATCCCTGAGTCTCTGAAGTGAGTTAGGGTTAAGTCCATTAGTACATCTATGATGAAATTGAATAGAAAGGGGGATAGTGGGCATCCCTGACGGATACCACTAGTTGTCACCACTTCAGATGACAACTCTCCGTAGGCCCTCACCTGGCTGACTGCATGAGTCCGAGCAGAGTGCCTTGACCAGTGCAATGTATTTTCTCGGCATTCCATTCACAGCCAAACATCACCAGAGTAACTCCCGGTCGACAGAATCGAATATCGCCTTTAGTTCAAGAAATATAACGATTGTTGGACGCCGGTAAGTATGCCTAAGTTCCGTCCCAGAATCTGTCGAAGGGTGAAGATGTGATCAATACACCCTGTTCCTGGTTTAAAGCCTGTCTGATTCTCTCGTTTTGGACCAACAAAAAGACTCCAGAACATCTGAACTTCGAGAATAACTTACGTTTAGTGCTACACAGACTCGAAGATCCACAGGCAAAAACCAACAAGCTAACAATAGATGTAGTAGAAATAGTACTTCAAGTGACGCAGAGAAGAGAAAGTTGATGAAGATACCTACCCAACAAAAATAACATACACTAACTACTATCAACGGGAAAAGATCTACTGTACTCAAGATAAGGAACAAAATTTCAATTCTTAACAACAATGTCAAGACAGTGTTTGTATATGGTTCAGAAACTTGATTCACATGTCACCGAAAACATTTATAACAGACTGTTGCAGACTTTCATCAACAGTACCTGTCTTCGGTGTCTCAATCCTGAAGAACAGATGACTGGCTAGAATGAATAAAGAACAAGGAACTCTGGTAAGCAGGCAACGAACCAGACAAGAACTGATCGCACAACAAATATGCAGAAGGAAATCGAGATGGATTGGACACACGCAGAAGTGACTTTCAAATGATATAACACATCAGGTTGCTGAGTAGGATCCAAACAGGAAACGACGAGCTAGGCGTGGGTTTGACGATGATAAGGAGCAGATCGTGTGAGGATGAAAGGAAAGCTTATAAGCGATCATGAAGTCAGCTAAAGAGGACTGTAGAGAATGGAGTAAGATGGAGATGTGCTGCTAAAGCCTGATTGGTATTCCATTCAGATACCAAGGGAGTAATAGTAACAGCAGTGGCGAAATTCTAACATAATTCATAAAAAAATTAGTTGATAATCGACTCTATGTAGTGGACATTAAATTTGTAGAAAACAATGAGCTGAAATACGCCATAGATGTTTGAAAGAAACTAGAGGGTGACTACAGATTTTCTCTGTTATGACCAGAACTACGACCTAGTAAACTATCAGCGAATAGTAACTATAAGGCACTGGCTAATCTATCCTAATTGCACGTCAACAACAACAATAACACCGCCCACACACAAAGACAGAGGACAGGACTGGGCGTTGGTAAGAACAACTCAGAACAACTGTCCGAAAAGGTTGACAGAGCTTGCGTATATATACGTTTGAAATGACCATGAGAAGCACTAATATCATTGATAAATTAAAAGTGAACAAACAGACATGTAGGAAATTAGGTCTGTATATAACACTGTCGCAGCCTAAAAGCAACATTTTCAAAGAAAATGAACACCTTCCCACTGTCGGTCGGTCGGTTTTCGACATAGAACTTTGCACATATGTGCGGCAGTTCAAGTCGCCACACTCCCTCCTGGTAGCACACAAAGCAAGAGAAGAAAGCAGGAGAAATGCGTAATATAGACAGTAAACAGATGTGTGAGACAAAAGAATAGTAATAACGAAGAACAAAACAGTTTCATTGGAAATCACAAGGAGTGGATGCATCTGCGCCCGCCATTGAGAACGATTTTGAGCCATGTCACCAATTGTTTCCAACCATTGGTTTTTACCGTCCCGAGGTCCCCAACCAGGAAGCCAGTCTACACCTTCCTACGTAGCTTAGACTAACTGTTGTGGATTTCATTGACTGGTGCCATGTTTTCGTTTGACCGCCGCTAGCTCTTTTCCAGCCTGACCCATCCTATTTCAGCTAACATTGCCCATCGAGGAAGGCGATGACTAGGCATACGTAACACATGTCCTAACCATCTCAGTCGGTGTAATTTCACAGTCTCGTCGACTGATTTCCCCACCTTACCTAGCACTCGACCGATGCCTAACCTCAATATTGCTCACCTTATTATACCACTTCACACGGAAGATAGAAAGCAGACATTTATGATCAAAGACAGCTAATCTTTTCATGTCTTCTGCTCTCAATGGCCAGGTCTCACAGTCATAAAGAAAGACGGAGCGGACTGTTGAGCAGTACACACGCCCTTCGGTCGATAGTTGGATATCACGTCTACGCCAGAGACGGCGTAAACTGGCATATGCGAAACTAGCCCTCTGTATTCGTGCTGATATTTCGTCTGAGATCAGCCCGTTGGGGCTGATGGTACTTCCCAAGTAAGTGAAGCGGTCAACGTGCTCTACCACTTCACTTCCTATTTCTAATCTAGGAGTCGGTGTATTCCAATCCTGCAGCATCATCTTACATTTTACAGGGGCGAATCGCATGTCAAACATACGAAGATTTTTGCTCAAGGTGTTCAGTAGACTCTGCATTTTGTCAGCGTCCTCGCCTAGAAGGACTACATCGTCCGCATATTCTGAGTCGACGAGATTATTCCCTGGTAGCAAGTCAATCCCTGCCCGCTGTAACTTGTACTAATTAATTATTCTTCATTCGAAAACCACAGTAATTACATTTTTTATTTGAATAATCTTAATACACAAATCTAATAATATTTGGTTATCAAATTAACTTCTTAGATTCCACTTATATCTTGCCCAACTCATCCTAAACTTGATCTAGCTCTAGTAACCATAGTACATCAGGATTAAAGTCGCTTGATTTAACACATGATAGCGTTGATGTACATGTACTGCGCATTAGTTTGCAGCCTCGCTTATGTATCTGAGAATGGAGATAGTAATGAATTTATCCTCCAAGTACAAGACGACTATTGGAATTATTTATGCTGTGTTTAAAAGATGCCTGTGATTGAAAAACAATGATACTCCATCTTCACCAAATACAATCGTCTCCTGAAGACTAGTATTCGGGCACCGTGGCAGAGTATAATTCCGTAATAAGTTTATTTAGTATGACACTCTGTGAGTGATACAGTATTAATAACTAAGTGACATCTCGAACATAACTTATTGCTCATAATCATATCAATATATTCACACGATGTTTAAATTTCCTTTAATATATGTATTTGTCTCTCTCCCCACAGTTGTCTATTCCACTTTTCCACATATCTCTTAAAGGTGTTGCGTTATTTCGATTTCAGGTGTTTAGCGTTCATTCGATGAGCTGACGTGAACTAACGGACCAACCCTAATATCGCCCTCATAAGATTAACTTAACCCTAACTTCATCATTCCCAAACCTAACTTGAAACTTGCCAGATATCCCATTTTTCATAATATAACACTTCATAAGGTATAATTTATTCATGATTACGATATTATTTGCTTTTCACTAGCTTGCTTACTGAGTGTTTCAAGGTCATTAGTGCAGTCGCAATCCATCGGTACTTACTGGTGCCTAAAGCTTAACTTGGCCAAATTATGAGCAATAAGTTGTGCTCGGAACGTCGTCATCAAGTTATTAATACTGTACCACTCACTCACTGTGGTATATCAAGTAAACGTATCTAATCTAAAATGGTCTGATGTGCAATTAATAATGTTCTCTGAGCTGGTTGGTTTAGTTGCGGAGCTTTCGTCGTCTTTCTGGACAACATCTTCAGCGCAGTATTTAGCAAAAAGTGGAATGATTTAAATTTTTCATGAGTGATATAATTGCATTGATCATTTTCTATCCACTTGGTCACCTGACTTACTTTTTATTAGTTGGTATATTTCATCTATATGTTAACGTGTTTGTTAATTGCCTATTCGTTTGAGTACCAGGCTTCTAGGAATTCCCTGACTGCACCTTTGGTGTTTCCTCTGTCTAAGATCTCGACATTATCCCAATCAAACTGATGTCCATAATTGTCTGTATGCATTGATACTAAAGAATACATATCGTGTCTTTTCACGGCTGATTTGTGTTCTTGGATTCTGATTTGAAGGGGACGCCCACTTTGGCCGATGTAATGCTTACTACAATTCATACCATTTATTTTGTAAATGGTATTAATCTTATATCCTTTTTTCTGTTGGATCTTTCGGTTTGCATAATAATATCGAATTAAGCGACTTGACTGGCTTGTGCGCTATATCTATCTGTATTATTTCAATGGTCTGATGTATAGTACATCATAAGAATATTTATTATTTAAAGTTACAGACACTTAAAACACCATATCCAATGGTAATAATCATGCATTTCACCTACTCCCAAATAACTTATTTTTATGATGGAAAAATTAAACGTTCTCCATTCTAAGCAATCCATACAACTTTTGAACAAAAAGAACTCCCCGCCCCCTAGCCCAAATATCATGCACACAGAGGTAACAAGAGAATATCCCTATTTTATTATTTATTTATTAGTTGCAAATATAAAATACAAAACAAAATGACACTTTATACATATATAGGTGAATAACTGTACAAATATGGTAACTTGAAGTTAGTTATATGCGGCAAGCAGTTCAGTCACTTTCCTCCTCATCACTGATTCTAGCTCGAACCTTTTTACGCTGACGAGGTTCTGATATCTAACCAAATGGAAAGAAAACGAGATATTAGTTAATCTGCAGGTTTCTAAAAACATATATATATATATATAAATATTTATAATTGATTTACTATTTCATGATCAGAGAGCATAACAGGCATCGTAGTTATTCACAGAAATGATCGTATGTGTACATTCTGCACCTGAAGGCCATCCACATTTTTATTATTTGTTGTGAAATTGTGTACAGAAATAATCCTCAGCTATTGTTTACTGACTCATGTCTATGTGCATTACATCAGGGCTATAATAGATAGGGAGAACTGTGTGAAGTATATATCCACTTCCCCGTTGTCAACACAGTGGACGTTAATGTCATGTTGTGCTTGAAGACCGACTAGTTTGGTGTGACAACACATAGCTCAACAAACGTCTCTCTCGATTCGTCCGTGTCCAACTTAGGGTATTACGACTTTCGTAGGTTCCCAACATAAGAATAACCTTACTCGCCGGTACAGACCGAACTAAGCTTAGTACACAATTTTTCAGGTGGAGTTAACATGATGAATATTCATCAATCTGAAGCCAGTGTAGAAGTCTACACCACTCAGCACAAAGAAGACGACCCGACTTTTTGACACCAATGTCGATATGCTTCGGAGAATTGACCCACGTGTCATGAAAAGCACTTCCAACAGACCTTTATCAACACGTTCTTTATCTGTTCCTTCACCGAAGATCAGATAACTGACCAAAAACGATGAGCAACAAAGAAAACTAGCAGCCAGCCGACTCATAACCTACGACTGACCCGACATATATAGAAGAGGAAATGGGGATGGACTGAACATATGGACCTTCAAGTGACACTATACGTCAGTCATACCCGAACGGGAGGACACAGACTGGTCGTCCCACTGTGAAATGGAGGAGATCTTCTGATGAAGAAATGGAAGTACTTGGACAGTCCTGAATACAGTTGCGAGTAACTGCAGAGAACAGTGTCGCTGACGCCTCTCCGGATGCAAAGAAACAATAATAATTTTTGTACCTCAAGGAGGAAGTTTTTAATATTTCTTTCTAAGACCCCACCCTCTGACTCCTCCACTTAGTCAATAACCTTTATCCTCAACACTATTAAACCTTTCTAAAATAGTGGGCCCTCTCGAAGTTGTCTCAGTTAATAAAGCTTGTCGATCCATTGAAATATGTGCATTTGAACATATGGAAAAAACAAGTAAGATATACATTTATTTTCCACTAGATATTAGATGATTGCACCCATTTATGTGATAACTAACTCCCACATTAAGCGTCATAAACATAAACAGATATTTTAAAAAATAAGCCAAAGAAATCTGCAAACACGATATTTCATGGAATGAAATAAGCATCTTTTGAGAAATCAAAAAAGTTTCAGACATTTTATTAAGACTAATTTATAGTGTTTTGCATTCACTGAACTGGTTTTCACTGTTAGTTTAGATTTGAGGTTAGGCATCGAGTGTGCTAGGTAAGGAGGGGAAATCAATCGATTAGGTTGTGAAGTTACATCGATTGAGATGGTTAGGACATGTGTTACGCATGCATCCCTAGCCATCGCCTTCCTCAATGGCCAATCTTAGCTAACATAAGGTCAGTTTGGAAAAGAGCTAGTGGTGGTCAAACCAAAACATGGAAACAGTCAATGAAATCCATCACAGTTTAAGTCAGTCACGTAGGGAGGTAGACAAGCTGACTGTTTGGAGTTCTCGGGATGGTAAACACCAGTGGCCCGAGACAATCGGTGATATGGCTACTATTGTTCTTCCATATTACTATTCTTTTTGCCTCACACTTCTATTTAATATTTCTCTCTTTTGAATCTCTCTTCACTCCCTTCTCTTGCTTCGTGTACTACACGAAAGGAGAGTGGCAACTCGAACTGATGCACATCTGTGCAAAGTTCTACGTTGAAACCAGTCAGTCAGTAGTTTAGATGAAATCTTGTTATCAACTGTGCAAGTCAGTGAGAATGAAAACCACATAGTTAAAGCCTCTACCTCAAAACAACGCAACACCTTAAGAACCTTCTTTCTCTTTTGCGCATATTTTCCATCACCTCAGGTTCAGTGAGAAGTCGTGACCTATTAGGTCAGGACAAATACTCGCCGATCACATTGACTGGTGATATGTAGCGCTAAAATCACGAGTAGGTAGAAGTTAGAATTCATAGACTGACCATTGGATTGGGTCCCAGTGGCTGAATGCTCTATGAGTTTGCATTGTAACCGGAATGTTCTAGGTTCGAAGCCTGGTGTGTGCGTTGTGCCGGAGAGTTCGAAACTAGGACTAGACAGCTGTACAATACTCCCTGGTGATTTTCAATGGTTCCCTAACTGATACCAATTCGTGATCAAACTCGACACTATATATATATATGCTTTGTGTATTTCGAACGGCTATAGTGAAAGTTAACTATCATAACCACGTTTACACTGGTACATTTTCCTCAAACAGCTTATTTAAGAGTAAAACCACACACACACACCCGTTTTACTTACATCACTTAGAGATTCCGAATCAGTTGAATACATTGCAGAAACGTCTAAAATAAAGAGAATTGAAAGAAAAGAAATTAAAGAATGAATACATACATTCATGAAGTATTAACTTTTATAATAATGACAATAACCAAAACATTAATTCAAAAACTTATTTTCAGTAAACTATCCACCACAACAGATGCTAATAGTATAAAAACCGTGGAGTATCTTTCCGTGTATTTGTGAAGTCATCATTCATTATTCTCTATATATTTCGAAAAAGAGGACATTACAGAAGAAATTATGAGAGTAAATGACTTTTCTAGCGAGGAAATGAACTTTGTCTTTAACAGATAGTATTTACTTCTACTGACAGATAGGTGACTGTGAAAAGTTTTTCCCCATACCCGATATAAAAGAAAAAAAACGATCACAGAAGTGAACAACACAAGATAAGTTTCTGAGGACTTCGGCACATAAACCGAGTGAAAATATCTAACGGATATGGTTATTTCACCAAATTACATTAGCTTTCTTCTGAAAAGAAGCCAGTGAAATCATATTTCCACTTTGTTCTGTTTTCTGCCGTTCTCTTTAGCTGCGTTCACGGCTGACCAAACTGTCTCATCTCTTCCTCACACGATCTCCTCCATGTCACCCTAGGATGACCCACACGTCGCTTCCCAGCGAAATTCCACTCGAGGGCCTGGAGTGCGATATCATTCGGCGGCCTCTTCAATGTATGCCCGATCCATCTCTACTTTCTCCTTCATATTTGTTGAGCAATCGCCTCGTGGTTGGTTTGTTGTCAGCCAGAGTTTCTTGTTACTAATTCTTTCTGACTAGCCATTTGATCTTCAGTATGGAGCCAGAGAAGGCAGCTGTCGATGAAAGTCTGCGAACTGTTGGAAATCCTTTTCGTGACACACCAAGTTTCTCGCGACTTTGACATTGGTGTTGAAAATGCGAATCTTGTTCTTTCTGCTGAGTGTAGAATATTTCCAAGTTCGTTTCATTTCGATGAAGGCGTATCCTGCCTTTCCGATTGTGACTGGTTTTGACATCTTCATCCGTGTTGTTGCCTGTAGTTGAAACGATGCTTTCTGGGTAAGTGAAGGAAGTAACCTCTGTTAAATCTTTCCCGTTGATGATGTCTAGTGCTGGTTGTTGTTGCTTTTGGTTGGTTATCTTTATCATCTCCGTCTTCTCTATGTCCACCCAAAGTCCTGTCTTCGGTGCCTGTCTCTTCAACAGGTTTGTTGGTTTTAGCCTGCAAGTCTTCGAGTTTGTGTGACATTAGACATATAACATCTGCGAAATCCAGATCTTCCAGAGTCTTCTCATCAGTCATCCAGCGTATTCCTGACTCCTTGCCGCCCCCCCAATGGACAGTCTGACGCATAATCCAGTCCACCACAATTAAGAATATCATCGGTGATAATAGTCGGTCAGATTTGTCTTACTCCTGTATGCACTTCAAACGCCTCGCTGAGTTTTCCGTTGTGGATCACCTGACACGTAGCATAGTCATATATCCAGCTGTTGACTTGAAATACGCCATAGTGTTGAAGTGGTTTCCAAATTACTTCTCGGTCAACGCTGTCTTTCGAAGGCCCTTTCGAAGTCGATGAAGTTGAGGTTTGACTGGTATTCTATGCTTCGTTCGATGATGATGCGTAGGGTTGTAATTTGATCAGCACATGATTTAACTTTCCTGAATTTAGCTTGTTCTGGTCGGTTGGGCGGAGTTCTGTATCCAGTGCATCATTTACTTGGCGTGGACAACAGCTAGCAAATAGATCCTGTAGTTTGCTCAAACTTGGCATAGAGCTAAGCAATTATACGTCAGTGGTCATTCAATGCATGAGAAAGTTTTTCCTAACTAATTTAACATATATAAACGCAAACATCCTAGAAAGCACAGCAAGGTACAAAAAAGGATGGCATTTAATCATTTTCAAAAGATATAGTTTACCTAAATGAGGACTCTATTATCTAACAAGAGAACAGAATAGGAAATAACCATACATATTAAAAAGAGGGGTGGTGTTCCAGTTAGCGATCAACCGATAAGGTGGCTAGGATACATGTTACGTGTGCTAAATCACTGTATCGTGGATGAGGATAGTTAAATGAAATAGGATAAGGTTGGGAAAAAAAGGTACAAGCGATTAAGCCATAACTGTCGACACAATCTCCATTCTCAACTCTCCCCGGCTTGAACCTCATCAGGCAGGACTGTAAGTCATTCATTATAAAAGATTATATGCTCACTCGCACAATTAAGTTCAAAAACTCAACGACACCACATTCAGCCTGCATTCTATGCGACAGAAAAAGTGTTAAGCGTGAAACCTACAATTTACTATAATCAGCGAAATAATTGGCTCTTTTTTCCTCTCTTCTTCGCAATTTATAGAAACACTATTTTAATTAACTCATAATTCTAGCTATTAAAATTATTTTCGTCATTATTTTACACTTTTTGTACATTTTTGACGTTATTGTCACTGTGAATACCAAAAACCAGCTATTATCAGTTCTGGTTACGTATTATTATTGTTATTATTATTATTGTTCCCTTGGGTTCCTAGTGGAACATAGGGCTTCAACTACACGTCTCCACTTGCTTCTGTCTTCTGCTGTACTTTTCATCTGCATCCATGTTAGTCCATACTGTTTCAACTCTTCTTCACACGATCTCCTCCATGTCACCCCTGGACGTCCTACTCGCCGCTTCCCTTTCGGGTTCCACTCGAGCAATGGCCTGATGCGCGATCTCACCCAACGGCCTCCTCAGCGAGTGTCCAATCCATCTCCACTTTCTCCTGCATATTTGTTGAGCGATTGGTTCTTGTTTTGTTTGTTCCCATAGTTTCTTGTTGGTGATTCTTTCCGGCCATCTGATCTTCAGTACAGAGGCAAGACAGTTACTGATAAAGGTCTGCAACCTGTTGGAAATAAATATTCTTCTGACCCGCCAAGTTTCTGATCCGTATAGAAAAACAGACTTGACGTATACACTACAATATTATTTTTTTGTTTACTTTTTGCTGTTGTCGAGTAAATTAGATGTAGTACTGTACCTAATTCTGGGAATTCCAACCACACTGTATCATAAGAACTGTTTTGGAATAAAGTAAATCATTATTTTGTTTTAATTATAACCATCTAGTTAGTGGCCATCTTCAAAAGCTTATGAGGAAGCTCCTTAAATTCCCATACATACTTTCAATTGGAAAAACAAAACAAAACCATCTTAAAATGCCACTTACCACCTTTACGACCAGATAATAAGTTACTCTTTGCATTACGTTTCAATGCATTCAGGGATGTTGTATTGCCATCGTCATCATCATCATCTTCGCCGTAACTGCGTCTACGATCACTTCCAAAACTACCCCTTGACATGGCTTGTTTTTCACGCATACGCCGTAATTGACTTTCACGTCTTAGCGTAGCACGTAATTTCTCCTCTTCTTTTTTCACAAGTGCATGACGATTTGACTCTGGATCTGCACCGGTAATCGGTAGAATTTTAACCTAAAAGAGAACAAGAAATATTTAGTCTAGTAGATTAGAATTAAAAAAAGTATGAGGTTTGGATTATGTTCAACTTTTCTATAAAACCTCAACATACATTTACTGATGACAGGTAGACACATCTACTTGTGAATGTGGTGCTTACAACATAAATGTTGCCGAGAAAAAGAAATCAAGTTCAAAACAAAGTTTATATTGGCAACGGTGGTTCAGTGGTAGAACGGTTGCCAACCGTCCACATGGTCCGGGATTCGATCCCCCATCAACGCACTCCTCCTTTACCTCGCTAAACTAAGTCAGTAAAGACGGAAGGTTGGGATTCAGGTTAGAAACCCCACTCCAATGCAACCGAAACTTCGACGATTTAGCTTGAAGCCCCTATGTTCCCCTCGGAAAGTAAAGGTGTAAACTAATTAAAAATAATAAACGCATTTCATACATTTTCCGGCATTGGAGGAGTCATAAGAAGACTCTAGAAAGCAAAATCTGCTGGTAGTTAGCTTAATCAGCAGCAACTTTCCGAAGGCTGATCTAGTAGGATATCGACTTTCCAAACAAGCACACGCATGAAAGCTGGTACACATGAATAAAACAAAGAAGTATACTGCAAGCATGCTAAGTGCTCTACTTAAATCTGTTAAGGAGTATCGACGATAGATAAGATTTTATTTTGATAAATCACACAATGTTATACAGTAATATTAACTGATGACGTTTAGAGCACAAATTATTGCCACTCATAATCATATCAAGACATTACTCACACAAATTTTTTGTTTCATTTATATACATGTGTGGAATCGATTAGATATTGGAATAAAAATCAATATGAGATAATGTACATTCAGAAATAATAATACGACTGTTATTGATCAATTACAGTCAGATGGGAAATAAGACGAGTGTTTTTATATTCATAATAAGTAATCTGTAAGAATGTTGTGATGTGTTTGAATTGAAGTAGAATTTTAAGATTATTTATTATCCTCCTCTGATTTGACTGGTGGCAATAATATCTTCCATATTTCTGGTACTTACAGTGAGTCATTTCTGTTGCATAAGACTCAATGAACCAGGATTCAGTAATCAATCTTTCTCTCAACCTACCTATATTACTTCTTAGAATATTAATCCTCTCCCACCCTATTGTGTGGCTGTGTATTAATGCATGCAGTACAATTGCTGAGCTTTTTTCTAAATTACTTATCTTCGTCGGGTCAATCATTCTAACCGTAGCTGAAGTAATATAGGTAGGTGGAGAGAGAGATTGATTACTGAATCCTGTCTGGTTCATCGAGTCCACACCCAATGAATGCAACAGAAATGACTCACTGTAAGTACCAGAAATATGGAAGATATTATTGCCACCAGTCAAATCAGAGGAGGATAATAAATAATCTTAAAATTCTACTTCAATTCAAACACATCACAACATTCTTACAGATTACTTATTATGAATATAAAAACACTCGTCTTATTTCCCATCTGACTGTAATTGATCAATAACAGTCGTATTATTATTTCTGAATGTACATTATCTCATATTGATTTTTATTCCAATATCTAATCGATTCCACACATGTATATAAATGAAACAAAAAATTTGTGTGAGTAATGTCTTGATATGATTATGAGTGGCAATAATTTGTGCTCTAAACGTCATCAGTTAATATTACTGTATGACTTATCAAAATAAAATCTTATGCATAATGGAGTTATGCTCTACCACAGTGCTCAAGTTTTATACTTATATCAATATCGACAATTGCTTTTGTCAGTATTATATAAGGTCTCGTCAGGCATCTTTAACAAATCAACTATACGCAACTAGTAATAAGTTTAGAAATGCCCTGACTGCGTAGACTGGACAAGTTACACAACTATATTTGTTTGCTAAACCATTAATATATTTATTTACCGGTGACGATAATTTTGAAAGAGGGCGTTGAAGTTCAACAGTGGAATTAATAAATGTGATCTGAACAGCTCTTTTTAGCCTCAATTATTCGAAACACTTTGGTGATTGGTGATGAGGTGTGCGTACAGTGACTATCGAACTAATTAAGAAGTTACGTAAGCACTCTCTGCATATCTCAGAAATTGAAGTACTTCTAAAAGGTAATCACATATTACTTCACTCCAACTGATGTTCTGGCTCTATTCAGATTTGCGAAGAAAGTAACTAAAGAAGACTGATACAAATATATGCTCTTCTCAGGAGAAAATAAACTTTTTTTAATGCAGATGAAGATACTTACTTTTTGTGATTTATTTGTCTTGTCTGCCAATGACAGTGTGATTTTACGATGAGTGAATGAGTCCGTTGAATGTGGCCTATATAGAGAAAGAAATATAAATTGAGAAATACTAGAAATATGCGCAGAACTGGTATACAAAGAAGACTTTGAAAAGAGGAAAAATGTCACTTTACAATTCATATAATGAATCCTCTTTGTTAATTAATTATACTATCAAGTAAAATAAACAGTTAAACACTACGCATCGGGATCAGGTTTTGGTAGCCATAGTGAAGTGATCCCAACACTTCACGGTAGTTATGTTTCCTTGAGGTAAACTGTAGTCGATTTGTAATGCTTCCTATAATTCAATAATATATCTACTGAGGTCAACTGCCTTTTGCAATGAAATCCTGCTGCAACAACAGTGGATCCTTTCAGAACGACTGACAACCACTGATGTTCACTGTTACTGGGGAACTGCTTCAAAGGTATTGAAACAATAACTACTAATATTTTCATCATCCCACTGAAATAGCAATACATCAGCAAACAAAACCTTATCGGAGTGTTATCAGTTAGAGAACCACTGAAAACCATGCAGGACATACTGGACAGCTGCTTCGTCCTAGTGCTTAGGACTTCTCGGCAGTACCAACCCACGGGAGTTCGGACACAGGACCTTCCCGTTGCAAGGTAAGCTAGTAGACCATTCAGTCACTAGGACGGAATCCAATGGCCCATCAATTCTAACTTCTGTCAATCGAATGGTTCTCCGACTCGTATCAATCAGTGATCAAACTTGAAATAAATGAAATCCCTTTTAATTATCTCCACAAAAAAATTAGGCTAACATTAGCTAGTGACTGACTATAGGAAGAAGTTACCTGAAGTTCTAATGAGAAATCGTGACCAGCGGGATCAACCCGGTTGGGAGTGAGGACAAATACCCGCCGATCACTTTGGCTGGTGCTCTGTAGCGCTAAAATCACGAGTTGGTAGAAGTTAGAATTCATGTGGACTGGCCGCTGAGTCGGGTCGCAGTAGCAGGTCTACGAGCTTGATTTGTAACCGAAAGGTCTTGGGTTCTGGCTCCGGTGGGTGCGTACCGCCAAAGAGTTCCAAACTAGGACGAAACAGCCATTTAGTACCCCCCGGTTTTCAGTGGTTCTCTAATTGACATCAGTCCCTGGACAAAACTGAAACAAATCAAAACTCTACAACACACTAACTCTTGAAAAGTAGATCATTTGTCTTCATTTGAGGCCTAGTTCATTAGTTCCCTCAACATTATAAATGCACGTCTAATACCCATTTTGACGACATAGAAGCTTCGCTTTAGAAATGAATGCTTCAATGTACAAATTAATTTTCGTTAGAGTTTCTACAGTTGAATATAAAGTTATTAATCATGAAAGTATGAATCATCAGTTCAGATATAAGACTGTGAACTATCGAGTTATGATTTCCATATAGTTAAATGGAGAATACATTTATATTTCATTGACAAAAGAAAGCATCTAGCCTATCGTTGGCAATAAAGTTTTGTACGAACGATGTTCAACGCCATGTCCATATTAACATGAACTTTAAGGAGGGGCATATTCTACCCAAGTAACTTCTTATACTACGACTGAAATTTTAATTCTTAAGAAGCGAGGATTTTAATAGATAACTCGTAAATTCAACATAAGTGGTACGTTTCACTAAGAGATATACGTCTCACAATAACTCACCAACGAATAGATAACTATAAATGCGCATGTATGATACAACATGAATTAATAATGATTGTATTCCATCCCTCTTTCCTTCTCATGTTGCTTTGAAGTATGGAAAACTGAACCGATAGACTGATGCAAAAGGCTCTATTCATTTCTCTCATTAGCCCCCACCTTCCCTTCCATAAGTGAAAAGTTCATGTTTCTTGGATAGGCAGACTTTAATGTTATCAGCATACTGGATTGCGAACGGAACACAGGGCTCCTGCAGCACATCTTCATTTTACTCTGTCCTTTGCAGTCCCCTTTAGCTGGCTCCGCAATTGCCCATAAGCTTTCATTTATTTCCTTACAAGACCTCTAACCATGTAACCTTTAGACGCTCACTTAGTCGTTTCTCATTCAGGTCTGTTGCTAAAGTTTCTAGGTGCTTAACGATTCTGGCCATCGGATCTTCATCACTGAGCGAAAGCAGCTATTGTTGAAAGCCTGCAATATGTTGAAAATGCTTTTCGTGTCGTATGTACCAAGTCTTTGAACCATACGGAAGCACAGACTTATTTAGCATTAGTGTTGAAAATTCCGATCTTGTTCCCTATGCTAATTGCAGTAGATTGCCGCACGGATTTCAAAGGACTGACATACCATATTACATTACATTACATTACAAGAACAAGAGCTACCTAATACAGAGAAACCACAAAAGATACTTCAACCAGTATAGGCACAACAGAAAAAACAATTACTGAGTAACTCTATCACATTTCTACAGCAAGTGGAACATAACCGTGTATAAGAAGGAGGTGGAGAATAGCTCACTGATCGCTTAACTACCAGCACAATATTGAAAACAAGTCATTTTTGTGAGTACCACAAAATGTGGTACAAGACAATACAATAAAATAACACGTGAAAATTTTTCTTTTTTTATCAACAAACCTGAAGGTCAGCTTAGTTTTCAAACTTGTTTGACCTTGTAGACCACTACCCTCTCGTATGAATAAGTAATTATAGTCTGATTGAATATCTACTTTGTGTATATCGAAAATTTCATCGCCCAAATGCAATGACAGGGAACCATCAGACCAACGAACAATACGAGCATTCGATTCATGTACCATTTCACCGTCAGGTGTTTTACCGATTCTCCAACGTATGGTATTTTCTACCTACACAAATATAATAATAATAATAAAATATCCTTAAACAGATGCAGTGTAAAAAAACAACACGGTGATTATATGGTCAGATTGCTTTATTATCAGATGACTGTAGAAGAACATGCCAAACTCATTAAAAAATATCTTCAGAAGAATGGTTACTGAACAAAGAATGCTCTTTTCGATAACTTCATCATCAGGCTCTACAATTATATATACATTATAGTGAATGAATTATTGTTATGAACAACATGAATGTTGTTTAAATAAAATCGAATCGATAATATCAATAGATTACAGTTCAATAGCTTCAACATAAAAATAAACTGAATATCAGAAAAATTAGGAAAGATAATAATACAAATTCATGAACTTATAGTCTCCAGGGAAGGCCAGGGCAGTAGTAGGGGCTCGACTTGCTTCTTTTGAACACAAAGCACTGGTTGTTTCACGCGCATCACGATAGCCTCTGTTGTTTGCAGCATGTGGTGCTTCGACGTTTCGGCACCCGGTAGATGATAGAGAAGGATTCTTCAACACTGGCTTTGTGGCCGGCCGGTTTGGACCAGGTGGTCCGATATTGAAATGTTAATGGTTTTCACTACACCTTTATTTAGTCATACAGGGAGATATTCTCAAGCACGAAAAATCAGGTTCCTAGAGCAACGGCCGATATGTTGATTCTATTGAACTGTAATCTATTGATATTATTGATTTGATGTTTATTTAAACATTAATGTTGTTCATAACACTAATTCATTCATTCACTTTAATGTATATACAACTGTGGAGCCTGATGTTGAAGTTATCGAAAAGAGTATTCTTTGTTCAGTATCCATTCTTTTGAAAAAATTAATGGGCATTTTAAATCAGTTAAAAAATATCTGTGAAATCCGAAATAAGGTTTAAAAATTGAAGTGTAACCATTAAATTCAATAAACAGATTTTCTAAATGATCCATACTGAGGAACGAAAAACTAAGGAAAGGTAGACAGAAACATTCAATGGAGCTCCAGCATTCTCAAGTGTTGGACTGCAGTATAACAAAGGAATGCATTGGTTTGCTAAACATATGTTAAAAACATCAGATCCAGTACCATTCAGAACTGAAATCCTCCTTTATGCCTACTGAAAGTGGAAGACATGAAAAGGCTAGCTGTCTTTGACCACAGATGCTTGCCTCCCATCTCCTGTGTTTGGCGGTATAATAAAGTGAGTAACATTGAGGATAGGTGTCAAGTGTTAGATAAGAAGGGGAAATCAATCGACGACGTTGTGTAGTTACACCGGTTGATATGGTCAGGATATGTGTTACGCAAGCCTATCCATCACATTCCTGGCGGGGCGATTCCAGCTGGCATAGGATCAGGTTAGAAAACAGCTACTCGCGGTCAAACCAAAATTATTGAATTAATCCATGAAAACCTTGACAGTTAGTTTGAGTGTGCCATGTAGGGAGGTGTAGACTGCTTGACTGGTTGGGGTCCTCTGTATCCTAAGGAACCAATGGCTGGAGACAATTCGTGACATGGCTGAAAATCTTCCTCAAAGGCGCAGATGCTTTCACATCTGCTAAACCCTCATTTTTATCCCTCTCTCTCTTTGTTTACCTTTGTGTGCCATATGAGGTGTGGCAACTTGAATAGCTGCACTTCTGTACAAGGTTCTGCGTTGAGACTCAGTCAATATCAATCAAAATGTTGTAGTCATCATAGACCAAAGCAGCTGTACATACACACTGAGTACTTACAAGTCAGTATTCCACCGAGCCTACCGTGCAGTGCATTTGGAAAGAACTGCGAAAACTTGAATGCCTCAGCATTCTAAATTCATTCATTCTAAATTCATAAAGGGAACTAATTGTTTTAAGCTTCTTTGGCTAGCCATTTTACTGATTTATATGTGGAGGAATAATACGTCTAAAAATACCAAACGTAAAGGGTTATTATTCTTGTGAATCCTATACATGTACATTTGAAAATCCACACACAATTTACTTCTTAGTAATGTTATCCAGATTTATTAAAAGGAGATAATTATCTTTCTTTCGATTATTAAAATACAGAACCTAATATAATATAGGGAGGCACCAAGGTGAAGCGCCATACACAATAATAATAAAACAACAGTATACACAGAGAATGCATAAAGGACGTCATCTTGAAAGCAAGTAAGTATATTTGACAAAACCATACATTTGTCGTACTACTTTCAGAAAGGGAAAAAAGAAGGGAATCGCAGCATGTTCGCCACTGATTGCGACTCTTGGCCATATCTGATAACGTTTTGAGTCACTAGTTTGAACTACCTCTCAGACTCCAAACAAAGAGTCATGATGCTAACCCCAACACAAATATCCTTCATCCCACGACGCCATGTTATGGGCTGACACCACTCCGATTTTTCAAACGAGTCTCAGGGCTAGCGAACACAGACCGGTACGGAAGCCTCTATAGGATGACATTAGTAGGATATGCCCAATTCATCAAAGTCAGTGTTTCCAGATGAGTACACATCTTTGGTGTCAGCCTGGCTGTCAAAGGTCGAGTTAATAATGCTTCAGCACGTGCAATCTTGCTCTACGCCTGTGAAACCTGGCCTCTCTGAGCTGAGGATGTGTGGCAACCCTGCGTATTCGACCATCGCAGTCTCAACAGAATTGCTTGCATTCGACAGCATCATCGTGTGATTAATTCTCAGGTCCCACAGGGAGTATTTGGACACTGAGCTATTCCGGCTCGCGATTGACCACCTGTAGGGCTGTCTGATATCAACAACTCAGCGTAGTGCACCGTGATGGCGAGCCACCTAGTATAATGGCCACATGGCAAACTTAACACATAGAATTCAGTCTGCACCAAAGAAAAGATTAGACACATGACACTAGTTACTAGTTAGTGTCCAATCAAAGTATCTAATAGTCCTACGGGAGGTCAACCACAAGCTCAGTGGTAACGTTTCCGACTGAGTGACGCGGGTTTGAACCTCAGGAGGGACATGATTTCCTTCAACGTTGTAGATACGTCATACTGACGAGTGCCAACTAGCACGAAACTTAGGTTCAAGGCTTCTTGTCGATTGCCTCCAATCATCTGATATCAACAAAGTAGTACCTACCATTAGTCATCGTATGACAAGCGTAGCTAGTAAATCATAAACACGATAATACAAGAAGGTAGAGTTAGAATGTGAAATGATACCTTCAGTTTCAAGCGTGTTCTTCCTTCTTCATCCAGAATTTCGTCTTCATCCAATTCATCTTCATAATAGTTAGGGTCAAATGGTCGAGTTTCCACAGATAAAAAATTGGGCATTTTTACCAAGTGTACCTCTCTATAAAGATAACGAATTCAAAACCTGTGATTAGATATTATTTGAACCAGGAAAAGTTTCAAACGTGATTTTGTCGCTATATTATTTCTGGAAACTATGAGACGATTTAAAAATACAGTTATGGAGTCTTGATAGCCATGAAATAATACGTCGCTTTGATTTAGTCTTTGACTGCAGGAAACCACTAAAACTGATCATTTTTTGCAGCTTATTAGAAGCAGCTACAAATAATAATTTTATAATACTGTGGTTTCTTCGTCTTACTTTACAATCATAGACTGTTAAAGGTTTGTTTATTCATATTCAAACAATGACATCATCGTTAAGTCACCTTTTGTACTGTGCCATCAACACTCTTACATACAGCATCGCTGCATTAATGGAAATGATTTGTTGTAGCATTGCATCCCACTGAGCAGCAGTACAAAGCTTTTAGTTCCAAACGAAAAAGCAGAACTGTTTGAGCAGTCTGTGAACTTTATCATATGAGACGTTATTTGCGATAAAGAGCTTAATTCAGTTATCTATGATGATTAACGTGTGGGTGGTTCAGTGGTAGAATGTTTGCCAGCCAGGCAGGCAGTTCGAGTTTCGATTCCCAACCGGCGAACTTCTGAACCTCGTCTAGTAAGCCTTGGAAAGAGGGGGGAGTTGAACATAGGGCTAGCAACCCCCACGGAAACTTCAAAGCTTAAAGCCTGAAGCCTTATATCTCACTCAGAATGCAAAGGAATGAAAAAAAGTGAAAAGGAAGAAAACAGGAAGAACAGACTCAGCCGGCATGCATTAACACGCCATAGAGACTAGCTGAGGGGTCTCCTGACACCATTAAAATGAATTTCGTAGATTCACCTTGTTGGCCTGGTAAGGTTAAGTGAATGACTACACTCAGGTATTGTATGCGTGTCTCCGAAACACAACATACATCCATGGCTCGAGATGCCAGAGTTCTTGCTAGTGATGCCTGTTGTAGGGGAGTAAGATGATGAAGGTGATGTGGGCAAAGGAGAGTGATGCTAGGGAAGGCTTAGTGTGCTCTTGGAAGTGTGTGGGCGGTCGTTACTTCCCGGCTGCTCACACCACTGTGGAAGTTGCTTGATTCTTCGGCTACCTGAAAAAGAAAGAGGGTTAGTGTTGCGTGACCGCAGAGCCCAGGAGACAACTGCTTGAGGCCAGTCACACACGGCCTGTATGAACTGGTTTCTTGGTTTGGTTCCGTATTAGTGAACTTACCTCCTGTTACAGACCACCATAGGGTAAATCGGGATGTACAATTGTTGGGGTCAACCTTTTCTGAACCCCTCTCTCCAGAGTGGAGACAGCATAGCTGGCATGCTGGTCATCTGAGGGAAACACCTTACTGCTGTTACATCCCTGTTCCTCAGCAGTACGACTTCGCCCACAGACACCCAGCATAGTGTAAAAAACAAAATTCTTACACAATGCCGGTAACTGCTTTTAGTCTAGTCGCTATCCTAACAATCTTACTGGCATGGTAGGACCTGCAGGAACAATAGTTCCAGCCAGTGTTGCTTGTTGGGTAATTGCGATATGGAAGCCCGACCACCACGTCAAGGTAGCAGCTATCGGTCGTGGAACTCCGTATTACGCTTTTATTTCTTCACAACTCTTACATAATTTCATATTTTTCATCGTTTCTACGTACATCCTAATCAAAACTCACTCATTAAATTATTCATATTATTATGCAGCTACAATACACTTATTCAACTTCTCTCATGCATTGACTAACACTGACATCTATTTTTTGATAACTCATCATCACTACCCTCATACTAGTCCTCACCCCCATCCTAGATACGATTTGAATATTCACCACATTTTTTGAAATATTTTGATGACGTAAACAACAAGCCCGGAATAATTTTTATTCTTGTCTGACAAAGCTAATGTACGCACACACATACAAAAATAATTATATATAATTGCGATTGTACAGCTTAGTGGATGAATTCGACGAAAAGAAACTCTTTGCTGAACTACATGTTTTTGTTTTTCACAACAGATCTCAGCAATTAAAAAGGGAGCTAGAGTCACCAACCAAGACGAAGGTTTAGTTGACTCACAGTCGCTTAACAAATGGTTTTTGTTTTACTTTACACATCTAACTTCACGCTTTCTCAGTGTTTGTTAATCTAGTGTGTCCTTTTAAGTGCTAACCCGAACTTATGCAAGCTATATTTTCAACTACCTTAAATGTGGACCAAAACACTAATTACATGTGAAAAACAACCTAATTTGAACTTTGAGAATATTCAGATATAATACAAACCTCTAAAATGTAAAAACTAATCTGAAACCGAAAAGCAGGAAAAGTTTTCATATGAAAACCTTCTACTACTGGTTATGAACTGCAGTTCAAACATACTCCAGTCCATATTGCCACCACACAGTAAATAGCATGCTGAGAGTGAAACAGATATGCATTAAATTGAAAATTCAACTACAATTTACCAAAAATAATTCATACCTGCCTAAGTCAGCGCGAATCAGTGGGAAGTCGACAGCGATTCTCGTCTCGTCCGGTTCCTCATCCTCCACATCTTCATCATTTCTATTACCTTCATTATCATAGTTGTCATCAACAACTTCATCTATTTGTGACCCATCATCACCTGACGGACTTCTACCACCTTGCTGAGAACCATCTGTTTCAGGGCTGTTGGAAACGGATCGAATGTTCTGGAGCTTCTTCCGCTGTCGAAAATTTTGGTCAGGTGAGACGTCTGAACTGTTATCTGTTTCAGGCTGTTCTGAATTATTCTCGACACCAGCATCGCCATGATCTGATTCCTCAGAACTATCCTAAAAAATTGATAAAACTGAGCACTGAAATGGCTTTAAAGCTATCCACTAAATAAAATTAATGTTGTTTGTAAGGGATGAATGTCACTCACAGCGTAAGTAAAAGTTCATTTACCAGTTCATCCATCAGAGTGCTGACTATACTCGGATCTGGCAGTCGCGCTTTCAAAAAAACATTGGTCTGGTTTATTCAGACATCTACGAAAAGGTAGCGTTCTGCAGTACAAGCGACCAAAAGTTGTCATTCACCCCCCGTGTTCACAACACCAAAACTTCTCGTTATTGTCAGTTACCCCTAATTCGTCTCTTAATATTTCGTCGTATTTCTGTTGATAACTCCCCTTCTTCCAGCTCAAAAGAGTGAGCTTCAGACTCAAACAATGCCAACCTGAATGAAACTAGACCTTAACATTTAGGATGAGGTAATCAAAGATTGCAGATTAAACAGAAAACCTTATTAGCCAGAACTATTGAACCAACATTTATAAAAGGCACGTTGGTAGGCGCCAATCTAATACTGTTTGATCAGCGTACTTTTATTTGCGAGGTCCAGTTGGTACTAACGCAGCCCTAATCAGCCACTAAACTCGGTTATATGATGCCATAGACCACTATATGTAGTGTTTTAAATGTATACTGGGTATGCTTCACCTCCATTTGAAATGATATTAGTAGCAGGACCGTTCAAGACATAAATTACTCCGTGAAGTGTTTGACTGTTAGTTTCACCCGTTCAAATAACTTTGTTCTTCCTTTTTCAGATTCAGAATACTATTAAGATCAGTTAACAGAAACGGAATTATATGCCTTATAAGTAACTACAATGAAACAGATGCATCGATACTCTTGTGTAAGCCATAAGCGTCATATATCAACAATCAGGTCATGTCTTTTGATCTTCTGATTGACACAAATAATGCCAAGTAACTCGACTCCAGAGAGTATGTGACCACTACACTAATAACGAGTCTGGCTACAGCAACGACTAAACAAATAAAACCACTCAGCAACACCTTTTAAAAAGGAAAAGACAAGCATATGTGTATGTGCTTACTTAGTATTCGGCTCAATTTTTCATAATTCTTTGTTCAAACATCTTACACTTAATATGACTTTTTACTTATATATTGACTTTCCAAATTTTACTTTGACCTTCATCTGGACTGTACTTACCTGCCTGTCATTTCTACATCTCATGAGTTCCTTTCATCGCCTTGCATCAGACAAAACATGATATTCAGTCACCTAATCAGGAAACTGACTTCGCTTAGACTTATTTTCCACGTGTGCCCATATGATGACGGGCATATTTTTCCGTGGCTACAGCAGGATTCACAAATCATTTCCCTTCTATCTCTCCCTAGTAAGCCATTTTTAATAAGTTTCACTCCTCAACTTTGTAGTCTGCTTTTGCTACAATGCAACTTGCCGTAATCAATACCCGCAGAAAACCTAGCTGTTAAGCACAGTTAAAATATGGCTCCCGCATAAATGTATAGATTAGTTTATATAAAACAAACAGTGAATTAGTTTCAACTAAACTATTGAAATGGCAAGAGGAAGTTACAACAGACTTTCCAGGCGGACTACTGAGAAGATATAAATGGAGTCAATGTTGTGATCAGAAACATGCATTCACATTGAAGCATCCATTTCTTATGGCTAACAGAATAGCATTTACATACGGCTGTTAGTGCAGTTGATAGCTTCCAAGAATGCTTCTTATTTCACAATAAAGGAACTTCTAGAAACACTTGGTATGCTCAGATTTAGCAGACAACTTTTGAAGATTTAGGACTGAAATAAAGTAATCAACTTCCCAACTACGTTGGTTTCTTATATTTGAACCAAAACACGCTGGATTCTATGAGGAATCATCTCAAATTTAGGGATATCTGTTTAGATTCCGACAAAATCTCTAAATTAGAAAGGATAGAATCTAATCCTTGTCTTTTATTTAACTTAATCTCGAGAAAACTAAATTGTTTGTAGTTGGAAACCAGTCAAGGAATCTAGATGTACCGATGCTGTTATTGTAAAGACAGCATGCAACCAGTCATCCTGCATAGCATTTACGGCCACATGAAAATATCATATCAGCACTAGTGAACACTATGTGGATGTCCCGAAATGCAATCATGAATGGTATTTACCCAGTCAACCAAATTGTCATAACGATGCCTTATCCTCATACATGTTAAATACTGTCTCGATGTATCAGTAGAACACAAAACTTCTGAGTGAATGCAGACAGTACCAGCACTTTCTCTGAATCCGCAATGCAGACGTAATTACGGAAGAACGTCAAAACTTCCAGAAGGCATAATCATCGTTTAACGAGTTCTAGAACAGGTTGGATTTGTACCCTAATTATTCCCGAAATGTCCAATTGTCATCTGCACCGATATCTCAACAGAACACATAATAAAAAGATAGATGCAAGACCCTAGAGACCTTTAATTCTGATACACGGGGTAATATTGGCCAGCAAAGTATTCTGACAACCAAAAAGTGTGGGTGCATTACACTTTCTTAATATCATTAAACTGAGAAATACATTTAAGCAAATGCATTTGTACTGCCCCTGGTTGAGTCCTGCGACCTCCAGAAGGTACATAAATATGTGAAAAATAATAAACCGCTATTTTACTTTAAAAATAGTCTGCGGTTTATCAAAACTCTCACCTGCAATTGCCTGGAAATTTTTTTCTTCGCCTGTATTTCATTTTCGCTATCTATTCAAGTTGCACGAAATATGAAAACTAGATTTCCATACCAGTGTCACTGCCGAAAACATTCCTTTCGGTTATTCTCTTTGTTTCTTCCTCGTCGCTTGACGAGTTGAGATCAGATGACTCATCCCTTTCATCCGGTTGATCTACATGGTTTGTTTTAAAATTCAAAAAGAAGCCTACCTTCGGCACCAGACTCTTCAGATACTTCAGAATCTAAATCACTCCCCATCGTAACGCAAACGTTTCAAATATCCGCCTGTCTATTCACCTTGATCTGTGGAAAAATTAATCGCTTGCACATCACATTTGTGGTGACATAAATCAAGAGTGCAAGGAATGGATAGAAAGATTTACAAAATAAAGTGTTTAATTCAGATTCAGATTTATTGGTTGAGGATAGAATGCTTGGAACACAACTTAATCCTTTTCAAGTAAAAATTGAAAGCTTGGAGCCTATGTTAATACTTTTATAGGAAATTTTGGTGCTTGTCCAAACCCTTCTTGAATGAATCAGTAGAGACTGCAGACACCACTTCTTCTGGGGGTCGGTTCCAAGAGTTTATGACTTGGTCTGATAACCAGTACTCAACAACAATATGATTTCTTCTTCGCTTTTGAATTCTCCTGTTATGTCCCCTAAGGTGTTCCGACCTGATAGGAAGGAAAAGAGAGAATAGGTCAGGTCCGTAGTCACTATTTAGAATTTGCAGAAGAGATTTTAACTGCCTAGTCTTTCTCGTATGATAAGTTAGTCATGCCGAGAACCAAACATGTTGCCATCCTTTGGACCCTTTCTAGAATATGTGAGTCCCCTTTAAGACAAGGACTGGCTGCCTGGATAAAGCTCTCTACTCTTGACCTCACTAGAGATATATATAAGGAGATGAACACATCTCTGGCGATTCTATTAAAGGCTCTGCTAATTGCTCATAAGGATCTGAAACTACGTGCAGCTACTGCGCGACAGTGTGCTGTAGTTTTTAAACCGTGGCTAACTATGACACCTAGGTCCAAGAGAGTCTGAACTAATGGAAGTGTTATTCTTTCTAGTTCGTAGCAGCTGGTGCTTGCTTTTCTGATGCGCATGATTGCACATTTCTCTACATTGATCGGAAGCATCCATTCTATGGACCACTCTGACAATTTGTTGAGGTCTTCTTGCAACGTGAACGTATCACTGTTGCTCTTCAGCTCTCTCCGGATTTTTTAGTCATCTGCTTATGAAACCATAGTAGAATCGGTGATCAGAGATAATTCATTGATATACAAAATAAATAGGAGAGGTTCGAGTACCGTGCCTTGTGGCACTCCGCTACGCACTGCTGTCCAAGAGGGGAGTTTCGAGTTGATCCTAACCCTCAGCCTCCTATCTATGAGGAATTCCCTGAGCCAGTTAAGTAATCTGCCTTTGATACCAAGACTTTCCAAATTCATGAGTAGTCTTTTGTGAGAAACTTTATCAAAGGCTTTACTTAAGTCTATGAAGACGACATTAACGGATCTTCTGTTGTCCCTTGATTTAACCCAGATTTCTCTTGCAGTGAGGAGATTTGACAGGCATGAGAGGTTTCCTCGGAAGCAGTCCCATGCTCTGGATAACATTTCGTTGTTTTCCAGATATGCCATGATACTTTTCTTGATGATACTCTTCAGTGTCTTGATTGTAATGTGGTGGTGAGACTAATAGGCCTGTAATTTGAAGGGCTTTGTCTTGATCCTCCTTTGTGGATGGAGGTCTTTATGGCGTCTTTCCAGTCACGCGGTAACACTCCATATAGGAGAGAGAAAGCTTGAAGATCGTGGTCAAAGGGCAGGCTTTGTGAGCTGATATCTCCTTGAGGAGCATTGGATGAAGATTATCAGGACCCATTTATTTCCCTGCATCTAGTTTCATTAGGCAGTTGAGCACGATGTCTTGATAGATCTCAATGGAATCTTTCCCGTGTTCTTCTGATGCAGCCAGAGCTGATCCTATAGGGAATGATTACTCCTGTGTAAAGACTTGGGAGAAGTAGTTTTCCATTACTTCTGCTCTTTCCTGATCTTCCTCGATTATGTCACTGTCAATAGTCAGGTTTGGGAAACCATTGAATGTCTTATTCCTGAAGTTCATGTACAAGAAAATTTTCTTAGTTTGTGCCTTTGCATTTTGAGCCAGATGTGCTTTCAGCTTCATCCATGATTGGCGGATTTCCGCAATAGCTTTATTCCTAGCAGTGTTATATGATTTCATGGTCTCAGGAGTCTCAAGTGTGGTAAACAGGTTCCAACACTTGTGTTTACTTCTGAGTAACTTACGAATCACTCTTTTTTTACAAGGGAGGGTCAGGCTTTTGTCTGATTCTTCATACACCGTGTATTGTTATGTCCAATACTGTTTTTGGTAGTAGGGGCTTGACGAAGTTCAGGTCATGCTCGAATCTGGCCTTGGAATCGGAAGCCAGGGACTCTTCGACTTTGTGGAGAATGAGCGATCTGTCGAAGAGATCAGGTTTGCTTGCCGTAGCTTGCTTGCTCTGTGGCGTGAATGTCTTTCTGTCCTTCGCGGGCGGTGTAGTTGATGTGTTGTTCTTATCTCGCTTTATGCGAGAGACTACATTACGCCATTCATTGGTGTCCTCCTCACTAATCGTAGTCGATTTTATCTAACTGCTATCCGTCAGTGCGGATGAGGCTCGATCTTCCTGTCCCTGGGCGACTTGAATTGTAGGTTTTCAATCCCTGGTACGCCTCTTCTTCATTCCAGTCTTTCCGTTACTGTCACTGGAGGGCTCATCAGTGTAGTGGGGGCAGCGTGGGTGTCTGCAATGTGGTGGGTGCTCTTCTGTGCTGAAGGGCACTCACTCATTGACAGATGCGCATCAGGATCATGTATTGTTTTGTTGGTGACGCTAGTCTCGTCTTCGGTGTTTGAGCAGTAGTCGGTTTTCTCCTGTGGTGGGAGACCCTTGCAGCCCGTGAGCTTTAGAGCTTAGTCGTACCACAGCAGTCATTGCACAACCGGTTCGCCAGAGGTTTGCAGCAGCCCTTGTGTACTGCGGGAGCTAGGTTTGTGCACATGCCATGAAACCATTTCTTGCAGTTATCACACTGCATCCCCTCATCCACTGGAAATTGTCATATAATCCTTCCACAGCGATTCCTTTTGATCGACATGCATTCTAGAGCGAATTGGGGAAAAACGATTTAAATATGACTTTATATATATAACCTTCATATATCAGAGATAAAAAACCAATGAGTGCACAAAAATGGATATAGATAACTATTAAGTTATAAGAACACAACTTCCTATAATTAAATAGACTTGACCGCGGCAATTCGAAGGATTTGTTACTTTTTCGCGTGTTATTTCTTAGTTCTTTTTTACTCTATAGGCGGCTTTTCAATAGGTCTCTCGAGGATAGTACTAAATATTTAGTCCTATTTTTTCATTAAAGATAACTTTTCCGGCTGTAATTGTCCATTATAGCTAGTGTCTACTTAAGTGTTTCTGTTATCGCATCTTTGCATTTATAGTATTTGTTAAGCGTGTCTTCATACTATATTCCAGTATTTTTATCCACATAAACTGCTAATTGCGTACCGAACTAAACAATCTAAATCTCCAACACCCTAAAAAGGACCTTACAGACACTTTGCTCATTCTCTTATATTTAAGAAGTTTAACTCTTTTCTAAATGCCAATGGTTGAAACTAAGCGTCAAACTCCACTGTCTGCTTCAAATCCCAGTAAAAAACACAAACCGAATAGAATGAATAGGCCTGCAGGAAGTGTGAAGACTACATCCAGTGATTTAACAAATAAACACATGTCTGCTGCAGTAGATACGTTAAGTCCGGACGTTGAATTCCCCTTACCTGCTTGCGTATTAAACAACATCATGGATGGTATACATAGTGATACTACATGCAATGATCCAGGCCTCGCAGACACCTGCAAAACGTCTTGCGAAATAAATTACACGGCAAACATTTTGACTCCTAGCATTAATCCAGTTTCTTGTTCTACACCTTGTTGTGAAGATAAAATCGCAGAATTATTTTCCATTATTAGGGGGCTTGAAGTTAAGATATCAAAACTGGCAGTACCTAGTGAAACCGACAGTAATGGTACTTCACCTAGTAAGTTACCACAAACCGCAAACCTGATAAACTACGTTGCAACTGAAGTATATCAACGTGTAGTGCGCGAGAAGAACATAATCGTGTATAATATACCGGATAATGCACAGATTAACAAGGTCAAAAGCACTATTCTGAATGCGTGCTCTATGAATAACGTCTCGTGCAGCTGCCATCGACTTAGAAAGTCTCATAAAAATAAATCTTGCCCACTTGTGTTGAAATTTGACTCGTCCTCTAATGCTGACATCTTTTACAGTAGGCAAACACTACTGAAAAATACACGTTACCATACGATTAAATTAGCTCGTGACAAGACACCGATCCAAGGAATGACTTATTCTAAAACTGTAAATCCCAGCTTCTCTACAACACCCCTGGGCACCCACACTTCTGTTGAGGCAGAGCAAAAGGGTGTGGATCTTTCTATACAAAGCACACCGTATTCGGAAACGAACTTGCCTGAAAATATAAGGTCAAAAAATAGTTCAGTGTATAGCCGAACACGAAGAAAGAAATCGACCGTAGATTTAGATTCCTCTGATAACAATCCCTGTACCCCAGTGACAAACTGCAGTACATCACACCCAGTATTCACCAATTCAAGTAGTCTTAATTCCAGGAAGTTGAAGAATGCAGCTACCAGTTCGTCTACAAAGACAACGCAGAATAAGAGACTAGTGTCACACACTAATTCACATGCTGACAGCTCGATACCACACCTCTCTCCAGAAACAAATATCCACAAAACCAATAGGTACAAAAACCGCAAAACAGAACCCGAACCTCGTAGCTACCTGTTCAAAAAAGTAAACCCTCGCACCAATACAAACCAAAACATTGATACACTTAACAATAGGAAGTCGAATAGTAGTGACGTAATTCGCAACAATTCGAATAAGTTGAGCTTGCTTGGTAGGCCACCTCCACCTATTTACATGCCTACACCCAACAGGGCTGACTACCCACCGATCAACAGTTTCGCTGAAACGACATTACCATTTTTTATACAGGTTCACAACATGACCTCAAACATACTACAAATGCTCACCACTCTCCACAGGTTTCGCCCCCCAATATAGATATGACAGCTGATACAGCAATGTTTAATTACTGCCTGGAGCTCACCTTACATGACTCTGGTAATTCCCTTCTTCTCCTTCAACAACCCTCT